CGGCTCTGTTTCAAAGAAATAACATTAATTTGTTGCAATAACAACATTAAATAAAGTTTTCTTAACAATCTAGCATTTCTCGGTTCACTGATCGGGGTAAGTTTTTGTGGACAGTCCCATTCTGAGGACAGACAATAATGATTAGCGAACCTCACAAATTACAGGCAGTGAAAAACATCACTGACAAATGCAAGTTTTTTAGAGTTTCAAAAACACAAACGCCAAAATTCATTCAGACTATTAGAATTTGGGTTTGTAAATAGTTAGGATATTTTTTGTAGTATTACGAAATGAAAACTTACAAGTCATATCTAAAATAAACTTACGATATTCTTGAATATCCAATATTGATATTGATGATTGATTAAGAAATATAATAGTCGAATTTAAATAAAATTCAACAAAAATTGTACTACTATTTGAACGATATAATTGACAAGTTTGATTTGTCGAGAAATAGTTCAAAGCAGATATTGCATCATTTACTTTGATCATTTCACATATGCATTGATTTTCTGTTACATTGAATAAATTATTATAGCTATTACCAACTATTATAATATTTTGTATTTTAGTAATAAGAATAGCATTACAAACAGAAAACAATGATAAAAGAAATATTATCCAACGCATCTTGTACGTCTTTACATTCTAAAATATTTTAAAAACTGTTTGACTAACTTGTATCACTAGTTTTTTTCTTCTGTTTTCTACAACACTCTTTTTCTCTAATTTAATAATTATTCTTTCCCGGAAAAAAGTGCTGTGCGTTTTCCAACAACAATGATACATCCATAACTACACTATGTTACTGTTGTTTCTTTAGCTAATTAGAGGATTGAATTCGTTACCATCAAGATATTAACAAAAGAAAAAAAAAATATGAATAAACATACTCTCCTTAAAATTATTCTATTTTTAATTAAATCATCCTTTTAAAGTATTTTTCAAATATCAGGAAAGACAGAAAAAAAAGTCGTGATATCAACAAATGACGTCTTCTATATGCTCAGTAAACACATTTGTCCGATGAGAAACAATTGTTTCTGCTCATTTTACATATAGTCAACGTAGGCGTTGACAACAACAAGAAGAATAAACACATATATTCTATTGTTTTTCATTGATTTTATCAATGACGTCGAATATTATCTTATTTATGATATTTTTCAAATAAAAACTACTGTGATTAAATATTTCTTGTTACACATTTGTTTGATCTTTTATTTTAATGCAATCAATTCTAAGATTCTTCACATATTCATCATCAAAATTTTACTAGAAACAAAAAAAAAGATATTATCGATTAGCATAAGCATATAATAGTGTTCTTGATCGTTTCAACGTTTGTTCATTTTCCATAACAACAATAAGATCTTGTAAATTAGCACGAATTATTCTAGTTGAAATACTTTTTTGATAATTATCTGATAGTTTTTGTCGTTTCAAACGACTTTCACGTAAAACAAGACATGCAGTTTCATCAGCTTCTTTTTTTCTTAATTCTTCAATTACTGATAATCGATATTCATGTCCTTGCATTCGTTTTTCATCATCACCCATTATATTCATCATTTCAGATTTTTTTTGTTGAAATTTATTCATATTAATATTATTATTAAAATTTCCATTTTGTAATTTATCTAATTCAATAAGAAAACGAATTTGTTCACGTACATTACTTGTTATTTCATATGTATTTGAATTTAATAAATAGGTATCAATTCGATGTTGAGCAAAGAAATGAAGACGTCGAATGATATATTTTAGAAATGTATATAATGTTTGAAGAAATAAATGTTCACCAGATTCATCTAGATAAAAATTGTTTTGAGCAAAACGTATAATTAATTGTTGTTGATATTGATCGGCATCTGATCGTATAATAGGTGTTAGAAATGTTTGTTCTTGTGAAGGCTGAGTTGATATGGATGATGTAAGATCCATGAGTTGAGGACATGATGGTGGTAAACGAAAATGAGCTTGTTGTAATGATGGAAGTCGAGTTAAATCTGATGTATTAGAAATTAGATTCTGAATTAAGAAAAATTTGTATTTATCAAAATTATTTGATTTAAAATAAAACTAACATACAGATGATGTTTGTAATGTAATCATTTTGAAAGTTTCCCATGAGTATGGATTGAATTGATGTTGTTGTAAATATTGATGTGCTAATGGAATTGTTTGAGTAAAAAAAAGAGTTAGATTAGTTTTAATAGTAACATTTAATATTTGTTGGACATTTTGAATAAATGTTTCAACCGTATATGAAGTATTAAATAAACGACGAACACATTCTTCAACATGTGTTGATAGATCATTATTAGAATATTCATTTGTTTGTATTGTTGAAGATAATTGTTTCGGTTGACCTAATTTAACAAGACGTAAAAGACGTTGTCGTAATTTCCATATTAATTCAAGATGATTTGTTGATTGCATCGAATGAAAATGAATGTAATCGATTATCGTATGCTGAATGGCATACGTTAATTAATATCGTTGGTATGGAAACCATGTATTTCGATATTAACTTGAATCGCAAATATACAAAGTTCTTAGATGAAGAAACTGACATTTTTGATAATATATACATCATTTACAAGACAAAACTTTTGTTGGTAAATCTGATGATTCGTATGAATCTTTTGTGGATAGTATAAATCTTGTAATGGGTTACATTTTATTAATCAAGATTTGTTTTTACTTGAAATTATTTTGTCCAATATTTTTATTTAATAAAAAAAAGCAAATTATTCTTCATTCTTTTTTATGATTAATTGAAAATACATTATTTAAACAAAGTGGCTGGTTGTGCTAATGAACTATTAAGATCAGTTTAAATTCTTTTTTTAAATATCTAAAATATTACGAAAATTAATATTTATAAATTAAACTATGAATGAAAAAAAAAATAATTTAAGGCACCATTAATAGAAATAATACACAAGTCACAGCGAGATTATCACATGAATATAAAAAAAAAGGTCTTATCATTTATTTTCGTGGTTGAACTTGAGAAATTCGTTGATATTCAGCTTTAGTTAATTCACTATCAAGTTTCGAAACTGTCTTTACTAAACTATCACGTTCACGAAGTATAATATTTTTTTCTTTTTTTTGAGTTTCTAATTCTGAACGAAGTTGTTCATTTTCTAAACGAAAGATTTCTAATTGTCGTAGTTTTTCTTGTAAATCATCATTATTAGAATTTGATTCTAATAAAGATTGATTTTTTTGATCTAAATTAAATAATCCAATAAAATAATTTTTTTTTATTGTACAAATTTACCATTACTATTCGATTTATGAATTATCAATTGTCCATCAATTTGTCGAAGAATATGTAACCCTTCGATATTTATTTTTACCGGTGGTTTAGTTTCTACAATAGCATGTGTAGTTGAATTTTCTTGCAAAGGCTATATAAAACAAAGTATAATAATCAAAAAAAGAAAAAATAATTATTTCATACTTCAAGTGTTAGATGTATATTGCTTAAATATATATCGATGGGAACAATTTTAAGTGGTTGATTTTGTCTAATGAATTTTTCTTCAGATGTTAGAATTTCTTCGAGATTTAGTGTAATTACATCAATAGCATGACTAGCAAGTGATAATGTACGATCTTGAATCTTTACACAAACAAGTGGTGTTGGTGATGATATTTTATCTTTTGGAAAATCAATACGAATATTTATTGGTGGAACTTTTTCATTATTAAATTCATCTATAAATCAATCAAATATATTTTTTTTCAAAATAAAAGATCATTAATTTATACCAGGATTTTCGTTATCAAATAATTTCGGTTTAATTGTATCGAATTTTAATGCAAAAAATTCATCAATACGTAAATATTTTGCATTACATGCAATATACATTGGTTTATCAGTTTTTGTATCATCTTCTGTTATACAAACATTGAGTTGATTCAGTTTAATAAATACACCATTAACCTAAATGAAAGAAAAAGAAATCATATATCGTTTACTTTTTTTAATATTGAACATACAGATTCTAATGCTGTTGTTCTAATACAATTTTTATCCGTTAAACTAATACAATCATCATCAAGTTCAATACGTGCTGCTTTTTGTTGTTCAAAATCGTTCGTAAATAAACTTGCATCGAGATCACCATCTAAATATTCGGTCATATCTAATTGAGATAAAGTATCATCACTATCACTCATATTCATAGATGATGCGATCGATGGACTACGTGTTCCTTTGGAAAAAATATCTAATCCACGATGAAAATTTTCTTCAAATTTAGATTTTTTGTATCCTGATACTGATGGGTTTTTCGTTGGAATTGTTGGTTCGATTTTAGTTGTATTAAAAAAAGTTGGTGTTGCTGGTTTAGGTACTGGATCAACAGGAATGTTAAGATCGGATATATGACGTGTGATAGATTCAATTTCGATTGAGGGTGGACTTGATGAAGTCGGTGTTGCAGGATCAATCATCGTATTATCAAGACCATCAATAACAGTAAGTGTAAATGTACTTGGAGCAGTTAAACAAATTGTTATTTTCATATCATCGGAAGTATTAATTGGCATAGTTTTTTGTTTAATTAAATTCATTTGATCTGTAATATTATCAATTTTGTCGAGAAACAAACCTAGTTCATCGACTAGATGCATAATAAATGTATATTGTATCTGGGAAATTTTCAATATAGATGAAGTTTCCAAAATACCAAGAATATTTAACACGGGATCTGATCAATAGTACAGAATAGAATTTTTTTAGAAATAGAAAATATTAATAAAATTACTTTTTTCATTTGTATCCACTACAGTCCAACCATTTAATGTTACAGAACTAATTATATTCTGTTTTATTATTCGACCTGAATCTGATGATGAAGGTGTGTAATCCAAATAAATATTTTCAGCATCAAAATGCCAGATATCATATTTTGCAGACTATGAAAACAAAGAAGAATAAATTCTACAGAAAACTATTTTGATTGCAAGTCTATCTATAAAAACAAAGGCACTGCTCTTCAATCAAAGTTTCTGAAAATCAATCAGTGTAGTGCGGACACACAATCTATATTTCATACTTTTTTTAATGAATCTGTTGTCATTGTATAATAGGTATGTAGTGCTTTACTAGCCGATGGCGATTCTGGTAAAGTATTAGGTTTTGTACATAATGGATTATTATATAAGAATGTTTCATATGGATGTTTTTCAAATAATGGACTAATACGTGTTGTTGTTGTATTTGAAAAAGGCCATTGATTTTGTTGAAAAAAATTTGTTTTTTTAAATAATTCTAAATGTTGTTCAAGTTTCGTTCGATTACTTGTTGATTCTATTCGAGTATTTGTAACTAAAACTTTGGATATACTAAATTCAAGTGTTTCAAAATCTTGTTGATTGGATATATCTGATTCGGAAGTTTTATCATTTTTGGTTGGTTGAACATTGGAAAACATATCCGAACTTATAAGTATCTATAAAGGAAAAAATATTTGCAAAAAAACAATAAGCTTAAAATTTTAATATACTCGTGGTAACATAGCTTCGACAGTAATCTCTATACGTTCAGAATCACTACTTGGTTCATTAGTTTCTAATACACCGGAATTATCCTAAGAAAAATAGAAGATAAATATCGTTGTTTCATAATCATTTTACTATTGTTATTGATAATGTCGAAATAAATGCATGTAACCAACTTGATGTAGTAAAATCAAGACGAAAAAGAAATGGCATTATTTGAATATATAAATCACTATTTGGTACTAAAATAAAAAGACAATGTATTTAGTTTTTTTTGTTCATTAATTTTACCAGGAAATGAATAAGGTATTGGATAATAATATTCAGTATGTTGAATATTAATTAAACCGAACGAATCTGGTACTTGATAATATGCTTTATCAGATGAAATTAATGGTCGACGACGTTTTTGATGTTTATCATTATTTAATGAAACAGGATAGAAAACAAGATCATCAATATTTATAACACTACATGATTCAAATAAACGAATACGATTAGTACGAAGAGCTTTTTCAAATCTCATAGCTAAATAAAATATAAAATAGTATCACGATTTGAAAATTTTCAGCTTACACATTTCATCATTTGGTACAGATGCTTTAGCAATATTCAATTGTTCGTACCATTGTTCATGTAATTTACTTGCCCATTCATTACGTTTGAATGATTGAATTTCATTATATTTTATCCAATGTTTTTTTGATGTACCAAATTCATGATATGGATAATGATCAAGAGAAAAATTTGCTAGAGTTAATTGTAATGCACCATTTTCAACTAAACGATCAGCTAAAAAAGAATTTTTCATTTCAATAATCTTATTCATATTTATTATCTACACATACGAAGAATACCTGTATCAGCAATAATATGTAAATCTAATCGTTTAATAGTAAAATGTAATGATGTTTCAATAATATCAAAGCGTGCAAAAAGATCAGTAGATTGTTGTCCGTTATTTAATGGATTAAATGGATTTGTTAATTCATTAGTACCTATCGACGATTGTTTAGGTGGATATGTCGATGCTTGTACTTGTTTTTCTGATTTCTAAATTTAATCTTATGATCAAAATATTACGATATTTGTATACGTACATTCAATTTATTTCCCACATTACGTTTGTTTTCGTCCGATGCTTTCTTCATTAGTTGTGTTATTTCTTTGTATGTATTTAATGCTGATTTTAATTGCGTATCATTTAAAACTGATAGAAAATCATCAAATTCTATCATAACACGAGATGCTACCATAGAGCTATCTATAAAAAGTAAATAGATGATGTCAATTTTGCATTGGAAAAGATAAAAAAAACCTTGAATATTTTTTTTCATTGCAATTCTTACACGACATGAATTAGCAATAAAACGTAGTGCTGTTCCTGGTAGATTATTATCATTTGATGAAGCTTGAATACGTGCATTTGGCCAAGATATTTCCTTTTTATATTAAAAAGATATATTTATTCATTTGAAATAAAATAAATTTTTTCTTTACTTTAAAAAGTATAATATGATCTTTAGCAGTATTTCGAAGACGAGTTGCAGTTAATGTCTCAACTCGTTTTCCATTGGGAGCTGTACTATAAATATCTAAACTAGGTAGCTAAAAAAGCCACATATTTCAATAAGATTTCTATTAAACATTAACATACACAAATCGATGCTTTGAAACCTTGAGCTTTTATTTCAAATATTAAATTTGTAATTGTTAATGAAATTCCATCAATAACACGATTAGTAAAACCATATTTACCCATTGAACTATAGATAATACAAATTGAATTTAAAAAAAAATATATATAAAATTCTTACGGATCATTGGCATTTGATAAATTATGTATATCACGAAGTTGTTCACATGTTTCAATTTCAATAGTAACATCATCTAATTGCTATAGCAAATGATAAAAATCATATGAAAGATATATATATACGTTTTTTTTCTTACTATTTGAATTGGTAATGTTTTTAAACTTGTCCAAGGAATCTAAATAATAGAAAAACAAGATTTATTTTTCTTGACTTGTTTAAGTAATCATTATACTTTAATAAAAACTCGTCCACATGTTGCTTTTTTAATTTTAAGCCATATGGGTAATTCAATGACATCTTCTAATGCTTTTTCGTCTAAATTAATTGATGATAATTCACCTTCACCTTTTAATGTACTTAAATTAATTTGATTTGATGAGAGATTTTTGACAAATCTTTAGAGAAATTTAATAAAACAAAAAGATAGTTTAGATTAGCAAAAAAATGAGAATTTTTTTCACACTTTGATAATCGTTTGATAATTTGATTTTTTAGTATTGACGCCATTGAATATATATATATTCTTTAATGAATCTAATCAATACAGAAATATTATCTATAGTTATTTTAAATATATATTTATCGATCAAATCAAGGTCAAATTGCATAGATGTCACTCGGTTCTATAGGAAACAACACGCGTTTTTGTTTATTCTAATTAAAAGGTAAGAAAGTAAGTTTTTAATTCAATTTCCAGCTACTGTAGTGTTTGCCGTTGTAGTTGAAACATGTTTAACATATTCAATGGATTTGTCGAAGCGTTGTTGCATAAGTTCAAGTAATTGTTGTATAAGAATATTTGTCTGTGCAAAATTTTTATCAATAATAAAACCAAGATTTTTTTCTAAGGAACAATATGGTGTTTCTAATTCATAAGATGAACCATAGATTAATTGAATTTGTGATGAAAGTGATTGTTCTAAATTTGATTTCGATTGATTGCAAGTTGAAAATGATTTACATCGAAGTATAATCGATTCTGATATTGTATATGGTGTACGAAGAATATTATATGCTTGATTAGTATCAAATGAACAATTTGGATTATTTTCTCGACCTTTTAAATTCCAACCAATATATATAAATGTTGTATTTAATAATGAAAGACTACAGTTAATATAATCACATTGAAATGCAATATTTCGTAGAATATATGGTTCAACATGACGTGAATCAAAATGTAATTGAAAATTATATTCATAATCATCTGTTGTTGTATTATGTAAACATTGATTTATAGTTTCATTATTATAATGTATTTGAATTTCAGCAGTATAGAAATATTGACATGGATAACGTCGATATTGAAATATATGATGATCATAATCAAATAATCGAACTGTTGTAACATATGCAAGTACAGGATTATCAGACCATTCATGAATCTTCATTAGATCTCTTGATAAACTGTAACTTGGATAGAGATCACCAGTATTTGAACTGACCACATTATTAAGAATGAGAAAGACAATAATAGAAATATGCATTGATAATGAAATCATCGTTTTGGGTTGGACTTTATTTTCCATAAGAAATAGAAATACATCGTACTTTTATATATCACTAATTCATAGATTGTACTTAAAAATATTAATTATCTATTTTTGGAAATTATTAATATGTCAGCTATTGGACTGTGTAAAGAATTATTTACATATGATGTTTCATTTCTATGAATACATCATCCTACTCAAAAGTCAAATTGATTGAACTTCTCTCCCAACTGAACAAATGAATTGCTCTCTGATATGCATCTTACGACAGAACATAGCTAAATGAGTCATCGTATTCAAATCATTAAACACCTGGAGTATTCATTAATAATTATCTACAGCTGTTCATGCTCATTTCTTATACCTTGTAGATCAATCAAGAGTTTTTTTTCTCTTCCCACTGAAACGAATTGAATAATCGATCATTAGATATTCGAACGATATCTAATTATTTATCTTTCTAATAATCACTATATACTCTAAGAACAAATGTTGTCTTACTTCGATATAGCGTAGATAATTAAGAAAGCAAAAATAAAAGTCAAACAATAATCATGTTTTTTTCTTTTTTTCATACACAAGCAAGAAACAAAGCAAAATCAATTTTTCTCTAGTCTAATATAAAAAACAGACAATTTTATAAAAAGTCTCATCATCTTCACTACCGTCCAAAAGAGAGAATAACGCAAAAAACAAAGTCACAGACGTAATTGAGAGAGAAAGTTACATACTCCACAATGAGTATTCAACATACATGAGATCAAAAAGAAAGAAAAAAAAAAAGACAGGAAAATTTCATATTCATCCATCAATATGATGAGTAAAAGATATTTGTTTTGAACAAAAAAAACACATATTTAATATTGTGGTGGAGATTCAGTATATCGAAGATCATATCGAATATTTGATGAACGACATTGATTTGTATTATGAGAAGAAAATGAAAGACAAGAACGAAATGTTAATCCACGTGTTCGTCGTCCACCACCAGTTGTTTCATTTGCACCTGTAAATTTATCAAATTGTTTTGTTTCAAATCGATATTGTCGATATTGTTCTTGATAATCAACATCAATCATTGTTCGATATTGATTTGGTAAACAGAATTCCTAGATAAAAAATAACAAAATGTATTTCTACTACAAACAAAAGACTAAATTCTTACTTTTGAATATTCATAAAATGCTTTATAACCGCCTTCAAGTAAATAAATTTCTGGATAATGTAATTGTGGATAATTTTTTTCATGTATATTACGATCTTCTGAGCGAAAATAACGTAACCTAATAGAAATTCAAAATTATTCATCTTCGAAAACAAACAAAATGAAAAATAACTTACATGGATGGTGCTCGTTCAGATGAAAATTCACAATGAAAAATAAAAATATTTCTTTTCGATGAATTACTTAATTCTAACGGTTTACGAAAATATTCATCATAAACTTGTGAACGTGTATATATATTTTTCGCTGATTGTATATGACCACCTTCATATTCATATGGATAACGACAATCAATAATATGTAAATTTTCAATTTCAGATGAATAGATATTTCCTAATATATCAACCATCTACAACAAGAAAAATATTAAATAATTATACATATTACAGTCTATTTATATTTTTTACCGTTTCAGGACTTATACAAGCAAGATCAGGATGTTTTCGACTTTTACATCTTGGTAATAGATATGAACGAGAACGATCACCAACTAATTCTCTATTACAACCAAGTTCAACAGATTGTTTTATTTGTTCTTCATTCGGGTCAGTTAAACTACGCATTAACTAGAAAGAAATATTTTTTTAATAAAATTATCATTCGAAGAAATTTAAAACACATACACTAATACCACGCCGCGAACTTTTGATAGATAAATTATTTTCTTTATTAGTTTCATCAAAGATTTTACTGCGTTTTATTGAACGACAATTTTCACTGTTTTCATCTTCATCATAAGTTCGTTTATTTAAATTTTCTTCTGTAGTAACAACTGTTAAAATTGGCATATTTTTTTCATTATCAGATAAACAGAGAGGTAATGGTTTTAATCGTCGTTGTCGATTACGAACAGGATTTGGTGTCACTGTCGAAAGTGTTTTATCAAATAGGTTAACAAGATTATCTGAATGTGAATCCTATATGTAAATAAAAAAAAATAATTAAGAGCAATTTTTGTTTTTATTGCAAAACAAACCGATGATGATTGAGAACGTGTTTGCATTGAATGACGCGATTCGTTTGAACGAATTTTTTTATTTTGATTCTGTATAGTTAATGGTTGACGTTTTGATGCAGGTCGAGCAAGCATATTAAAGCCATAATGTTCTAATTTTGAACGTGTTACGATACTTGTTGTTATTTCTGATTTAGTCGACAACCTTAAAAAATTAATTTGAAAAAATATAAATAAGATTATCATTAGTTTGTTGTCGTTTTGCTAATGGTAGGGTGGTACTTAGCCATTTACCTCAAGGGAGAGCAAAATACGTGACATGAAAGTTGACACTTGTCTATAATTGCATGAGAGAGAGAGAGAGAGCGAGCGAAAAAAAATGAGGGTAAGATCGTTGAACTTGAATGATAGAAGAGAAGGAAAAAATTTTGAAAAAAAAAATGTCAACGGTCGAACGCACACTCTACACTTGAGTGCCATCGAATTGTCAGTCATAAATCAAGTAGAACGAATTCTGTCGCCGTTCATGTGAAACTAAGCATGGGATTTAGTGAATAAAAACATATATAAATACATACTGTTCATCTTGAATAATCGAATGATGATATTCTTGTCGGAGATTATGTACTATAAAGAAATAATTTTATTTATATCTTCACTAATAAAGATTTTCATACGTATAGATATCGATTGTGGACTATCATCTGTTTCATCATCACTTGAAGAGAAAACAAGTTTTCGTCTGGGTGTACGTCTAAATAGAAATATTTAATGAGATATTTTTTGAAAATATAACAATTAAAGTTTGTTAATGTCTCTTGCTCTTCTATTTTCTTACCTTAACATAAAACGACAACTTATAGGAGAAGTTGTCTTATTCATATTCAGCCAATGTTCGATATCAAATAAAGTATTCATTCATATATATATATAGATAGATAATTGATAACTCTCTGAAGATAATAGTCACCACAACATAGAGAAGAAAACGAGTGATGTTATGTGCATTTCATCATGATGAAACTGGGACGACCATTGAACTAACGCGAATAAATTTTTTTTTCTTCTCGTTCAGATTGATGAAAAAATATTTGTTTCTCTTCTCTTCTCTTCTCTTTCGCATACACTCCCAACGTTTGTCGAGCTTAACGAATTTTTTGAACGTTGGTGTGGTCAATAAACATATAGAAACCAACGAACAGGACACAGCAAGAGAAAAGGAAGGAAAAGAGAATGGGTGGGAGACGAAATCGATGCAATGACGGATAACATCCTTTCAACACTCTTTCCCTCCCGGGAAACAGAGTTCGTTGGAAAAGAAGAAATAACAATACAAGGAAAGAGAACGTTAGATACGAAATTTCAACGTTGTTTTCATATGCACTTTAATGCAGATTTAATCACATCTAACGCTATCAAAGAGGGGGAATACGACTGATTGTTCGTATTCAATGAAATAAAAGAACAAAAAAGTTAGTTTATATTATAGACTATACATTTATATGCATTCATTTTAAAAAAATTTTGTAATTATATCATGTCAAATTTCAACAAGCTGTTAAAGAAGATGGATGTGTGAGAAAAAAAAGAATACATATGATGAAATTTATAATGTATTGACAAATTCATCAAAACAGCTGGAGAGAAATCTGATGAACCATAGGTTTTTATATAGGTCAAAATCGAACATATGTCGTTATATTATTCCTTAGACTATTATTCTTGAATTTTTAGAAACAAAGTAGTCTGTCAGAATTCTTGATTTATTTTCAATAACGTGCATCTTATTATTGATCTACAATATGAATGAAAATTACCTGTCACTGAAAGTAGTTCTTGTTGTTTGCATTGTCTGTTGCTATGAATAGATCAGTTAAGTTGAATTGAGCAACTGTTAGTAATAATCATTTGAGATGCTTGATTATTTATTAGACTTTTTTTCGATATAGGGAGAAGAAGAGAAAGAGAAAGAGAGAGAGACGAAAAAAAAAAGAAGAAATTAAACAGATAGCTCTAACAACAAGAAAAGATTTCTTCTTCTTGTTCAAATAGACACGTCTGACTAACTGACTGACTATCTGACAGTCGTCCTATGTTTGTATATGCAGCTGTTGAAAACGAAATGACGTAAAGAAAAGATGTTTTTCTCTCTCTCTCTCTCTATCGTTCTATTTTTCTCTCTTTCGAACGCAAAAGAAAGCACGTCTTAGTTATGGTTAATATGTTTAATCAGCTGATCCTTGTTGTTCGAGAAAATAATAAGAATTTGTTAAAATATTTTTCACAAGAAACAAAAAAATATTTCAAATAATCATTAGGTGTGAAATGTTCTTTGATCTTACTTTTTGTTTTCTCAAATTACATTAATGTCAACTGTAGCTGTGTGTGTGTGTTATCTCGATTTAAAAGTAAATCTATCATATCAGTTGTCAGCATCATGCTTGTTTTTTCTATCTTCTTTTAATGATCAACACAGAAAAAGAAGAACATAAAAAATTGTTAGTGTCACCGAAAATACATCGCTATCGAATTCATTCTAACACAATATGATTATTGACTACTGTGAAAATTAAATAATCCTTTAAAACCAGCTTGCTATCTTTCTTTGAAGATAATTTTCTTAAATGAAAAAACGGTTTTGTTCTTTTGTTAGAAAATTCAATGAATTGTTGTTTGTTTGAGAGTAACTCATTAGCCATGCATAACAATAAGACTCGAAATGATCGTCATGTGCAACTAATTGAATGTAGACTGTACGTTAATTGATAGACCAATTATGTAACTAATTCACATACGAATAATTATGATTCTATTGCAAATTCACACTTCGATATTGTATTTACTTATTTCACGTGTTAAATTTAAATGTGCTTAATTTTTCTTCGAGAAAAAGAGAAACAATATTGAGATCAGTTGTTTGTCTTGTCAATTGCAATAGTAGTAACATAAGTGTTATTCTCAGAATAAAGCATGTTACGTAGCAATTAGTTTTGTCATATAAGCGTGAATAAGCTCTATTTCACAAACAAATTATGATCGGCTATTTAATTGTATTCGATAAGTTTCTAATTAGTATTGGTATAGAGAATATATGTATGAGATGTTTTATTTACAGAAAAGGAAAATAAATATTGTAATTTTAAAGTAAAGCTTGTTTTGAAATCAAAGGGTTTCGTTATAGAGACATACATGATTGTTTTATGTTTAATCGGAAATGTCAAAATACTTTCAAATAAAAGTAAATATGGATGACGTTTCGAAACAATTAATCTCGATAATGAGAATAAAGATAAATAAATGAACGTTTCTTAATTTTGTTATTAGATATAGTCGACGAAAATAGTCCGTGTATTATTATTCTAGAAGGAAAACTATTGTTTTTATAAATCGGTTAATTTGTATGGTATGAATAAGGTGTTCATTTTTCATTAGAAGAAACAAAATGACTATAACTGATGATCAGTCGAATATTGATAGGACCATTTTTTATGAACAAAAGATTTCATAATTTATAATGATGGATTTTATAGCTAGTATATGAAAACATAACTCTTGATGAATTACGAAAATATTCTTTTAAACTGAAATCGTTAATTAAAACAAAATATAAGTTTTTATCATCATTAATTGTTTTATCCACAACTATCAGAAGCGATCAGTTCGAATACAGTCGCAGAATGTAATTGAGTAAGAAATATGATTTGGTATTGGTATGTCGATTTTGTTATGTATATTTTTAAAAATAAGAAATGTTGAATAAATATCATACACATTTCCTTTTACTTGATCAATGAGATTTGATTAGTTATGTTATCGATAATCCTCGTTCAAAACTTATGGTAAATATGTGCAAGATAATAAAATGTTGTACTGCAACAATTATTTTCATGTACTAGAAGTCATTTCAAATCATTCAAAAGTTAGATGATTGATAATTATAACTCAACGAAGCAATTGTTTTTATAATGTTGTTGGAATTTTACTAGAGAAATCGAATTATATTATAATATTATATTTTACAGCTGTTTTCATTTATTAAATATTTAAATTATGTAGAAAAAATGAAATATCGTTGTTATTTGAAGATATTTCAACTAGAGAGTGATAGTAGCCTTCTCGGCATTTTTTTTGTCGGTTACTTTTGAACATTTTAGTGCGAGGCATTAGCGTTTCTAGAAACGAGTGTGTAAATAATAGAAATAGTTCCTAGTATTGAACTATGAATAATTTTTAATATCCCTTTCAATACAAAAAAGGTTATCAGGATAGCTCCTTTGAAGCTAAAATGTGAAACTCACATATGTATCACGATTATTAAAAAAGCGCAATCATTGAACTTCGATCACGATGTCTAATGAGTATTTCACCAGCTGCTGAGCTTTAACCCCAATTCTTAATAAAAAAACTAATTTTTTTACTTCGCAAAAACTATTTATTTACTTGGAATTTTTCAATATTTTGTCGAGAAAACTAAATGTTTTCATTGAGAATTTATATAGACTACTTAGCAAAAGAATTTTTTTAGTTAGATTTGTGTTCAATAAATTACTTCGCAAAAATAGAATTTTTTACTTAGTTTTCACTTAAAACTACTTAGCGCTTAAATATGTGCCCTTATATTCTCCTTGTTGAAAGAGCTTTTTATAGTCATTTACACATTTTCCATCGAGAAAAAAACATCTATTTATTCTCCTCCTTTGTTGCTTACGCGGTAATAGGTCGTCCATTAGGATACTTATCTTCTCCTTTTTCGAAGAACTTTTGTAGTCATTTACGCATTGCCCATCCAAAAGAGACCTATTTATTCTCATTCTGAGACTCTCGCTCGGAAAAAGGTCATCCATTAGGGTACTTATCTTCTCCATTTTAGAAGAGCTTTTTGTAGTCACCTTCGCATTTTCCATCCAGAAAGAATACCTATTTGTTCTCATCTTCCGTTTCTTGTTTGAAAAAAGGTCATCCATCGGGTACTTGCCTTCTCCTTTTTGAAAGAGATTTTTGTAGTCGTTTCCGCACAAGATAAAGAAACTTATTTATTGTCATCCTCAGACTCTTTTCTAATAAAAAAAAACTTGCTCATCATGGTGCTTATATTCTCCTTTTTGGAAGAGCATTTGTTAAGCATTTCTACATTCTTTTTCCAGAAAAAAACTTACTTGTTCTCATCCTCAGAGTCATGCCTGAAAGAAACTTATCCATTTTGATACCTATCTTGTCTTTCTTGGAAGAGATTTGTTGTAGTCGTTTCCGCATTTTCAAACCAGATAATAAAACTTATTTATTCTCATCCTCAGATTCTTTTCGAAAAATGCTTGTCCATCATGGTATTGATGTTCTCCCTATTGGAAGAGTTTGTTGTAGTCGTCTGTGTATACTTTTTCTAGAGAAAAAACTTGTTTATTCTCATCTTCACGGTGTTGCCCGGAAAAAACTTGTCTATCATTATTCCTGCATTGTCATTAGTAGATGTACTTTTCTTGCTCTCATCTCTATTGTCTCCTTCCTGAAAAAAACTTATATCTTTTTCTTCAGTCTTTTACACATAAAGAAGTTTTCTATTATCGCTCTTACATTCTCAATATCGAAAGGTATATTTGTTGTTCTCATTGTTACATTTTCTTTTCCAGAAAATATTATTGTGACTTTGATAGGAAGAGAAGGAAATTATTTCACAAGTCAGTGGTAAGTACGGTATAGGTTCTTTGCTTTTCGATTGATAAATGTAAAGATCGAAGATGAAGTCGAGTAGTTATCGACGCAGTAGAGTTTTCAACTAGTCGTAATAGTAAGGATGGACAAATCAGTCTCATCTTCATATACCTTAGCGTTAGTATAAAGGAAAGAATCTACTTTACCATACTAAGTAGCTTGCGGAGTTTAGGATTTAGTGCAAGAAATAATGTGAAGACAATAATCTCTTGACTATATCTGGTTACCTAACGGTGAAAGGAATAATTTCATAATTATAAGAAATAATCACAACTAAAACTTTTCAAATGTGATCAACAGAAAATTAGATAATCGAATACTTCGATGGCTAAAGTCTTTGTTGATTGGAATGGTAACAGAAAGATTGAACAGATGAATACTTGAATACTTTGTTAGATATGTGAAAAGTAAAATGCTCAAACAGTTGTGTGAGTGAATAAGTGCATCGTTTTATTTTTTTGGAGAAAAATTTGTTGCAAAACTTACATTGCTTTTTTCCAGGAATAAATAATTATTAAACTAGAGAGAAAGAGCGTTGTAGAAAATAAAAGAAAAAGAATAGTCATAAAATATACTCAAACACTTATAAAATATTTTAGAAACCAAAGAAGTACAACATGTTTCGGCTGATATTTATTTTATCATTATTTTCTGTTTGTAATTCTATTCTGATTACTAAAATACAAAATATTATAATAGTTGGTGATATGTACAACAATTTATTTAATGTATCAGAAGATCAATGCATATGTGAAATGATAGAAGCAAATGATGCAATATCTGCTTTGAATTATTTCTCAACAAATCAAACTTGTCAATTATATCGCTCAAATAGTAGTAAAATTTATGTTGAATTTTCTTTAAATTCTACTATTATATTTCTTAATCAATCGTCAATATCAATATCAATATTGAACATTCAAGGATATCGTAAGTTCATTTTTGATATGACTTGTGAGTTTTTATTTCGCAATACTACAAAAATATTCTAACTATTCCTAGACCCAAATTCTAATAGTTTGAATGAATTTGAAGTTTGTGTTTTATAAATTCTAAAAAATTTGTTAATATCTCAATGATATTTTCCACTGACTGTAGTTTGTAGTGTTCACTAATCGTAAGTATTTGTCTTCAGCATGGGGTCATCCACAAAAAATGAACCAGATTAATGGACCGAGAAGTGCTGGATTGTTAATAAAACCTTATCCAATTTTCTTGTTTCATGTAAGCTCCATTTTTTGAAATAGAACCGAGTGCGTCATCATCAACACCAACAACATCATCATCATCATCATCATCATCATCATCATCATCAACCTCAGAAACAACTTCAGCAACATCACCATCATCATCAACATCAACTTCAACTTCAACAACATTATCATCAACCTCAACAACAACAGCATCATCAACATCATCATCAACTTCAGAAACAACTTCAACATCATCATCATCATCAACATCAACAACAACATCAACTTCATCATCAACCTCAGAAACAACTTCAACTTCAACAACATCATCAACAACAACGTCAACAACAACAAGTGGTAAGTGTGGAGTTAAATATTTAATGCTTACGTTAGATGTTGAAAAGAGAAATAGCTTCACAAGATTTTAAAGTGTAGTGTTTGATACTTCAAGTCATCTCAAATCTGAATAAATAAGACGAGTTTATTGTACAGAAAACTTCTCAAGATGAAAAAATGATCTTTCTATACAGACCAACTAGTATGTACATGCGAAGCTGATGACAATATAAATTAATATTTGCTCAATCGATTTTCTTGTAAATATCTGACCGTTGATTATGTTGTTGTCGTTTTTCAATATATAAAAATATTCATTGTAACGTACTATGTATGCTTCGAGCATGATTGTTATTGTATCTAGAGCAACTGGAGGTACTAGATGACGTTTTATAACTTCTCTTGATTCTCTAGACTCGAGTGTTTTATCCTTCTCTATACATTGATCAAACTAAGAAGTTAGCCTGTAAACTGAGAAGCAAAACTTTGTCAAACTATGAAAAACATTATTATGTTTTTATCGGTGCTACGCATTTGTTGTCACCGTTCTAAAATAAGAGAAAACAGCAAAGTCAAATAATTTAGAGTTTTCGTACATTCAGCATCTGCTGATACTCATCTAGGAAAAGTGAAGCTCATTTTTTATTCTTCCAAATGTAAGAATAGTACTTTTCATGCTAGTTAAAGACGAAAGGTGGTGTGTGTTGTTCTATAAAATAGTCGACAATGGTGTAATAAATGTCAGACGATAAAGTAGAAGAAGCAGTATTAAAGAAGTCTTAACAGACCATTGTTCGATCCAGTCTCTTTTAGTGCCAACTTTTGTGAGTCTGAAAGGAGAATTTTATCTAGATTTAGTAGCTTCTTAACATAAGTCAGGTCAATATTTTTTGAATGGATACACTACCAACAGACGGTTTCAAATAAATATCCTCTTTTTCGATCGCTTGCGATTGTGAAAGTCTTCTTTATTTCCAATAACTTCAGCGAATGGTCGTGAGTGAACATCCAATATGCTATCAATGTATACCTACAGTCATCCATCTACACCGAGATACTTAATGTCTATTTCTTCCAGAATATAGTTTTCGGGTTAATCTGAAGAAATAGCTCAATTCAAATATATTTAAAGACTCTCATAAGCTCAGCTTGATTTAATCGATAGAGGATACTTTTAACTGTTCTATATCCATAATATATTGTGATCAACTCACAATTGGTGGACATCCGAAAGCCTAATACATCTGACGGAAGATAATTTTCTTTCGTTTTGGTATTAGATTAAGTTTACAGTAGAACCAGGTTAGATTTCGGAGAATGAACGTTATGGAACGTATCATCATAGTAGACGAAGAATGTAGAATGAAACAAATGCATCGACTGCGCACAAATTTGAAGTGAAACAAACAGACTTTCAATTCTATATAGCCACTATTTATGTCGATTAGAATATTGTATTAGATATTACATAGAATGGAGCAGAAGATTATTTCAGTTAGACTTGAGAGTATCGCAAATTGTTCAAAATAAGATTACAGGATTCTGTTCAGCACCTTAGTGCTAACTGTCACCACATAATGCAACTCCTAAACAATTCAACAATGATTTTTTGTCTCTAAATCGTTCAAAATACTAAAAATAATTTTTGTTTCTGATAGCCTGCAACACTTTTCATGATCAAACTACTTATCCAGTTGGGACCTATCCTCAGGCACTAGCAGTTATCGATGTGAATAGTGATAACAAACCCGATATTGTCCTTGTAAACTATGGTTCGAACACTACCAGTGTACTTCTCAACACAGGGAATGGCACTTTTAATGCTCCAACTACTTATTCAGTTGGCGCAGGTCCATCGTCAGTACTAGTCGTCGATGTGAATAGCGACAATAAATCCGATATTATCGTTTCAAACGTTGGTTCGAATACTGTCAGTGTTCTTCTGAACAGAGGTAACGGTACCTTTAATGCTCAAAATACGTTTTCAGTTGGCAGTTACCCCTATTCAGTAGCTGTCGTTGATGTGAATAGCGATAATAAACCTGATATCGTTGTTGCAAACTATTATTCGAACAATGTCGGTGTTCTTCTTAACAGAGGCAACGGTAGCTTTATTGCTCAAACTACTTACGCAGTCGGCAGTAACCCGTATTCAGTAGCTGTCGTCGATGTGAATAGCGATAATAAACCTGATATTATTATTGCATACTATCTTTCGAACAATGTCAGTGTTCTACTTAATACACACAACGGTACCTTTAATTCTGAAACTAGTTACTCAGTTGGCATTACTCCATTTTCAGTAGCTGTCGTCGACGTGAATAACGACACTAAACCTGATATTCTTGTTCCTAACTATGGTTCGAACACTACCAGTGTACTTCTCAACAGAGGCAACGGCAGCTTTAATGCTCAAATTACTTACGTAGTTGGTTATGGCCCTACAGGAGTAGCAGTCGGCGACTTGAATAGCGACAATAAACCTGATATTGTTGTTACAAACTATTATTCGAACAATGTCGGTATTCTTCTCAACACAGGCAATGGCACTTTTAATGCTCAAACTACTTATCCAGCTGGCACCAATCCATACTCAGTAGCAGTTGTCGATGTGAATAGTGATAACAAATCTGATGTTATTGTTACAAATCAAGGTTCGAACACTGTCAGTGTTCTCTTACATTGTTAAGATTTATCAATGATCAGCCTCTATTTATTCATTAACATTTGACTACTCTACTAAGTATATTACTCTTAAAAAATATTATACGATGCGAACTGCTATTTAGGTTCGCTCGATATTATGAAATTCAACAAAACATTGCGATTATGGATAATAATGACATTTCTATTTATGAAACTTTTCAGGATGCATAGAACTATATGTATTGCAATTACTCAAAGTTTAGAACATTAGTTTTGGGCTTGTAAAACAATATAGAAAAGTTTCATAAGCTTAATTATTTTTCTCTGATCTGTTCAAAACAAAATCATTATTTATCGCCAATCAATAAAATTCTTCTTTTGAAAATAAATAAACTATTACTGATTCTTTTAGGGAAAGTATATTTGAAAATGTGAGTAGTATGGCGAGAATGATGGTAAGAAAGGAAGTTACTGATACATTCTTCTAAACATAGTCCAATGAAAATTCAAGTATCTGTTCGAAAGTAGCTAATATCTTTTACTCCACTGGATTTGTATGAATAAAAATATAAATTGCGATAAATCAAATAAATCAAATAATTTTCTAATTTAATTAGGATTTTCATCTCTTTTTTAATTTTATGTTCGATATATGCGATAATATTTGAGATTTATTATTGATTTTTAAACAACAAAGTTGTGCAGATGGATAGACTTTCTTTGTTATTTCATCCAGTTCTGAAATATTCCAATCGGAGAAATAAATCAACAATAACTTCAATGTATTCTAATATATAATTTTACAAAAATCGAACTTTTTGATTCCATCAATCTTCGATATGTATTAGTTATATCGCAAGAAAATGATATAGATCGACATGTAAATTTGATGAATGGTGTGAGCTAGTGTAATTGAACCGTAGGTTAAGAGAAGATACAAAGTCTTATTGTCATCCCTTCTTTAAATCTATACAACCGCACACTCATCCTATATTTTTTAATGATTTAACGAAGGCACAAAAATGAATTTTGACGGTAGATGTAGATTTGGCTGATGAGTGATATAAGCACCCACACTCTAATAGTCATATATTATTAGCAATATGAGATGAAGACAAACAGTGTTGCTGTGGTTACTTTTACTATACATCCACACGCTCATCTACAGCGACACCCACACACATATCGACATTCACAAGATGGTTTTTTGTAGTGATTTCCGCATTTTCCATTCAGAAAACTAACTTATCTATTCTCATCCTCAGACTATTTTCGACAAAAATACTTATCCATCATGATACTTATATTCTCGTTGCTGCAAGAACAATTTTGTAGTCATTGGCGCATTTTCCATCCAGATAAAAAACTTATTTGTTGTCATCTTCAGAATCTTTTTTCAGAACAACTTGTCCATTATGGTACTTATATTCTCCTGGTTGAAAAAGCTTTTTGTAATCATTTGCGCATTCTCCTTCCAGAAAAAAATACTTATTCATTCTCATCATCGGACTCTTTCCGGCAAAAAAAGTTGTCTATCATCATTTCTATATTCTCATTGGCAGACGCATTTTTCTTGCTCATATTTCTATACTCTCCTTTGTGAATAAAATGTACTTCTTTTTACTTGAGTCTTTTTTTGAAAAAAAACTTGTCTATCATTGCTCTTACATTCTCAATATCGGAAGGAATATTTTTTTCTCTCATTGTTACATTTTCTTTTTCAGAAAAAATCATTGTAACTCTCGTACGAAGAGAAGGAAATTATTTTATAACTCAGTAGTAAGTGGTAAGTGTGGTTTGATTTTTTTGTCTTTCAGTGGATAGATGTAAAGACCTGAGATATAATCGACTAGTTATTCATTCAGCAGAGTTTTTAACTAGTCGTGATAGTAAGGATCGGCAAAACAGTCTCATCTTCATACACCGTAGCATCAGTGTAAAGCAGATAATCTACTTTACCACACTAAGTAACGTGATCAATAGAAAATTTTAAAAATTAGTTAATCGAATACTTCGACGGTTAAAGTCTCCGTTGAGTGGAATGGTAACAGAAATGTTGAACAGATGATTACTTGAATACTTTGTTAGATATGTGAAAAGTAAAATGCTCAAATAGTTGTGTGAGTGAATAAGTGCATCGTTTTATTTTTTTGGAGAAAAATTTGTTGCAAAACTTACATTGCTTTTTTCCAGGAATAAATAATTATTAAACTAGAGAGAAAGAGTGTTGTAGAAAATAAAAGAAAAAGAATAGTCATAAAATATACTCAAACATTATAAAATATTTTAGAAACTAAAGAAACACAACATGTTTTGGCTGATATTTATTCTATCATTATTTTGTGTTTGTAATGCTATTCTTATTACTAAAATACAAAATACTATTATAGTTGGTAATATCTATAATAATTTACTCAATGTAACAGAAGATCAATGCATATGTGAAATGATAGAAGCAAATGATGCAATATCTGCTTTGAATTATTTTTCAACAAATCAAACTTGTCAATTATATCGCTCAAATAGCAGTACAGTTTATGTTGAATTTTCTTTAAATTCTACTATTATATTTCTTAATCAATCATCAATATCAATATTAAATATTCAAGAATATCGTAAGTTTTTATTTCGCAGTATTACAAAAACATTCTAACTATTTATACACGCAAATTTCGATAGTCTAAATGAATTTGACGTTTGTAATTTTTAAATTCTAAAAAACTTGTTAATATCTCAATGATACTTCTCAGTGACTGTAATTTGTAGTGTTCGCTAATCATTAGCATTTGTCCTTAGCATGGGATCATCCACAAAAAATGAACCAGATTAATGGATCAATAAGTGCTAGATTGTTAATAAAACCTTATCCAATTTTCTTGTTTCATGTAAACTCCATTTTTCTAAACAGAATCGAGTACGTCATTATCAACATCGACAACAATATCATCAACCTCACCATCGACAAGACCATCATCATCCACATCAACAACAACAACATCGACAAGAACATCATCACCAACCTCAACAGCATCAATAACAACCTCAACAACAACAAGTGGTGAGTGTAGAGTTAAATATTTAATGCTTACGTCAGATGTCGCGAAGAGAAATAGTTTCACTAGATTTTAAAATGTAGTGTTTGATACTTCCAATCATCTCAAATCCGAATAAATAAGGCGAGTATATTGGACAGAAAACTTCTCAGAACGAAAAAATGATCTTTCTACATAAACAAGCTAGTATCTGTGTACAAAGTTGAAGACAGTATAAATTAATATTTGCCGAATCGATTTTCTTGTAAATATCTGACAGTTGATTATGTTGTTGTCGTTTTTCAATACATAAGAATATTCATTGTAACGTGCAAAGTATACTTTGAGAATGATTGTTATTGTATTTAGAACAACTGAAGGTACTAATTGACGTTTTTTAACTTGTCGTAATTTTCTAGACTTGACTGTTTTATCCTTCTCTATACATCGACTGAACTAAGAAGTTGGCCCGTAAAGTGATAAGTAAAATTTTATCAAACTATGAAAGACCTTATTATGTTTTTATCAGTGGTGTATAGTTATTGTGAGTGTGAGTATTAGAGTAAGGGTAATGTAATACCCACATTTACACCCACACCCACCCTAAAGAATTCAACGATGGCTTCTCGTGTCTAAATCATTCGAAATACTAAAAATAATTTTTGTTTTTAATAGCCAGCAACTCTTTTCTTAATCAAAGTACTTACTCAACTGGCGTTAACCCATTCTCAGTAGCTGTTGTCGATGTGAATAGTGATAATCAACCTGATATTATTGTTGCAAATGCAGATGATAGCACCGTCAGTGTTCTTCTCAATGCAGGCAGTGGCACTTTTAATGTTCAAACTACTTATCCAGTTGGTAGTTATCCAGTATCAGTAACTGTCGTCGATGTGAATAGCGACAACAAATCCGATATTGTTGTTGCAAACGCTGCCGATAATACCGTCGGTGTTCTTCTTAACGCAGGCAGCGGCACTTTTAATGCCCAAACAACTTACCCAGTTGGCAATATCCCTCAAGCGGTAGCTGTTGTCGATGTGAATAACGACAACAAACCCGATATTATTGTTGCAAACACTGGTAATAACACCGTCAGTGTTCTTCTCAATGCAGGCAGCGGCACCTTTAATGCTCAAACTACTTATGCAGTTGGCGGTGGCCCTCAAGCGGTAGCCGTTGTCGATATGAATAGCGACAACAAACTCGATATTATTGTTGCAAACACTGGTAATAACACCGTCAGTGTTCTTCTCAATGCAGGCAGCGGCACCTTTAATGCTCAAATTACTTATCCAGTTGGTAGTTATCCATTATCAGTAGCTATCGCCGATGTAAATAGCGACAACAAACCCGATATTGTTGTTGCAAACGCTGGTAATAACACCGTCGGTGTTCTTCTTAACGCAGGCAGCGGCACTTTTAATGGTCAAACTACTTATCCAGCTGGCACTAATCCATACTCAGTAGCTGTCGTCGATGTGAATAGCGACAACAAACCCGATATTGTTGTTGCAAACGCTGCCGATAGCACCGTCAGTGTTCTTCTCAATGCAGGCAATGGCACTTTTCATGCTCAAACTATTTATTCAGTTGGCACTAATCCATCTTCAGTGGCTGTCGTCGATGTGAATAGTGATAATAAACCTGATATTATTGCTGCAAACTATAGTTCGAACAACGTCAGTGTTCTCTTGCATTGTTAAGACTTATTAATAATTAACCTTTATTTATTCAATAACATTTTACTACTCTACTCAAAATATTACGCTTATAAAACATTATACAATGCGAACTGCTATTTACGCTTGCTCGATATTATGAATGTCAACAAAACATTGCGATCATGGATAATATTGGCAAATACACTAGTATCCATATATTAGACATTAATTCATTATTTAATAATAACATTTCTACTTATGGAACTATTCTGGATGCATAGAACTATATGTATTACAATTACTCAAAGTGCAAAACACTAGAAAAGTTTCATAAGCATCATTATTTTTCTGTGATCTGTTCAAAACAAGATCATTCATTTTGAGCATTCATTAAAATTCTTCTTTTGAAAATAAATAAACTATTATACTGATTCTTTGTGTGAAAGTATATTTGAAGATGTGAGTGGTATCATGAGTATGGTGGTAAAAAAGGAAGTCATTCTCACATCCTTCTAAGCCTAGTTCAATGAAAATTCAAGTATCTAGTGGAAAGTGGCTAATATCTTTTAGTCCACTAGATTTCGATCAATATAAATAGAAATTGTGACAAACCAGATCAATAAAATAGTTTCTCTAATTTAATTAAGATTTTTACTTTTTTTTAATTATATGTTCGGTATATGCGATAATACTTAAGATTTCTTATTGATTTTTAAGCAACGAAATCGTGTAGATGAATAGACTTTCTTTGTTATTTCATCTAGTTTTAAAATACTCTAATCGGATAAATAAATCAACAATGATTTCAATGTATTCTAATGAATAAAATCTTTCATTCGTATAGAATCATATTTCTTTTCAGCTTCTATGTTGTATATTTCATATCCATCGTCGTACGAATATAAAACTAACATGCCGATTGTGCGATGCTGATAATAGAAAAAAAATTGAATAAAGCATTTAGGACTTTCAAATGATTCAAATTTGAGGTCCTTTCATACTTTTTTCGTTAAATTCATTTATCCTTCCTTGGGCGAGACTTATTAAATGTGTCTGTTGTTAGAAATAATGATGGACCGAATGAATGAATGAATCCAAGTTTGACAAAATATTCTTGCTTTTAGCTTTTTTTCTCTTTCCTCAAATTTTATATTTTATCTTAAACCTTTAATTTTTTTTAACTACGTATTTTCTATATTGACGACGTATAATAAATGACATTTGCTCTCGCTTTCTTCAATACAAGTGTTGAAAAGAATATAAGACCCACTCTTTTCTGTATTTATCGACGATTTTTATGCTGGGTTAGTCAGAAAGATTTTAACGTCAATATCACAACTTAATACACTCATACAAATTCTTTCTTTTTTCTCATTATTTCCCGATGAATTTTTCATCTTCGAAGGACTGATCAAATCATTAACAATTATGAATAACGATACAAATGATCAGGATGTAATCCATTCAATAGAGTAGCAATGTAAAAATAATACTTATTTATTCTGATTTCTTTTAGCTTCAATCAACTGATATTGATTCATCTCAAACAACAACGTATATCCCTTCTAAATGATTCATATACTTAGAAAAATTATGTTTCATTTCAGTTCCGTACAGATTCGATAATAGATTATTTTGATCTATTGATTGACTAATAAAAATATTACACAATAAAATATATTGCAGTTCATTGAAACACTTTCATGTTAGTAAGATAGATACAATACAAAAGATCATCATGATGCATAATAAGAAATGTGATGAATACGTCAAAAAAGTACAGAAGAGCAACATGAATACTATGCTTCGCATTACACTAACAAAGATACTTTTCATCAAAATCTTTTCGATCCTAATATTTATCTTTCAGTTATAATTAATAGTGTAAAATGAGAAAAAAAGTAGTAGATCCTAAGATCTACCAAAAGTTAAAAGCATTTTATTTTATTAAAGAAAGTAACAAGTATTTATGTAATTTCAAATCATGTGAATATTGATTGTAAGCCATATTTAATGACTATTTTGACATTTGTTTTATTTTACTTCAAGTCAATTTTATTTTTCAAAACTTTTGTATTCATATAAGATTGAGGTTATGAAAAGAAATATAAACAATAGAGTATTAGTAACTTATATAATTAATCTGATCGACTGATGAAACTGATATGTTTACGCACACATCTAGAAACTAGGAAAAAAAGAAAAAAAAACTCGCGAAAGACTGTATAGATGCTTTGTTCTGCATCGTATTAATAACGTACATGAATGATTACATCTGTTGATTTTTTTTTAATCAGCTTGTCGAATGATCTTGTCGAGATAATTTTGTTTTGTGAACATTAAAGATGATCCAATATCGTCTTAAAAAGGTGAATTAAAAAAATAGCTTCAACACTTTTCTATTGACAAGTTTGTTGATGAAAGCGATAACCGATTTAGTGTACATATTTTGAATATCATCAAGTTCATCTTTGTTATTCTTGACCAAATAATAAAGATAAAACTTCATCTATCAAGCAATTCTTAACTTATCAAAAACATCGTCATATACTTCATTAATCATATCAATCTCATTAATATTCTTTCGTTTTTCTACAAATTTTTTTATCTTATGTAGATATTCATATAATGATCGATCTATCATAGATTTCATTAGCAAAATATAAACAGAATTTAATCTTCGAATATTGTCTTGTTTCAATTAATTTTTTTAATTTATACATATATACATATGTGTTCATGTATTTTGACACATAAAGTTGTTCCTCATGGATTAAGTAAAACTTGTCACTTGATTGTCTCTCGTATCTCACTGAATATGATTGACAGTGAATACGTAATGACGATGCGACATGCAAGTTCTGACACTGATTTCCTAATCATATATATTTTTCCACGATAGCACGAAACGCAGTGATTCTTCCAGCTAATCTCTTCCGTTTCACATACATGCATGATTTTAAATATAACTTATAGCACAGGAGGGATGATGAATTCACTAAAATTTTAACCTCTTAGAAAAAAATCAATCAATAAACAGCAGGGTGTGATGATTTCTGTATTCACCATTGAATTATTATAGATTATTTTATCGCTCATACCGCTATCTCTTTCATGCTCACCGGTCATCATATAATATGATGACTATGAACATTTAAATATTTGTAATCTTCTTGAAAAAATTCTTTTGTTCTTTTAAATGAAAAATATACATATATATTAAATAAGAATATTAAATTAAATATCATTTCTTTTTTGCGTTTTATTGTTGTCTTAATTTTTAGGACAATCAAATAACATAAGAGAATTGATCAACAGACGGTATCAATTACAGAGAGTGTCTCAATGCATGATCGGTGGCACTGTTTATATACATCTGTCGGCATCCAGTCAATCAGTTAGAAGATCTTAAAATGAAACATTTTACGCTTTTCCTATTCCTTTTGAACGTTTTGTTTGATCAAATAAAAATCAGGCAACCTGATGGACGAAAGAGAGCGAGAGAAGCAAAAAAATGTGTGGGAGAAAAAAAGAATGTTTGTTTTAAAGAGAACAGCAGCTGAATGAAATAAAGTTGAACTAATAGAAAGAAGAGAGTGAACACAAAACATATATACTGCAACGCGTATCTATTCAAAGAAATAACCAAGTAAGTTTTTAAAATCAGTCAGAAAAAACGATTACGTATATTGAATTTCTTCGAAATTTACACCTTGAATTCTATGTAATTATTCATCTAAGCATGTCGAGAGATTCATGATTCATGGATTCTCGTCATACTTGACATATAGTGTCAATCGTTTACCTTCTCTCTCTCTTCATAGTCATTCATTCATTGTTGATGATCGATCAATGATCACCCCGTGACGAATATCTGCAGGATATCCACTTGATATTTTTTTATTTTATTTTATTTTCAAGTACACTATTAATACCTTTTGTGTAAAAATAAAATCTATTGAATTTAAAATCTTTGTCATTTTTCTATTGGCACGTGTCATTTTATCAGAATTTTGATATAACGAATTTTTTTTTTCTTTATTGCTATATCATATCAGTTGACAGAGGGATATTGGAGACAAGCAATTATCACCTATATCAGAAGAGATTGTCATTGAAATAGAAGGTGTGAAGGTAAAGAGACTGATAAGGAAAATATTAAAGATTTCAATCGAAGTTCAGATGCCTGCAGCTAATGAGATACTATTTTGTTCTTAATTAATATTGAAAAGGTTAAGAACACCATCTGTCTAAATAACAACAGATAGAGGTTTAGTAGAAAAGTTCATCATTTTTTTCGTATGAATGTTATTAATGAGAATAAAATCTTGTTGTTATTCTATTCTTTCTTGTTTTTATTTTTTTTGTATATTAAGAAATAACAAATATAGTCACAAACACTTGACTTTCATATAAAAGACATGAGTTTAGTCTTCGATTCTTATTTTGTTTTATACAAGAGTTATTTAATTGTATACCTATATCGATTATGTAAAACGCACAGTAGGCGGGCATTGCGCGCTTCATCGGCCTTAGGCCATTCATTTGCTTTTTTTTTTCAAATACACGTGTGTTTACTCATTAGGAATGAATGAATAGGGCTTCGTAGTAGAAATAAAAAAGAAATTATATGTGATAAAGCTTCTCCACCCTTTATCTCTCTTGAGAATGTGCGTCTAGGTGATCAAGTGTCTGATTTAAGACGCCTGATCAGACGTGGATTTCATTAAATGAAATGAACAGCCGTTGGGCATTAACAATGAAAATATATATATATTTCTAGTTCTATTACACTCAATAATCGAAATTGTCTGATTATTTCATAATTATTAACCGTTAATTTTTTAGCTAGATAACATAAGTGTGACATACGCCTACTCTTTAAATTTTAAGAGTCTGTAAACTTCAAACGAAATACCAATTCACTCAATAGGAGGTGACATCATCGTTTCGAAATAGAGTATATAATTGAAAGGTAGAAATCTTTACTTGAAAAATCATCAGAGAATCGTCTATCTCATGAGTACTGCATAATTAACGGATTGGTGTTTATTGATGGCATCAGGCTAAATAAAATGATAAAGTGTGAAAATTATCGATTCGTTCGAATCAATATATTCTAATTCATTGTTATTCTATAAGCTCGTTCGATCTGTTTCACTTAATCATTAAGTCTATTTTGATATAAGCTTCGATTAAAAACGTGTGGAAGAATATATATATATATATATATACAGTATGTATCTAAGTAGGGTTTTGATGTTGTAATATATACATATTGATAATTTATGTAACATTTCTTTTTTGAATTATTATCCTTCATCAAATGTTATTTATCTAGGGAGAATGAAGAAACATCTTACTTTTTTTAAAAAATTGATCATATTTAGAATGTAAAAATGGCCACCTACTGCTTTTTTTCTAGCCGCGCATCTAATTGCGTAATCATATTAGGATCAGAAACATTTTTTTTTGTCTACGTGTATATAGATTGATCTCATCAATTTATAGTCTTATATCTATATAAGTTATTCCATGTCTGTTAAATAAAATTCCATTCTTCAAAATTCTAATAAAAAAAAGTAAGACAAGCAAATGATTATGTATTTAACATAGATGTGTGAATTTTTCCGGTGTATCTATATTCTACTAGAAAATAACAACATTTGCTTGTTAATGCTTAACTCAAGTGGATGTTGTTCGATACACACACTTACGATATATGTCTCATCCCGTCTGTTATTATGGAATGAGAAATATATATATATATATATATATCGATTTTATTTTTTCCGCTTTTTAAGCAATAAAAATATATATATATATATTCATATTAGTCATTTTCTTAAATGAAAATGTCTATGTGAACTGCTCATATACATTTGAAATGTTCGAGTATGTAAAAACAATGTTTCCAGAAAGAGAATATCGTAAGTTGATGATTTAATTCATTAAAAACTTGAGTTTTGAATATAATATATTGGAATGTTATTTTCTTGTCACGCATAATGATGAGATATCATGACTTGTAGTATCCGTTAAATATGATTACATGAACATCAAAGATCTATTCAATGCTGAGAAAAGTTCATCTGTCTTTTATTGTATTGAAGTTTCGCTTGAACAGTCTTTTCTATTGTTTTTATTAATTAAAATTGACATTGACTCGCTAACTGTAGAAGCATGAAATGTAGTCGTTTGTTCTATGTGTCGCTTTGAAACTATTGATGAACATCTATGTTGTTCATAATCGATAAGATGGATAGGTATTTTTTTTCTTCTTCATCAAATATTCATGTTGAATTTGTCTCATGCCATGTTTTATAAAAAATGATTTTTCTACGTGCTTATTTCATGTTTTCTACTTCTATCATTGATACGAAACATGACAGCAGTATGTTTGTATGACAATTAAAATCTCACCTCTTTTCCTTTCTCTACACCGAATGATGAACGAGCATGAGAATGAAAATTTGATTGTTCAAGCTGGATGAGTTAATCTCGTCACTTGATTTTTTTCATCTTTCATAGTTTATTGACAAAAAAACAACAGCTTAAAATAACACATCATTTTTCTAAAAAATATTTCGATATTTTAGAACAACAATACTGGTCACGACAACGTTATAAGTTAAATATTATTGACTCTCACCAAGATCATCATCATCATCATCATCGAATAAGTGGTAAGCGAGAACATTCCTATTTTTCTTTGAAATCAGATCATTCTAATATTTACAAATTTTCGATTTCCAGTAGAGACTAATTCCTATTTAAAACAGATATGACATTATCATTATGTTAAATGTCAGTCAATGACAGATGATATTTTTCCAAATCGTTTGATTTCTCCTTTTTTTCGTGATCCGGACATTTGTCATTTCCTTTAAATAATGAGATGTAACGGATAAATCGTATACTTACTTCTACTATATTGAGGTAAGTGTTCGATTGAACTGACCGTTGCAAGTATTATCACTTATTAAAAATTTTTGATTTTCGTTATATGGGTGAATGCACGCGCTCGTGCGTCTCACTTGATTATATTGAAGAATACTCAACGTCATCTGTTCTCTCTCATCGGTTTATATCAAAAAATAAAAAAGAAGGATTTGTTTATTCAATTTTATTTGATGTAAATTTCATGATTATGAATTTATTTATTTCATCATAATATTGATCAGTTGGAGAGAGAGAAAAAAAAGCAACGAAATGTCTTCGATTTAATGACAGAAAAGTGTCATTTTCAATTTTTCTTTTCGAACTGATCATTAACTCAATTATATAATTCGTTTTCCGATTATTGTGCAATTCTAATCCTTCTAGCCCACCTCTTTTTCCTCTTCTTCTTATTTGAACATTACTGATGGTGGTGTCCGTTGACTAAATGGGTAAATATATAATCACAATCGTCATGCTTGTATATATGTCAATCAGACTGTCTGTTCTAGTGATTAATAAGAGAGTAGGAGGTAACATATCTTTGCTACATCAACGAGAAATATAGGGGGCTAAAATAATCGAATAAGAATAGATAACTTTGTTCATTCTGTTTTTCGAGACACTTCGGTGAGCAATATACAGCTGCCTATGGTTGATCGAAAAGAGAAAAGAAAAACATTAGATATATATATATATACATTTCTTTTGCTCTTTTCTAATCATTCATAGTCAATTATATATTGTCTCATTTCAGATTCAGATATTAGTGCCATCCCACTAGAGGTAAATTTTTCTTGAAAAATATTATTTAAATATATATATATTTATCTTTTTTTTCAGAATAATTCTTATCCTTCAATCATCATGAGTAATGAAGGACTCGCAATAACACCAGCATCATCAACAAATAAACGTTCATTAACTGAACATTTTGTTGATTATGTTAAAAAAAGTAAACGTCTTGTTCCATCTGGAATTTTATCACCAAACAAAAAACCTAAAGAATCGATTTCTTCATCGAAACGAGGTTCATTATGTATTGCATATGAAATAACTAAAAATTCAATTTTAACACTACACGGTAAGAATAAATATTCTTTTCTTTTCTTTTTTTGTTTATAAATTTGTTCGATTGATTAATTAGTTTTAAGAGAAAACCATATGGCTATTTTTTTGTTTATTTTTTAGTGATACGAGCCAGACAATTGTCATTTATACATCCGGATAATCATTCATTAAATACATTTGTTAAAGTCAAATTTTTTGACTATGAACAATCTTCAACAATAATCTATAATACAAATTCACCTGTTTACGATGAAAAATTTTTAATGTAAGATTTTAAATCTATGAACAAAACAAAAAAAGACAAATCTTATCTATATGAATATTTAGACCTATGAATACAAATAATTTATCAACACTATCAAAACGCTTAACAATCTCTGTTTACAATCAATCGGTAACAGATAATAAGTAAGTCTTCAAACGAACATTATTTTAACAAGTTTTGTATTTGTGTGAAAACACTAATCGAATCTGGTGTTTTTTTTGTTCTTCTTCTTCTTTTGCCTTTTCGTATTGTTATTCTTCCTTAGAAAATGTGTAAGAAGAAGATTCCCTATCTTTTCTCCCGTTCACAAGTGATATATCTTCTCTCGTCTGACGACGAATAAATATCCAGGGAAGAAGGAGAAAGAAAAAGCCTATCTATTCTATTCGATCTATTCTCATTCGTATATATAAACATATTCGTCATTTTTTTTTAGAAGTGACTTAATCGGATGTATGTCATTTAATATGAAAACTCTTCTCAAAACAACCAGCTGTACAAAAGTAAGAAAATTGATTCGAGTGTGAACTAATGATTTAAATATGTAATAAAAACAAATTGATGATTATGATTATTGTTTTTCTTTAGACTTCATCAAAATATAAATGGTATTGTCTATTGCCGGAATCAATTGGACGACATAAACGAATGACACTAAATGTCGAAGTTTCATCCTCACATAGTCGAAAAACAACAGCAACACGACGACCACATTCTTCCAAAGGAAATCATCATACCAATGGACTTTTATTAAATGTATGTTTAATAATCTCAAAACAAAGAGAATAGATTCAAAGAAGTCATAGTTAGAGAATATATTCGAATAGAATTAATCATCTCGAAAGCAGATCAAAGTTCAATCTAATTTAAGAATAAAAAATTCTATTACACTAAATAAATTTTGAACTTTTAATCCTTTTAGAAAGGTACAAAGATGTGAGTAGAATATAATCCTCTCATAGATCGATATTCTAGCATATACTATGTGTTAACCACCGTTAGATTCTATTACTTTAAGAAAAGAAAAATATAGCTTTTACAGAATACATTATAAATGAATTTAATTTTAGGTGGATGTATTTGATCATGATGATATTCATTTTGCTTCCGGATATCCTTGTACAGTTAGTGAAGTTAAATCTGGTATTGGTTCAAGTTGTACTCGACCAATGCCTGGTGATATTCTTCTTCAAGTGAATGATACAAATGTATCACGAACACAAGCTAAAGCTGTTCATAAATTAATAAAGTAAGTTATTTCTTGTTTTTAAAAGAAAAATTCATTGTGTTTTTTTTTAATAGAAATTTACCATTACCCATAACTCTTCAATTATATCGTCGTTCTATACCATCGATATCATCAGTAAAAATTGATAAAATTGTTTTAAATTCAGTTGATCAACATCAACCATTAAATAATAATATATTCTCAAAAAAATCCGATCATAATTATTCATTTAGTGAAACATATGCTGATCAAGCATTTTGTTCATCCGATAAACCATATAATAATTATGATGAAATAACTAATTGTCTTTTACCTGAAACAATTATTCTTAATAATCATAAACAAGATCAATCTTTACTTATGTCACCAATTCATCGAAAAATATCTGAAACACAAAGTGATGAAAGTGAATCAGGTGTTGGTTCGGAAAGTAATGCTTATTCTGATGGTGAACATCGTCTGGTATGTTAAAATTCTTTTCATTTTAAAAAAACAAAAATTATTATCTTTGTTTTTCGTATTTAAAGGAAATTATCTCTGAAACATATGAACGTGAAGCATTACATTTAATTGAAATTGAAAAAGAATTTATTTGTCAACTTGAACTTGGTGTACAATTATATTCACGTCCATTAAAACATTATTTAATATCATCAAATGAACATGCAAAATTATTTCAAAATATTGAAAAAATCTTAGCTATATCACGTTATCAATTAAATCGTTTACAATCATTATCTGAACGAATAATTATTAGTCATATTGGTCGAATATTTCATGAAAAAGTTCAATTGATATGTGAAGCATTTACACGTTATATATCTGGTTATTCAGATGCTTGTTTACAATTAAAACAATTAAATAAATGTGCAAGTTTTCAACGATTTATCAATCAAGGAAATAATTCAAATCTTTCAATTGAACAGTTTTTACAAATACCATTAAATCATATGGATAATCTTGCAAATCAATTAGATACATTATGTTGTACATGTGAAAATGCCAATGATGCAAATTATCTTTTACATGTTTTGAAAGAATTACGTCAGTGTTCATTATATCATGAATCATCAACATCAATAAGTCAACATCATTGTACAACAACAATGACATTGAACAGTGCTAGTAGAATAACATCATCATTAAATAATTATTCTGAAGATCAAGAAATTCTTGATTTACAAAATCATCTTCAATTTGCAAAAAATATTCAAGTAAGAAAAAAAGAAAAAACATTCTCTTTAATTTAATTCTATTTTATTTTATTTAGAATGTAACATTAATTGGTAGAAATCGACATGTTATCTTTTCGGATGTACTTCTATTACAAGATGAAAATAGAAGTTATATTGAGGTGAAAAATTATTAATTTTTCTTTTTTCTTAAAATTAAAATATTATTATATTTTAGACATGGGCGATTCTTTTAAATGACATGCTTTTATTTACACAACGAAATGCGATTGATAAACGTTTGACACTTGTTCGTGATGCAATTTTATTAAATGATATTGTTGATTTTCGATCTAGTAATGAACGTATGTAATCAAAATATTATTTTAGACAACAAATAAATTTATTTATTATAATATAGGTGAAGATGCATTGATATTCCTATCGAATAAACCGAATATTCCATATAAAATCCGTTATCCAAGTAAATGTTTACAATGTACATGGCAAACAATACTTGAACAACGTCTTAAAACTTGGCAACGATCAATACATGATGAATCTTCATCGGCCGATTCCGATCTTGAATGAAAAATTATTATTCTTATCATTATTCTGTTTCTTTCTTTTTCTCTTTTTTTTTTGAATCTAATTATTGAAAAAAAAAACAAAGCCATGCTTTTTTTTTGAAAAGAATTATTATTATTATTTTTTGTCGATGTGTGTTTCGTTCTCTATTGAAATTTTTCTTTTTTTTCTCTGTTTATCTAAATCTGAACGATGTTTTATTTGTATTATTCCATTGTTAATGTCAATCTTTTTGTTTTGTCTTCCTGTCTTTTTTTTTCCTTTACTCTGCTAATTATTGTATTTAAGATGAAAATGTGAGAAAGAGCAGAAGATGAATATGGAGACTTAAATAAGTTAATTTATTTTTTTTTGTGATGAAAAATTGTTCGATGGTAGAAAAATAAATAAAATGAAAATTTGTTTTTTTATGAAAAATATTATTTTATTAATCAGTTGCAAAATTAGTGATTTTTTTCACCGCTATCAATGATCTAATACATAATGATGATGATGATAGCATCATTTCAGAGAATGAACATATCTTACATAAGAGTATATAATTTCGATTTCATTCATTATTAAAAGTGTGATATATTTGTTCACAGAATAATATATCTGTTTGAATGCAAAGTTTTCAGATAATAAAAAAATAATATTTGCACATAAGTAGAATGAATAAGAAACTAATAGAAACTACAAGTAAATATGATTTAAGAAAAGTTGGCAATCGGTTTTTAAGCATGTTATGTATCTGTCATTAGTAGGGTGCGGCGGTTCCAAAAAAAATGGAACCGCGATTCTTGGTCCGGTTTCAGGTAATTTTTGAAACTGTCGTACTCTAGTTATAAGATGTCTACAGAAAATACGGTTATATCGTTACTAAATGTTTCTTTCAAAATAAACATATATGGAAATTATTGTTTTTAATGGAGATTGATTTTGTTTCTAAAATAATTTTAAATATTAAAAATAGAAAGAAAAATAATTGCAAATATATATATGTATATATGTATTAAAGATCAGACGTGTTGTGTATATATCGTAAAAAACACGCACGTCGTCGTTACATAAACGAAACGAAAGACGAAGGAACAAATGAAACATGAAATAAATCTATGATGAGAAATAAGTATGGTAAACAGGGGTAATAACAAGAAAAAAAAAGAATGTCGTGATATGTAGTATTTGTTTTGATGAGTATAGATGAGAAAAGAAAAAGGTTGATATAAAGAACAATAAATAGATCAACGTTTAACTGTTATCGCGAATTTTAGCTTTTGAATTAGAATTTGAACGCATTTGCCTTTGTTGTTGATGAAAATTGGTCGGTGTACTTTGTCGTGGTCGATAATCAAGTTTATAACCTTCTAAAATATTCACTATTTAAAAAAAGTCTTTTTTTTATAATAGTTTGTTTTTCTACCTCTTGTATTATGAGCATAGTTTGAATCGGATAAATACTGTTCTGGACAGGCAAATGCTAAATGACCAAGATCTCCACAAGTATAACATGCTTTTGGCCGATTATGTTGTTGTTGCTGTTGTTGTTGTTGTTGTTGTTGTTGCTGCTGTTGCTGTTGTTGTAGATAAGATGTTTGTGATTGTCGTTGTTGAGGATGACATGAATTTTGTTGAAACTGATGTGACTCTGATTGGTAATGTTGTCTATGACGATAATGGGATTGGTGATGACGAGAAACATTTGATGATGTTGATGGATGATGAAGATTTTGTCCATTTTGTTCGGGTGGTGTATTAGTACCATTTGATTGTGATGTTGTACGTGAATTAGACATAAGTCCTTGTGTACCATTAGAATTTGTAATAAAACTAGCACCAGATGGATTATTTGTATTAGCTGCAGCAGCTGCTACTGCTGCCATATTTGGAGCAAATAATCTCATAAAATCAGGTGATGTTGATGGAAAACCAGGCGGAATTGCGATTGGAAATATACAGGGATCACCTGGATTATATAGAAATGAATGTGTAGCTAATAGTGGAACATGATGTTGATTTTGAGGAGGACAGTTGGATGATGACGATGATGATGATGGTGGTGGTGGTGGCAGTGAAGGGGGTGGTGGAGGTGGTGGTTGTAGTGGAGGAGGAGGAGGAGGGGCACTATTATTAGTTGCATTTGTCACTGTTCCTGTTTTAGGTAATTTTGGACTTGGACTTGATGATACAGATGATCGAACACCGGCAAAATTAATAAGAATATGTTCAAATTGATTTCGATCAAAGCCAGGTGGTGGTGTACGAGATCGTTGTTGTTGTTGTTGCTGTTGTTGTTGTACAACAGTCATCAATGCTGCATCAAGTAAAGGTGGTAGCGGTGGTGGTGATGCAGATGAAGATGATGATGGCATTTGAACAAAAGTACATGGTGAACGAATAGTTTTATTACTGTTACTTAAATGAACACTCATAGGTCTAAATAGAACAAAAATGAATTTAGAATAAACAAAAAAGAAAAGTGAATCTATTTATTTATTTATTTACTTTAAATCATCTAAAGCACCACATAATAATTGAGCCGTATTTGGATCAAGTCCATCAACAATAAGATCATTTGCAGTTAGTTTTGCTAACTAAAATTTTCTAATCAATTCTTAATAGATATATATTAATATAATATTTTACTTCATCCATTGAATATCTTCGTAAATAATCCTGATGTTCTGCAAGAATAGAACCTGGTCCAGGCATTCGATCCGTTTGAGTTTCTTCACATCGTACTTCTAATCCAGTTTGTGTACCATTATGTGTTGGAACTATTGAACGAGCTTGTTTTGCTACATCTAATTGTTGTTTAGGTTTATTAATACTTAATGATAATTTTGGTGAACATAAAGTTTTATTATCTGAATCTGATTGTTGTTGAATAGGTAATTCACATTCTGTAAAAAATATATATATATAAATCTTTTCTATATCTAAGATAATATAATAACATACGAAGTGGTGTCATTCCATTCGAATATGATGGTGATGATGATAATGATTCATCGAAAGTATTATTAGAATTAAATAAACGTTGTTTTGAATCGACAAGTTTTAATGATGAATTAAAAAATTTAGCTAATGTTGATATTGTTGATATGTAAGAGGAAAAATAGACAAGATGTCTATGAAGAATTTAATTATTTATTGAATAAATGAAATAGAAGAAGAAAATAACTTACGCCATATATATGCCAATATTCTTTTTCATTAATTCAATATCTGATTCAGTTGAGGAACCAATATCACGTAAATAACCTGAAATATTCATTAAACGTTCTAGTCGTACATCATCATGATAAACAATATTCGATAACTAAAAGAGTAAAAAAATAAATATTTGAATAATTATGTAATTTATAAAATCTTTCATATAAGAGTTTACATAAACGTTAAAAGGATATAAATATCATGATAGATCTAAGGATAACTATAGAAGGATAGAATTTCAAATATACTTGTAAATGAAATGATCGAATATCATTTGGAGTTTTCCATGCAAGAGTTGAATTATTATCGGACCAATCTGCTTTAATTAATACTCTCATTGGCGTTGATTCTGTATCAAAATTCACAACACCTAATCGTGTTAACAGAGCTAGAAATATACAAATATATTTCTATTATTAAACAAAACAAAAATAATGTTATCATACGTGATGCATGTACACTTAATGTATTTGAATTATGCATTGATGATGATGATGATGATAATACATGATGACCTAAACATGTTGATTCATCAAGTGTATCATCATCTTCATTATTATTATTGTTATTATTATTATGTACGGTTTGTAATAATTTCATTTTTCTTTGTCTTTTTTCTAAATCTTTAAATATTTGTGCCATTTGTGTACGCATATCAAAACTAAATGCTGGATGATTAGAAGCTAAACAAAATATAATTAAGATTTCATCCATTGTTCGATCATCCAAATCATCACGTTCAAGAAGTATATCAACTAATTTAACACTTTCACTTGCTTTTAAACGACGAAATAATCGTATAGCACATGGACGATTTTTTGCCCAGAGAAGAGCTTAATTAAGAAAACAAAAACATTTATATAAATTAAATTTAAATATAAATATCATTACCAATATCAACAATCGCATGTGCACGTGTAAATTGATCAGTTAAATCTAATTTTTCATCAGATAAACTATCTGTTTGTTGATTATTTTGTTCATTATTACTTAATACAGATGAAGTAGATGATGATGATGGAACATTTTGTGTTAATAAATGATTTGTTTTTTGTTCGGCATGATATAAATATTCATAATCTTTACGTGCTATTTCTTCTAAACATGTGCCTAAATAACGTAATTCTAATGGTTGACATAAATGTAGCAGACCATATAAGAATTCGATACGTTTTGCTCCACTTAAATGATTAAAATAACGATGAATTTCTTCTTGAGTTAACATTGATTTCGGATTTATAACTGATGATGATGATACTGATGAATACGAGCGATATAATGATGGAGCCACTTTTGTATTTTTAATAATATTAATCTATCTATGATGTGTTGATAATTAATTACTAAGACATGATTTTACTATTTAGATGAACATATTCTGAATATAAAGAAAAAATAAAATATAAGAATAAAATATCGATTGATATCAACCGATTAGAGAAAGACGAAGAAGAAGAAAAAAAGAGAGAGAATGATTATACCTCGATATCAACCAGGATTCTCTTTTATCTTATTGATCTATCCTCTATCTATTCACTATCATATGTACACCATCCCAAAAATGCATATCCAAGAACTAGGTTATATATATATCGATGTTATCGACTACAAAATAGATAGAAAATTCATATATCCAATAAACTAATACATTTCATAGATGTCATTCAAAGACAAACTTATACAGTTATCGTTATATCTATTACGATTCAGGAAACAATTTATCATCGAGAAATATATCACGTATAAGTAACTGTATTACGATAAAATCAATGAATTTTTTTATAATGATCTATTAGGTAACAACAATGTAGTTTAGATACTACTAATGGTTGAATGATATTCATTTATGACCTTTTTTCAATGTATCACATTAATCTCATCTGACAAAATATATCTTTTTGCTTTTTTGTTTTGTTGTCTATTAATACATATGACAGAACGTAAATGCTGTGATTTAAATTCTCAATAATGTATCGATTCAAAAGATTTATCAATGTAAGATTATTTTCATCGATATTTTTTTCTAAAGAAAAAAAAACAATTTTTTTATAGAGTAAACCATCATATTGTTTTATCTATACTATCATTATATTCGTTATTTTATTGTTGATTATAGCAATTGTACTCTGTATTTGGTATCTGCTAACGTTTGTATATTTGAGAATAAATTTTACTTGTCCATTTAATCCATGTCTACCAACTACGCGGACAAGTATAAGTCCATTATCAAGTGCATTGACAAATACGATAGAAACATCTATATCAGTAAAATAAAAAAAAGAATTTGTTACAAAAAAACTTATTCTTAACATCTATTCTATAGATTACATCAAGTATGACATCTACACTGATTATCGATAGAAAACGTACATATAAAGAAACATGTAATGATTTATATGATTGTTACACTGAATATGGTTTATTATGTGAATATGGATGGAATGAAAATAGAAGTTGTTTATGTGAAGGATCTCATTATTGGTCTACTCAACAGAATAAATGTCGTAAGATACAATTAATATTCTTCATTTCAATTAATTTTTTGTATATAGTTCGAAAAGGAGAAATGAATGATTCATGTGATGTTGATTATCAATGTCATCAAGAGATTGGTTTTGTATGTGATAAACCACCTGGTGCATCAACAAAAATATGTGTAAAATCTATTTTCTTTTTATTTCAATCTAAATGTACATGTGTTATCTTCTTAGATATGTGCAGCAAATATTTATTGGGCAAAAATTTCTAATTGTGGTAGAATATTTATAAATATTTATTTCTATTGCATCTATTTGTATTTATATGAAGGTCAAAGAATGATTCAACATATTGTCGATTGTATTAATGAAAATTATGCAACAACATGTCTTATTCTTAGTACTGATTATATGTATCATATGGTTACAATTAGATCATTTTCTGAAAAAGAACTTTCATTTGATTGGTTTCTTATCGATAATCGAGCTTTATTAGAATTACCACAACTTAGTTGTACTTTTAAGTAAATTTTTAATTTTTTTCTCTACAAAAGTTCACGTTTCCTATTCTAAATATAGTAATGATACAAAATATTGTTTTGGTTTAAGTATTCAAGATTCTCAACATTCTCTTAAACTTGCACAATTTACACGAAAAGGATTTCATAGTATTGAAAATATTGGTGGTAATAATCGAGGTATTGCATTTGGTTTAACTAATATCAATAATGTGACTGTTTTTGTACGTAATTCTCAAAATACACTCTATCATCGAACTATTGCAGATGATGAAATATTATCGCCGTATGATATTGCTTTATCATCATCAGGTAATCCAACGTGTTATATTCAAGAATTATTAACTACTCGTCAGACTTATTGTTTTGCTCGGAATTCAGCATTTGGTCTAACAGAATATGCTGAATTATCAGAATATGAATGGCGAATTACCCAATTAGGTTATGCAACAGATCGAATTCGTGATGAAATTGCACCTGTTTGTAGTTATGTTGGACAATTACATCGTTATTGCTTTGCTATTTTTGAAAATGGACAAATTTATCGAATTATTTCTAATTCCAATATATGGAGTACATGGGAATTAATTGGCAAAGGACAACAACAATTTATTACTCAACCGGTATTTTTAACATCAAAACCATTAAATCAATCAGATCCTGGTCAAACATGTTATTTATTTGCAATTGACACAAATAATAATTTACAATTATCAACAAATATTAATTGTGCTGTATCAGATAATTTTAGTGAATGGATACCTATATCAACAAATTTAAAATTCAAACAAGTTGATAAAACATTTCGATTGCGTGATGGTAATATTGGTGTATTAGGTATTGATAATCAAAATCAACCTTATTATATGTATCTTGATCCACAAACAAATCGTTTTACATCACCACGTCCAGCATTTACAGTGAAGCCAGAACAATTTCGTTCTTAATATTTATTATATTTAAAAAATTTAAGTTTTTTGTTTTATTTTTACTGTAATATTCATAGAGTAGTCAGAAAATATCTATTAATAAAATATACATTTTGCTAATCTCTTTACAATAAGTATTCATTTTAAAGTTCCATCCTTTTAGCTTATTCCTGAAACAATATTGACTTGTAATCGTTTATCATTAATTTAGTTTTGATTGAACTATAATTTCTGCTTATTATGTGGAGCATTAGTTAATTAAATGCTTACAACATTAATATTCTGTTAATCTATGGTGGTTATTAGGTGAACATGTTGGGAATCATCTAAAGAACGGAACATCAGAAGTTCTCAGTTTAAACGCGACAATATAATTTCCAGTCTGAACCCAAAAATAAGATTTGGTTTTGAGATAGGCAATTTCGAAGAAATATGTTTCTAGACGATTCTTATCTTTGAGATAGTTCAAATGACTAGATCGCATACGAATTGAGTTTATAGGCAAAAGTGTGGTGCAAAACTTTTTCCATTGTCACAAAGAACCGTCTATCATTTATACTTGAAACCAAACTGGCCGGTCTTCTTCCCATTTTTAAAATTTTGTTTTTGTCATATTAACAGTTGCTATTTTGCTCGTTTTTACAGGTTTTCATGATTTTAATTATAGTTGCTTATGAGAAGTTTCTCTTAATTTTATTCAATTATTATTTATTTCTAACAGAAAGAAAATAGTTTCAACGTTTGAAAATACTTTAGTGTGAAATTATATGATAATTATATTCGCTGTCACTTATTAATTAACAGAAAGATATGTATTTAGATATAAAATGTTGGATAAAAAGCAATTCAATAAATTAATAACCAATGGAAAAATAAATTTAGGAAGACAATTGTTTCGAGTCGATGAATATCATTCATCGCCACGCATTTTAATTTGTAATCATCGCAATCTACTAGGTCATACAAAAAAATCATACCGTAACTCAAATCTTGATGTATATCGTCGATGTGGTAAACCAAGAACAAACATGCAAGAACATACGAACTGTGAAATTAAATGTCATCATTGTCATAAAAACCATGTAGCTACAGACTATAAGTGTAAAATTATGGAAAAATAGGTTGTGGGTTTGGGTATTATCACACCCACACTTTGCTACTACACATTCGTACGCAGTACAACCAATGATATCTGCTGCTGGAAAAGTAGTCGGTCCCGTATTTCTTTGTTTAGAGGAGTTAAATGACAAGATGAATGTAAGTGAATCAATCTACTATTTAACCCATATGTTATTTACTAATTCACGTTTCGTTAGATATAAAAAAACAAATTATTTCCTGCTTCAAATATCGTTGTTACATGTGGCTCTTCGCGAAAGCTAATCACTTCATTGGTAGAATATTGGAGAGATAATGTGCTTCGTACTTCGGTTCCATGGCAATTTCGGTTACTTACGGACTACTAGCCTGATCAAAGAAATACTGATATATATTCTGCTATCAGAGGATCCACAAGGCTAGAAATTCTGCCTAACACTACATCGTATATTCAACCACTCGACGTATTTTCCACCATGTTCAGCTCAATGATATTACGATTAACTTGCCTGAGCGAAATAATATTATTCGTTTAAACGCTCTCATTTACAACCAGTTATCATCATATCTATTCATGCCGATGATAAAGTACGCATGGCTTGCATCAAGTTACATTGAACAATATTCATGACCTTTTCACACTGTTAGCGATATTTACTTCGATATCGGTAACAACTTCTGTCAACGAGCAGACCGTCACTTATTGTCATTTAATCCATGTAGTTACTGTCATACTTTCCTTTGTTTTCAACATTTTTTTGAAGCATACCGTTTTCATAACTAAGTATCTAATTTTTATCTACTAGTTTCAATTAATTTAAGCATAATTGGTTGCATATAATAAAATTAATACCACACCAATATGATACATGAGAAGACTAATAAAGTTGTCATAAGAGATGCATTGTAGTAATATGCAGTTAAAATCTCTATAACATCAGGAATTTGAAATATAGTTGACATAGAATGTTGTCACGGCTATTACTAGCTTTTCTTAAGAACTTATAAACGTCATAGGAAATGAAGAGAAGGTATATTTTTCCACAATTCATTAAAAAACAAGACATATTTTGCAATGCATATAAATTATTAAATAAAGGTAGTAGATCCTAAGATTTACTAAAAATCAAAAGCATATCGTTTTTTCTCGAATTCTGGTAAGTTATTTTATTTGTAAAGTAAAATTATTGTTTATTAATTGATTTTAGAGAGGCATGGAGTCGACTTGATTATAACTTTTATTGAATGTTTGCAGAACGAGTTTTAATTCATAGGTATTTCGGTGTAGAAATAGAGGAAGGTGAAACTATTGAAACACAAGAAGATTTAGCAGCACTTGAATAATATTTAAAATCAATACAGATCTATTACAGTGATGAGTGTAAGATTATTTATATATAAGAAATTCTAATTCAAATGTAGTTCTATTGAAAAAAAGATTACTAATAAATAATTCAATGATTATTTTGAAGTATTGATATATTATATTACTCAAGCAAAAATTCAGAGTGTAACTTCATTTAAAAATCATCGATTGAAATATCTATTGTTACCTGCAATACTCAAAGTAATAGTTGAAATAAAACATCATAAACTGATATTTTATTTGTGATACCTGATAAAATCAATATAAAAACGTATTATATAAATTATGATTTGTTCTTGTACAATTTATATATAAGTTTTTGAATGATTATAATATATGAAAACAACATTGAAATACTAGATTTCAAGCAGTATAATCTATCTCTATATTAAACTACAACATAAATAAAAGTCCCTACGTTTCTATTTTGATTTATTATTGAGGATTAAAATTTCGAAATATTTCAATATACTATGACAAATATTTTTTTGTAATATTGATTTTTTGATAAGAATACAAGTACTTACGAAAGGCACTATTCTTTCGTATAGGCTGACGCAATTACTATGTCATCGGACCTATACTTATAAATACTACTTGGATATGTTACGACGAGGTAAGAGAGTGATATATTGTTTTCATTCAATACTACATAGAATACAAAAATATATGTTATTTTTTTTTAATATAGATGTCATCATCATCATCATCATCATACGATTCCAATCCTTTTTTACATGCTAATATTTTTTCTCGATTTTTTCATCAGTAAGAATCTATACAAATATTTTTGTGAGTGAAAAATTGTCTATTTTTTATAGTTGGGTATCTCCTTTATTAAAAAAAAGTCGTAAAAATGGTGTATTACATTTAAATGATCTTTATGATCTACCACCTCATCTTTATTCAACAGAACTTACTGATAAACTTGAAAAAAATTGGTTTGATGAAGTAAAACGATGTCCTGATAATCCAAGTCTTATTCGAGTAACACTACGTACAGTAGGATGGAAACCATTTGCTCAAAGTATTCTTTTATTTTTAAATGTAAGTGAAAAATTGAACTATACCATTAATTTAATCTAACATTTTTCTCAGGGATTACTTCAAATTATTCAACCATTGATTTTAACAGTACTCATGGGCTTCTTTGAACCGTGTTCTTCGATGCCCTCATGGCATGCTTGGCTTCTTGCTTTTGCAACAATTATTGCTGCATTAAGCTCAAGTCTTATTGTGAATGAGGTATTTTCAGTTTATTCTTCAAAACTATATGTTATTTTTTTTATTTTTAAAGTATGTTCATAGAATTGATATATATGCTATGCAAATTTTTATAGCTTATACAGGTTTGATTTATCGTAAAGTAAGTAAAATATGAAATGATAGAAGAAACTAGAAAATTTTTATTAAAAGGTACTTCGATTATCACTTTATTCAATGAATAGTATTACTTCGGGAGAGATTACTAATTTATTAGCAAATGATGCAAATCAAGTTCAATTCGTAGCAGTTTTTATGAATCATTTGTGGGTAAGATTCATGATCTTTTCTTCAACCACTAATATAGATTATCCTTCATTGCTATTTATTATGAGAGTTTTCCAAGCCCCGCTGCACAATAATAGTCAATAAGATGAGACTGTATTAAACAATTTTTAAATCGAAATTTTAACTATCAGACATCCATAATTCTCATCAATAATATTTTATTTACTTTTGCAGATTGCACCTATACAAGTCATTCTTGTTATTTTTGTATTCTGGTATTTTGTGAAATATATTGCTTTTATTGCTATTGGATATACTGTCTTTCTTCTACTTATTCAACCATTATACAGTCGTATGTTTGTTTCTATACGGTATGTTCTTCGTTTTATTGTGATACTAATGATGATGATTTCTAGCACAAAAATTCTTCAAATAACTGATGAACGTTTAAAAATAATGTCTGAAATAATTAAATCAATGCGTATTGTAAAAATGTATTGTTGGGAAACAGCATTTATTCAAAAAATTTGTCTCATAAGAAAGTAAATTAAATCATTAAAGTCTTGTTTGCTTTTTTATTTGAAATTAAATTATATTTAGACGGGAAATTATTCAATATACTTTCTATGCTATATGCGATTGTATTCAACTTATATTTTCATATAATTATACTACGTTAATTTTTCTAATGATGTATGGTACAATGTGGTCATTAAATATAAGATTGGATACACGTTTCTTTGCTATATCTTCTTGTTTATTGGGTTTTATGAGAGTATATTGTATTGATTTCTTTTCAAATGCTATTCGTGATCTTTCAAATTATTTAGTTGCTAGAAAACGAATTGAGATTTGCATAATTAATATATATGTAAACTAATTCAATTGAAAATCTTTTCGTATTTAGAAATTTTTATTACTTGATGAATGTGAACGAGATACTCGATTATTATCATCATCTCACTTAGAAATTTCATCATCGAATAAGATAGAAATAATTAATAATATTACACAAGAGGTGCAAGTTAAATGTAATTTGAAAGAAGCACACTGGGAAAAAGTAATTATTATATTTATAGAATAATCAAATTTATTTATTTATTATTCAGAATGGAGTATTTAAATTACAAAATATTATTTTTGATGCTCATTCAGGTGATTTAATCTGTATTATTGGAGCAGTTGGATCAGGCAAAGTCTGTATTTTTTGCTTTCGAATATTATAACTATACATATGTTATTGATTTAGAGTTCACTTTTACAAACATTAACAGGTGAAATTGGTTTTTTCGAAGGGAAAGTACGATTACATGGATCATTTTGTTATGTACCACAAGAAGCTTGTAAATAATTTAATTGATATAAAAGTATATTTTATTGTCTATTTCCTTTTATCAGGGATCTTTTCGTCAACAATAAAAAATAATATTCTTTTCGGCAAAGAATACAATCATAAACTATTTCAACGTGTTATACAAGCTACAGCACTTGACACCGTATGTAGATTCAATAATGACATCTAACCTAACTATGTATTATAGGATTTGGATCAACTATCTCAAGGCGTTAATACTCTTGTTGGTGACCAAGGTGTTATGTTATCTGGCGTATACAAAATACAAAAAAAACTACTAATATCTTATATTTATATATATTATTTAGGGTCAAAAAGCACGAGTAAATTTGGCGCGAGCACTTTATCGCAATGCTGATATTTACCTATTAGATGATCCTTTATCTGCTGTTGATGTTAAAGTATCTAAACATCTTTTTGAAAAGTAAAATATTTATAACAAAAAGAGATACAATATTTATTTTTCTTATAGATCAATCCAACATTATCTTTGTGATAAAATATGCATTTTAGTTACTCATCAAATACAGTTTTTACAAGATGCAACTAAAATTATTGTTCTTGATCAAGTAAATATTAAACTATAATAGAGTTGATGAGATTCTTGATGTTATTATTCGAATTTATTAGGGTAAAATGATACAAATGGGTACCTACAATGAATTAATTTCTTCATCATCTTCGTTTGCTCATCTACTAGAAGATATAAATCAACAAGAACAACAACAAATTGCAGCGAATATTCAACAGCAACAATCCATAATTAGTTCAATCTATTCTGAAAAAGAGGATGAAGATGAAGCTACGAGTAATATTGATACGAAACAACAAGGTGCAATTAAATGGACTGTGTATACTTCCTATATAAAAGCTGGTCTTGGTTGTGTTTTCGGTTCTTTCTTTATTCTATTTCTTTTAACTGCATATCAAGCAACATTTATGTATAGTAGTTGGTGGATAGCAACATGGAGTGATGATGAAAGTCATCGATATAGAAATTATAATCAATGTATATCAACTACTATTGAAAACAGAAGTCATTTATATTTGATGAGTGATAATGAATGGAATGTATATCGTAATCAAAAATTTTACAGTTATTGTGGTAAGTTTATTAGAAAAATAAGATTAAAAACAATTAAAAAAATTATTTCTAGGAATTATTATACTACTATTAATATTAACTTTTTTGCGTACTTTTGCATTAGAATTAATGTGTTTAAATGCTGGACGAGTACTTCATAATAAGTAAGAATTATCATTTTTTTTTCTTTTCTGATTAAAAATTTTAGAATGTTTCGACGTGTTATTCGTTGTCCTATAGCATTTTTTGATACAAATCCTATTGGTATACTTTAATTAAATAGTAAAAGTTTTATATAGATGTATTCTATGTTAATTTAGGTCGAATTTTAAATCATTTTACTAGAGATATTCTGATCATGGATACTGATATAGTAATGGATGTTCCAGATTTTTTGAATGTAAATGAATTTATTTATACCATTAGATATATGATAATGTTTTTATTTTATAGTGTTTGAGTGCAGTATTAGGAACAGTTATTTTAATTGGATTACTTAATCCATGGGCTTTTATTCCAGCTTTTATAGGAATTATTGGAATGTTAATTGTACGTTATCGTTTTGCTCGATGCTTTCGTGATTTAAGACGAATTACAGAAATAACACGAAGTCCACTATATTCATATTTATCTTCAACAATTCATGGATTAAAAGTTATTCGATCATATCATGCTGAACAAATGTGTTCACAACAATTTCTTTCATATCTTGATCAGAACATTCGGGCTGATTATTTAACTAAAGTTGTTGAAAGATGGGCGGCCATACGTTTTGATTGGACATCCTTTACATTTCTCGCTCTCGTTACATTATGTTCTATGCTTGTACGCATTTATAAACAAGAATTATCAACTGCTGATATTGCACTTACTCTGTCTTATAGTCTTAATTTAATGGGACTTTTTCAATGGACAATAAGGTTTAATTATTAAAAAAGAAGATTAATTAAAATATTTTACTTTTAAATATTTAGACAATCAGTAACAGTTGAAACTCATATGACAGCTGTTGAACGAATCTTAGAATATTGTTCACTTGAACAAGAACCATCTGTACAACTTTCATTGAACAATCGACTATCAAATAATTGGCCATCACATGGTCAAATTGTATTTCGAAATGTATCGATGTCATATTCAAACGATGATAAGACATCACTTGTTTTACGCAATATAACAATAACAATTCAAAGTGAAGAAAAAATAGGTATTGTAGGAAGAACTGGTGCAGGAAAAAGTTCTTTAATTCAAGTACTTTTTCGTATGGGTCTACTTGTTAACGGTCAAATTGAAATCGATAATATTGATATATCAACAATTCCATTAGATGATCTTCGAAGTCGAATATCTATTATTCCACAAGATCCAGTTCTTTTTACAGGTACAATTAGAAATAATCTTGATCAATTTGATAATTATACTGATCAACAAATATGGAATGCATTAGATCAAGTATATTATTCATTTTTTTCTATATATCATTATTATTGTTTGAATATAGGTACAATTAAAAACATTAGTAAATGATACTATGTCAAATGGATTAGATTCATTAGTTAGTGAAAATGGTTGTAATTTAAGTGTTGGACAAAAACAATTAATATGTTTAGCAAGAGCAATTTTAAAACAAAGTAAAATTCTTGTCATTGATGAAGCAACAGCTAATGTTGATAATGCGTATGTAAACAAGGGAATTTTTTAAATAGAATTGATTTTTTTTATTAATTAAATTTTAGTACTGATGAGTTAATTCAACAAGCTATTCGAGATAAATTCAAGGAATGTACTGTATTAACAATAGCACATCGTTTGAGAACAATCATTGATAGTGATCGAATTTTGGTAAAATGATATAGGAATAAATTTTATTTTCAATTTAATATTATTTATCTATTTAAAGGTATTGGGAAATGGAGAAGTACTTGAATTTGATACACCATCTTCGTTATTAGCTAATTCAAATTCGTATTTTGTTTCATTAGTGGAACAAACTGGTTTAAATGAAGCTGAATATCTTCGAACATTAGCAAATCGAACGAATACGAAAATGAAATCGGTAACACAAAAAACAATTAGTGATGATGATGATATTATACCAATAATGAACGAGAATGATCCTCTTTTAGTGTAAATTACTAAAAAAGTGAAATTTTTTGTTTAGATTTTATTGATCATTCGGATAACTATTTCAGGAACAATATAAATGAAACAATTTTTTGAAATAAACATTGATAAAAATATGAATAATGTTCTTTGAACCATCGTCACAATCCGCACCCATACATAAACATTTTATATGTACGAATCTAGCGTAGAAGTATTTCCTGAGGTGGGTGTGAGTGATTCTCTTTTATCTCATTCACATCCTCGTCACTACCTATTCATTCTCTATTGAAGCACATTTGATATTAGCATTTACAATTTTCTTTCTCTTTTATTTTGTTCAATAAATTCATAAATTTCATTGTCCTAACGAAAACGTGTAGGTGAAGACGTTGTAGGTGAAGGGAGAGTGACAATTAGTCTGTTGTGTTGGAATGCATCACTCAAATATAGTGCTCCAGTATCTCTGATTTGATTTGCAACGAGATTTAGTATGGTGACTGTCTAAATGAAAAAGTGGGCGTAAAAACAGGATACAGATGAAGACAAAATAATAGTTACTCTGTTGTGTCTTAACCCTTCACTCAAATATTGTGCACCAATATCTCCGATTTTATTTGCTTGAAGATTCAGTGTGATGACTGTCTAAATAAAAAAGTAGACGTATAGACACGATATAGATGAAGACAGAATGATAATTACTGTGTTGTGTCGTAGTCCATCAGCTAAATGTTGTGCTCCAACATCGCCGATTTGATTCGTAGCGAGATTCAGTGTGGTGAGTGCCTAAAGAAAAAGATGCAGGTAAACACACGATATAAGTGAAGAAAGAGTGACAATTACTTTGTTGTATTGTAATCCTTCACTCAAATATTGTGCACCAATATCTCCGATTTCATTTGCTTGGAGATTCAGTGTCATGCATGTCTAGAGGAAAAGTGAAGGTAGGAACACAATATAGTTGTAGACAGAATGACAATTACTGTATTGTGTCGTAGTGCATCAGCTAAGTGTTGTGCTCCGGTATCTCCAATTTTGTTTGCAACGAGATTTAGAGTGGTGAGTGTCTAGATGGAAAGGTGTAAGTAAATATACGATATAGTTGCGGAAAGAAAGACAATTACTGTATTGTGTCGTAGTGCATCACTCAAATATTGTGCTCCAACATCCCCAATTTTATTTGCAACCAGATTCAGTGTAGTGACGGTCTAGGCGAAAAATTTTAAATAAAGATACGACATAGACGAAGGAAGAACTCAGATTACTGTATTGAGTCGTAATCCATCAGCTAAATGTTGTGTTCCAATATCTCCGATTTGATTATATGCAAGAGTTATTGTGATGAGTGTCTAGATGGAAAAGTGCAAGTAAAGACGGGATACCGACGAAGAGAGAACAAGAATTACGGTGTTGAGTTTTAATGCATCAGCCAGATGCTGTGCACCAGCATGTTCGATATCGTTTCTACTGAGATCTACTGACATAAGTCTCTACATAAGAAAGTAAAGGTACAGACACAGTATAGTTGAGAAAAGAATAACAATTACAGTGTTGTGTTGTAATGCATCACCCAAATATTCTGCTCCAGCATCTCCGATTTGATTATATGCGAGAGTTATTATCATGAGTGTCTAGATGAAAAAGTCCATGTATAGACAAGATATAGATGAAGAGAGAATAATAATTACTTTGTTTTGTCGTAATGCATCAGCCAAATGTTGTGTTCCAATATCTCCAATTTGATTCCCATAGAGGTTCAATGCGGTGAGTGTCTAAACGGAAAAATGTACATAGAGATACGATATATTTCAAGAAAGAACGATCATTACTTTATTGTATTGTAATCCATTAGCCAGATGTTGTGCTCCAATCTCTCCGATCTTGTTTCCAAGAAGATTCAGTGTGGTCAGAGCCTAGACGAAAAACTGCAGCTAAAGACAAGATATAGACGAAAAAACAATGATACTTACTGTGTTATGTCGTAGTGCATCAGCTAAATGTTGTGCTCCTATATGTCCGATTTGATTTTTTGAGAGATTCAGTGTGGCGAGTGTCTAGATGAATGAGTGAAGGTAACGACACAATATAGATGAAGAGAGAATGACAATTACTGTGTTGTGTTGTATTGCATCACTCAAATGTTTCACTCGAATATCTCCCATTTGATTTCGCGAGAGATCTAGTGTGATGAGTGTCTATATAAAGGAAGTAAAAACAGAATAACTGATGACTGTTATTTCCGGTTAGTTCAGTGAATGATATTCAATAATACCTTACAAAAATCTAGACTGAATAGAAGTTATCAAGGGTGGTACATAAATAAAAATTTTTTGTGTCTAGCATTAGAACTCCATGTGATTTATCTAACTTAACTTTGTTCAGCGATATGATTTATATAGGTTAGAATATTTATGAATTTCTGTAGTTGCTTTCGATGTTTTTATAGGGTTGTGTGCATGAGATAATATTGATTTGCATGATGTTAGATTCATTATGAGTAGAAAAAGAATACATGCTGAAACGTTGTATAAAATATCCCTTACGACGTGGTCTCGACTCTTCATTCTGACAAAGTATCTTCAAATTTCTCAGAGATATATCTGCAGGAAATATCTAAGACGTTATTCATAATAAGATCAACTAGTTTATACACCGTTCATTTTTATCAAAATCGTAGTTAAAGAAGAGTTGTTAGACACATGTAAACGACAAATAATAAAGTTTTGTTCCTTTTTTGTCGTTCTTATCTAAACATTGTATGTGTATGACATCATACATGATTTGAAAAGAAAGAAAAAAAAAGAATTTATTTCTTCTTGATTATTAGGACATTATTTTCATATTGTCATAAAATAAGAAATTAATTTTTTGAGCACAGAGATATAGCTAATGAATTATTTTTAGCGAACTTTTTCTGCTTCAATAGATTGTAAGAATGAAAACTAATTCGAGAGTCAATGCGTAAAAAGTTTACCTGATATCGATAATAACTGTCTACGATCTTGTTGAATCGTTGACATATGTTTCTCATTGAGCAGAGAATTGTGAAGTTTGATTGATGATCCAGGATTCGGTAGACAAGTTCTACCGGTAACGTGAGAAAATTTGCAAGAATTGTATTTGCCATCGTACACTGTTGTTGAAATGTGTGCTGTGCAGCCTTATATGAAGTATTGTTATTCTTTCTTTCGATTAAATGAGTAAATGTTTGTTCTGTTGTTGTTTTCACATGATGTGGCAATTACGTGTTGAAAGAAAAAAACGAAAAAGAATGATATGAAATATAAAATAGTATTATATGTTTATTTGGATTATTCATAATAGAACGTTGTCTTCTGTGTCATGTCATGGACGTCATCGAGCCAGGTGAATACAAAGAACAAGAATAAATTATTCACTTTTTCTAACTCTCTTCAAAGATAAGAAATAATATTCCCACTAACAAAAAAACACATATTTGCATTGTAAATAATATACATTAAAAGTCTTGCAGTATTTTCTTTTGTTTTTAAATCCTATATTGAGATTACGCAAGGAGAGAAATCAAATGATCGAGTCTTTTTTTATTAACGACCAGTTTCGTCTTTTGATAAATTATCAATCTATTCAATATTAAAATTTTGATATTAAATAGTAAAAGTCTTGTATCAGTTCACTTTTTTGACGTTTTCCTTTTCGACATTTTTATATTCGACCAGAGTTGAGTTTACCCTGAACTTTGTATTTGTTTAATTATCTGAGAGCACATTTCGAAAAGAGTATCAATTATCGACATGCAAATCGATTGCTGAAAAGCAAGTTAAGACTAGCAGATTGAATTTGTCTTTTCTCTCAACGGTAGTTAAGCCTGTTTTGCAATCGATCAACACTCACCCTCAGCAGTGAATGATAATAATAAATGAATAGAAGATCTTGGAATATATGTGTGGCTGAGTGTAGATGTGGACGTGGGTGCCGATTTAAGAAGAATATAACATCCACACCCACACTCGAATTTTTATACATATTTGATATTGGTCTATTTAAACTAACATTTACTTCTTCTTTCCTTTGCTCATATGTTAGTTGATTCAGCTTTTTATTCTAATTGCAATCAATTATTTTTATTATTTTGGAATAGAAAAAATTAGATTACTTTGTAAAAACATCTACAAACGTCTTAATTTCTTACTTTTTCCTAATGTCATACTCTCTTACAAAAAAAAACAACATTATTTCGAATTTCACATTTTTTGCATTTTAATGATATCAGATTGTCTTTTATTCCATCTGCAATTCATATCATTCAATATTATAAAATAAAATTATACGATTTATTCTTCGATTTATATTATAAAAATCTTGAAAACAAAATCTAAACAACATGATTATATTCTCCGTCAATTTAAATTCTTCCCATTAGTCACAAACAATATTCTTCCATATAATTATTTTAAGTTAAATGTTTTCTTATGATTCATAGAAAAAAAGCGTTGTGCAACAAATAAAAGTAGGGCAAACCCGTTTTGTCTTATTGGCATAGAAACTAAACATTTCTTTTTGCGTTCTTTTTTCCTCAACGTTCATTTTCCTATATGAGAATTTAAAAAAATGTAAAAAAACACTCCAAACTATAAAGACAAATTATTTCTACACAATTTCTCCAACAGTCATACACACATATATAAACAAATAAATCATGGCTGGTGTCGCAAAATTATTTGATGGACATGTTCTTGATAAATCGAACAAAGAGATTAATCTTAATGATGATCAATATAAAGGAAAAGTAGTTGGTCTTTATTTTAGTGCTCATTGGTACGTTTAGTTTGTCTTGAAAAAGAAAAAAAAAGATTAGAAATTTTTTCTTTTTTTATCAGGTGTCCACCATGTCGTAATTTTACTCCAAAATTAGTTGAATTTTATAACAAACATGCACAAGAGAAAAATTTTGACATTATTTTTGTAAGTTCTGATCGTGATGAAGCAGCTTTTAATGATTATTATAAAGATATGCCTTGGCTAGCATTATCTTTTAAAGATCGTAAAAATAAAGAGGAATTATCAAAAAAATTCAATATATCTGGAATTCCAACATTAATTTTAATTGATGGTGATTCAGGGGATATTATTTGTACTGATGCAAGAAACTATATTCAACATGAAGATGAAAATGGTGACAATTTTCCATGGAAATCATAATAAACTATTTCCGTTGTTTTTTTCTTCACTGCCATTCATTTTAATATCACACAAAACTGCTTTAATTTCATTAAATAAAATTTATATCATATAAAATATTGTCATTATGAAAGAGTTTTCTTAAGCATGAATGCCACTCAATATAAACAAAACTTTTGATCAAGATTCGGTCATAAGAGCGAAATTAAAATAGATTCAAAATAATTACAAAATTTCTTCTTCTCATGCGACCTCAATGGAAATTTCTATGACTAATGATGAAAAAATGACTTTGTATAATATAGAGGTTTGAACAGTCATTCAATATAGCCATCTTTGTTATTAATTTTTGAATACATTATTTTACTTTTTTTCTACACTGAAGATATGCTTTCTTACAAAACTGATGACAGTTACAGTCGAATCCACTTATTAGAGCTTTGTTTAGGTGCTTTTTTTGCGATTTTAGCCCGTATAAATGAGCTTGTTTATTTATACGACTATAAATATGCATTTATGTTCTTCTTCTTTTCTTTTTTGTTAGTCAACCTCCAAGAATTTTTCCTTCTTCCTTTGTTCTATATATTGTTCCTCATTTTTCGTTGAATCTTTATTTTTCAAAGTCGATTGTGATAAGGAAGCCGAATGTTTTGGAAATCTCGCGAATGCCGAAATTTGCATTTCAGTGAAACTAAATCGGCAAGAAAAGGTCGATTTAGAGGAAGTAGAAGCCGGAATTGTTGATAAATCGATGCCTGATGTTTTTCATAAAGATGTGCTGCTGCATTTTTCGATAGTTCTCAAATATTTGGAAGAGAATTTTACAGATTATAATTCATATTATGATATCGAAGACATGATCGAAAAGAACGTTTTAATTAATTAGACTTAAAATAAACTTATGTATGTGATATATACTAAATACTTAATAAATGTTGACAAGAATCAAGTTTTACACTGTTTCACATATAGTTCGCATAAAGGAGCGGTCTGGATATAAGAGCTACTTTTTGAGACGCTGACCGCGCTCTTATTAGCGGATTAGACTGTATTGCTTTTCTCCTATGCTCAAGTCTTTCTTTCTTATATAGAAGTGTGTGCTATATGTAGTATAAACCTATTCTGGAGATATAAAGTAGTATAGAAAACGGTGATAGAATTAGTTTCCAGTTCATTATCACAGCAACAAACACAAGATCTTTGTGTGTAAACAAAAAAAGAAAAGGTTATAATGCATGATGATCGAAGTACTTTTTTATTTGAATAAAATATAGATTCTCGAGTACATAACACACAGTATTATAGGATGATATGCAATAAAATACTGTTCAGATAAATAAGCGATTAATGTCAAAAAAAAGTTTGTGTATTGATTTATTATTCAATTGTCTTTCTCTTCGCAGTATTATCAGTCATCGTCGTTTGATGTTATTTTGAGTTTGATATCGTCCTGAATTTTTTCGTCGAAGAAATGGTTCTTCGTGTAGTGCCATGCTTTTTGACAGCAACCATGTGCTCTTTGATCAAATGTTAACAAGGCAACAGGTTGAGAAGACATACGTGATTTTCTATTCCAATATTTGCAACAACATACAAATTTTATGAATCGATGAAACTGTAAACGTAGGATTTCACCATCTGACACAAAATTGTAGAGCATCTGATTGCGCCAACGAGTACCTTCATCCATTAAAGTTGGAATTTCACCAACGGCGAGACCTAACAGAGAAAAATATGTCATCATTGTGAAGATTTTATGGAACTCGAATTGTTTAACTTATAGTCTTTCACCTAAAAGATATGTCAATAAAGACTATTTTATCGTGTTACTGACGCTACAATAATGTCTGACTCTTCTTTACTGCTTTTGCCCCGTCATAAAAGAAAAATGATTAGTTTAATTCTCTTGGACTGGAACTTTTGGACAATTTATACTCAGAATTTTTCTCAACTACTTGGTGAATAGATTGCTAAATATGAGAATCTAAAATAATGATTTGGAAGAGTTCTCTTACCAATCATGAGATTAACAATAAAAATGCAGAAAACAATGGCTGTCAAAATAATAATGACATAGACAAGCTTGTAATATGCTACTTGGTCAGGTGTGCTGTAAAGTCGACTCTCATAACCAAGATCGAACATCATTAAACTTGTACGTAAAAGTGCTTCAATAGGCGTAGCGAACACAGGCTGATTTTGCAATAACATCCAGTATGTAAAACCGAATCCACAGATAATAATTAACAATACAGGTAGAAAGCGGAGAAACTTGACACAGATGACTTGAAGCATAGCTACATAGATACCAACACCTAGCCAAGGAATACAACGAACATAAGTGAGAAGATTCATCCAACAGAGAAAAAGACCCATAGCTCCAATCTGATACTGGATAGGACACCGAAAGATCACTGGATTTTGCCAGTCGTACCAGTCTAGTATATATACGAAGGAAAGCACGAGAGCAGCACCTTCTAAATAGTAAGCCCCAATGCGGAAGACCTTTGGAAAGAGAGCAATAATTTGAATACCATTCTTGACAATGAACACCGAAAAAAAAAATACAAAGCTCGTTTAAGCCTTATATATGCATCGGTCTTTAACGCTTCGGTAACGTTCCGCAAGATGAGATTGTTTGCAACCTGTTCACATGTATCAATATCCAACGTCATATTGAAACCAGCTAAGTCATAGAAATACTGAGGATGCTTCCCGCTGAGGATCGTCGCAGTCCACAAACCGAGCAAAACAAGGTAAAAGAGGAATGAGAACGACAACCAGTATGTGCTAAATCGTCGAAACATCTTTTTACGTAACAAGATATGAAACTGATGTGCCATTAATTTCGAATAGGCCGATTGTTGAGAAACTATGATTAGAGGATGATTTCGAACAAGTGTGTAAGCATCACGTGTATACGGCTCGCAAGCACTAACATTTTCGACACCAACAGTTGTGTTACAACAATCAATACTGCAGCAACAATCATAAATGGCATTGAAGCCGAGTTTATGGCATCGAACTTTGCATGATCTATCTTCAAGAGGTAACTCTGCACCTATTCAAAGAAATATTTTTCATGCGAACACAAAAAAATGATTACTATCGTCGCTGAAACGGTTGTAGACTCATCTGACTTAGAACACTGCAAGATCTTACTGAAATCGGTGTTTTCTATACGAATATTTCAGTGGGTTCTTTAGTTACATCAGATACTCCATCAATTTTTTAATTCAGCCTTTAAAATTTTTGTCTCAAACTTCACTATTGTATAGGCATATAAAAAAACAAGTTTGATTTTTTCGAACCGTAATGTATATAAAAGACTTTGTGTAACTGTATTTCTCATTTGTGATGACTAACTATTTTTATGCGAGTTCATCATCTCAACGATAATGAGTTACTTTTTGTTGAAATTGTCAGAATATTCCTTCATTTACCAGATCTGTTATAAGCAAAGTTTCAGGTCACAATAGATTGATTCATTTTTTGAATACTTTTGTATAGGTCAAAAGTGGACAAAGCAATGGATACTCTACAATAAAGCACTATTGAACTAAGTTCATGTCTAAGTGTTTTGCTTTTCAACTTTTATATTGTGGTATATAAGTGAGCTGCATTTTTGATTATCTGAAACGTCTCTATCATTAGATGATTAGATCGATTACTATGCAATAGGTTAGTGTAAAACTGGCCAACACTTTAGTAAAATTCAAATCGTTTTTTCTAAGAATAATGTCATTTTGTGTAAGCCTTATGAGATCGAATGATTAATGCAATGCATACAAACTTGAATTTTGTTTATCAACATACCTTGTTTATACCACTCTTTGACTGTATACATATCTTCATAGAATTCATAATCGTAGATCTCCTGGGATACTTTTTGACCTGCACCACCAACTTTTCGTGTTAGTTTTTCTTCTATTGTCCAAAGAGCTACATCAGGCATGTAACGAATAAGTTTTCGCATTGGTGTATCATAAGCATCGGTGCCTTCGATGGGTTGTGCATTGCGCATCATTTCTTGCCAGTTGGAACGCTGTAAAAGATATTTGACTATTTCCACGTGCTGCTTTTGAATACAAATTTCGAGACAATTCAAAAGTTGTGCGTTACGTATTGTTGTTGAGGCCCCCTTCTCGATCAGATACTCGACTACATCAAGATGTCCAAATTCACAAGCAATATGGAGCGGAGTGAGTCGCCGGTCACCAATGGCATCAACTTCTATACGCACAGTTTCAATCAAATATTTGAGCACTTCAAGTTCTGAACAAAAAAATAAAAAGATATTTTTCATCAAACAGTTTCGATTCTATGCAAACCAAATCGATGCATGTAGTATTACTTACCTTTAATGCCTCCATTCTTAGCCGCTATATGTAAACAAGTAAATCTGTTATTGTTGGTTGTTACATACAATCCTTTCATACGATCGTATCGATCGTCTGGCGGGATCAGTTCCCACATTAATTCAAGGATATGAACATTTCCCTGTTCACTCGCTTCGTGAGCCACTGTTGTGCCTCGACGATTTTTAATAGATAAGAAGTCGAGTATTAGTGAAATATTTTCATTGATTAGTTTTTTCCAAATTTCTAGTTCTTTTTTAGTATATATCTGAGCCACTAAATGCAATGGAAGGTTACCATTGCTATCTTGTGTTTCCATTAACTTTTTGATGTTTTTATCAGAGAGTTTGCCGATGATTATATTGAGAATATCAGATGACACTTGACGCTTAGCACAAATATGCAAGATATTATCCTGTTCTACAGCTCCAACTGTCAGTAGAGGTAATTGATGCTCACCGTCTATGTTCTAAATAATAAAATGTAGTCTATGGTTTAACTATTTTGGAAAGCAATGGGCATCTTAATATATCACTATAATGTGTTTTTGAGATACATATGTTTCTAACTAGATGAGAACCAGTGCATAATACACAGTTTTGATAAAAATACTAACTAAGTGATACTATTGAATTTATTGTATTTCGAGAAAATTAAATCAAAATTGGTAGATCTACGATTGAAATTATAAATGAAAATTATAACGGATTTATGATTCTTACGGAGCTACATGAAGACAAAAACACTAGCTATATCATTGTGGAAATATTCTTTTCGTTAGACAGACCTTATAAATGATACTAATTGCTTACAGTTACGAATCATGTATATTATTTCGGTTTATCAATGTTTTTGCTTATTATGATTAAAAGAAAATGAAAGTATACTTTGATCAATTCTTGAACACAGGCGATTGAGTTGTAAAATATCGCTGTCAGTAATGGTGTATACTCAGCGCAGTTAATCTTGCTGGTGTATCCTTTTGGTGCTGGTCTATTTATAAGCCATCGAAGAAGAGCTACATTGTCGTAACGACACGCAAGATGAATTATTTGTTCTTTAATTTCAGGCGAAGATATTTCGAAAAGGTGTTCTAAATGATCAAACGGCTGACATTGTCTACGTCGAGCAACCATGTCAAATACGATCAGAATTTGTGTTTTATCTTTTGTTGTGTCAATAAATATTTTCATGAGAGCATACTTGAATATTTGTTGTCCTTCCTTCTGATCGATTGATGATGGACGTGTAATCGCTGGATGAGCTGCTAAAAAGACAAGAGGTGTTCTGTTGTCTAGCGTGCAAAGATTGAAAAAATCTTTCTCTTTCGCTAATGGTTCATTCGTTATATATTCCACTAGAGAATAAAGTTGTTCTGCATTTATCGGATTAACAGGAAACACAGCAAAATGCAGTACACTTGCGTTGAATTTGCTTAATACCTATACAGAAAGATAAAATCCTTATAATATAGAATTTATATTTACATCAACTTTGGCTCCATGATGAATCAAATACTTGATATAGCGAAGTCGACCTCGCATTGCAGCCATATGCAATGGGGTGCGACCTTCATCATCTGCATGATTGACATCGGCACCACGTTCTTCAACAAGGAATCTGATCAGATCAGGAAACTTTGTAATGCTTCCCTGTTAACATATAGAAAACACATATGTGTACGTATACTTAATACGTTCGACAACGTCTATATATAATAGGACCTTTGAACGTAAGTTCTTTCTACATGTACGCTCACAATAGCTTTTAAAACTCTCCAGTCATCTTATACTACACGTAAGGAGGTAACTAGGACATAAGCGAAATAATTCACTTTCAAACTCTTGACAAATTCGACGAAAGCATCTGGTTCTGGACTAGAATCGGACTATTCAATGACTGTAAATTAGAATTCTTCCCTTATGTAATTCATACGTAAATACTTACATCTCCTATACCTTGCCATATACAATTCGATTGAGATACTACATGTAAAACATTTTCACCATTACCACCGAGAATGTTAATATCTATATTATTATTAGTTGAAATCACAAATATTGTTCATTTCGATATAAAATAATAACATACCGCATTTAGAATATTTCTTTTTTTTGGATGTTAATTTACGACATAACTCCTCATTATTACAGTCAACAGCATAATGAAGAGCTGCCCATTGTTTTTCGTCATCGAGAGTACTGATCATTTTCTTCAACTTACTGTCTGAAATCTTTTCGTCTACGACTACACCCATAAATAGATTCCATTTTTTTGGATATTCTTTCAGATCTTCCTCCGAGGCAGCCTATACAAAGTTTATTAAATAAATAAGGACAGGATTCTTTTTGAGTTAGATAAATGTCTATTACCTCGAAGAGAAGCTCTTGAGCTGATTTTGCTTCTGATCGATCATAGTTGATCAACAGCCACTTTTCGCATTCTCGTCGAGATCCGAGTTGTTCATCGTTGGCGAGTTGAGGCGGTAAGTGAACAGGTGTAACTACGATTGTGTCTGGCACTGACTGCACCGATAAGTCATCCCAATTAGACGTATTCCGAGACATGTGTTAGTCTATAGGGAAGATTAACCTTGAAAATTTTTCATCGTATTTAGGAGATCTAAAGGTAAAGTCTATGTGAAAAAAGGCTCGTATAGCGTCGGAGACAAAAGATTTTTTGCGATTTTTTATCTTAACTTAGAGGTCTGATCGAACCATACTCAAAACCAAAATATCAAATTATTTGGTCTAATCAGTAAAAAATATGAGTAAAATCAACATTAAAGGCTCTTTAACCTTATTTTCACTCACATTTTTCACTGATTAAGTCAAATTGGTTGATATTTTAAATTTGACTATGACTCAAACAGACCTCTCAGTTGAGATTAAAAAGTTCGAAAAAGAAAATATTTTTCTCCGGTGACCTTCTCATAAAATAGAAGTCTTCTCTCAAGGACTCTCTTTTGAGTGCAATTCAAAATAAAGATTTTCTCTAGGAATAAATCCTTCAATTTCTCCCAAAATTCAGTTAAAGTTAATAATAAATCATAAAGAAATTATACTACTGACTAAAACATGTTTCATTCTTGAAACGTTCCATCTTTGATTAATTTGCTCGTATATATATTTTCCATTAAATTCATGTAAATTGATTTTATGTTTTGACTGGCAAATCAACAGTAATTGACGAAACGTTTCAAGGATAAGATATATTTTAGTTGGTAGCAGTTTCCTAATTATTGATTATTAGATGTATTGAACGTAAAATAAAAAAGCTTTCAGCGCAATTCCTTCAAGATTAAAAGTGTGAAAACGATGTAACTGATTATGCTTATGGGAAACATAGCTTATATCTATGACTTTGGAACATACCTATTGTAATTAATGTTGTTTCATCATTACATCTGTCCCAGTCTGTGATATATCTTGTAGCCTTGTCAGTCATGGTCTGTGGGAGGAGAGAGGGGGATGGATCAGATTTCTACCCTTAAACACTTCAACACTCCTTCTAGATTGTGTTTCATATAAGAGGAGACAACTTCAATATTTCAATATGTGATCAATTGGAATTTTTTTAGGAGTATATATCAAAAAGAAAAGTATGTTGAGCTGCCAATGTCAGGTGATTATACTCACGACGTATTTTATTATTTGAATAACTACTAGAAAATATGCATCTTTTGAAACACACCAATTCTCTTTTTCTCTTAACTCAAAATCAATTAAAATATACTATTTCTTTTTCGTTTTATATGCATTGCATTGTTTACAATAATACTGCGTTGGCTGAAATAACAATACTATGGAAATTGATTGTCTTCCTTTTTATTTTATTTCTTTCTCTAGATGTAACTACAAAAAGTGCAAGAAGTGGTAGATATTCTTCAAGAACTTGTGCACATAAAAGAATAGTAAATTAGTTAAAAAAAATTAAACAAATAATATACTCTTTTTTGATGACTAATAGTATCCATATTCTTCTTTTTTCTTATGAAGCAAGATACGGCTTTCTTTCTCAAAAAACATAAAAAGAGTATCCGATGATGAGGGTGTGGGTGTGGGTGTGAGTGTCTGGTGGCTGTCGCTACTTTATTTATCTAACCCCACATTCACTCTCACCCTCACCTGCATCCTTTTTTGAAACAGTGGATGGGATAAAGAAAAAGCTTCCCACAATATTTGTAAACAAACCGCACGAATTGTATTGCAAGAATAATGCAAAGAGAATCGATACTTTTTTTAAAATTATTCTTGTAATATATTTGTAGCAATATTTCTTTGGTTTCGGTAGCAGAGGAGAATAACTTTTGTCTTCACGATCTTTTTTTGGTTTCTTATTTGATTAGTGTAGAGAATCATCACTGGTTTATTTACTAATTCGATTCTCGCTTACTAGCATCGAATAAAAAATTCTTTTTCTCTCGATAAGAACAGAATTTCATCCGATTTTTCTTTCCGAGAAAGGCACGCTTGCAAGGGTGTCGGTGTAGGTGAACGTGTAGATTTGGGTGTGGGAGTGTGCGTGTGGGTATGGATGTTGCTAGTTTGTTTTTCTGACATATATACCCTACAATCGCACCCTCATCCGCAACCATCGTTAACCACACCTACACCCTCAAGATTTACAGTACTTGTATATTGTTCATCAGATGAAAGTTTTTAAAATGTACCGGAATATGCATCAACTATAATTTGAGTTCCGTCTTTGTTCACAAACATACGATTACTCTGGCTCATCATGAACAAATAAAGAAAATTAATTTAAAATAAAAGGATCATAATAATAACAATAATAATAGTAATAAAAAGAATAGAGAATGCGTGTATAATAAGAATAAGAATAACAATATCAATAATAATAAAAAGGATAAAGGATCCGTGTATACTTTGATAAGCGCACGAGGAGAAACGATCAGATGATTACATGCATATGATGTGGATCACATCATATGGTACTTTCGTATCATGTGATTACATTCGTATCATGTGCCATTTTCTAGAGCAAAATGCTGAATATTCCAAGTACTATATAAGGGATGAGAAATATTCAGTAGGTATGCGATTTCTTAGATGAAATATAGATACTCACTACCACACTCCAGTCTAGAAATCGTCATAGCTAGTCACCAGCTTCCTACTTTTTCTTAAGCAAATACGGTGACGGTGTTTGAAGACTCACAGTCAGTGCTGGAATGCTTCATATATAAGATTCGAATCTTCAGCAGCTTTTTGTAGTGCCCATCATTTTAAAGCTCTATCACGAACAGGTAAAATAGTATCTCGAACTTCTTCGAACATATCATATACAAAATCATCGATGATTTGTAGCTTTTCTTGTTTAGTACCATCTTGTTCAACATAGTGACGAAAACGAGTAATATACTATCGATCAAAAACAGATTTGAACTGATGTTGAGTAGACCTCCATTTAGATATATGATAGATTAAACTTGTACTATGTATAAAGAACATTATTCGTACAGTTATTTTATTAGATAGTTTGACTTCAATATACATTTTTGAATATTTCTAGAATTCACTAATTTATACTATTAATAAAGAAAACTTTCTTTTCTCCTACAATACAAATTGTCTTATTATCAAAATGGTTTATCAACAACAAAGAAAAGTTTTTGTTTGTGTTGCAATGATTATTATGATCATGAATTGTTTAACAATCAACGCATCACCGGTTGATCCAAAGAATAATATTGAAAAAAGAGAAGCAAATGATGGTAAGTTATTAGGAGTGTGTTTATCAGGATTTTATGCTGAGAATTCTTTTTTTCTCATATCTTAACTAATTAAGAGAATATTTGATAAAGTATACAACTATCTTGAGCGTGTGGGGTTGGATGCATGTCTGTTATTCAGCTAAGTCTACCTCAGTGATATCTATGATGAGTATACTCTCAGAAACAAACAGAAGTTATCACAAATCTTTAATAATTCCTCAGAATTTTCCATTGAAATAATTCAATGAAAAAGAGTTGTTTGAAGAACTAGTATTATTTTAGAAACAAAATGTAATGTGAAACTATTTTTAACTACAATAATAAACTCTTTCGAAAATATATCATATATGTTTATTTTTTAAGGTCATCCGACGGCACACCAAGCAACAAGGTAAAACACGTAAAATATGTTTTCTAAAATGTTTTTGGGTAGAAAAAGTATATAGAGATAGACTTCTTAATGTTTGTATTGTATATATATCAGGCTAATATTGTATTGATGTTAGTTGTAAATGAAATTCTATGATTAGTATGACTTTAAATATTAATGAATTCACTATGATCATGAGTAATGATGGAACTGATACAACAAGACATGCACCAAACCCAAACCATTTGGATTTTGTGCATGTCTAAATACAACCTAGTTTATTCTATAACATATAAAATGTTTTATAGAAAACTCTGAAAAATTCTTTCCTTTGATATACATATAGAGTGAACTCATCATATGAAAATCAACTTAGTCGTTATTTATTTCTCAATTGTAATCAATGAAGAAAAAGCCATGAACACTAGATAATTTAGGATAGTCATATACTGAACCAATTTCTAGCAAAGGAATTTGGTATCAGTATGTCACATAGAATCTTCATCCGATATTCTTCTAGCAATTATTTTTATACCCAAAAGTTCTTATAAAATACTAGTGGTTTCATGAAGGTTTCTACCACTGTTGATATCTACTATTTTTTGTTTGAGTTAGATGTTCTCAGTTACCTTCACGATCGTTTGAATTTCAATAGATTAATGTGCTTAAAACTAATATTCAGGCAAAACATGATGATAATCAAGAAATAAGTATATATAGATAATGTTCGTGCTTTTTTCTTGTAGTGCATCAGCTTTTATTTGTCCAGAAGAAGATATAGCCGAAACGCAGTGTTTGGGAGATAAACATTGTCTCTATTCAAATCCACAAAATTGTAATTCATACATCCAATGCACAGTAAACGCTGATCAAGTAACCGGCACTCCCGTAGTTATGTCTTGTGCAGCAAGTTTGGAATGGAACGATAATACAAAAGAATGTGATTATCCCGCAAATTCAACTTGTCCATCGGGAAAGAAGTAATATAGGTTCATAACCTATACAGTATCATACTGTTTGTAATTAAAAACTATTTACATAATGTATCTATGTAGTTTACATAAAAACTTATATTGTAATCAATTATTTTTTCATTTTATAGATTTTTTTTCTTCAAATAAATAACGACATTAACACAGAAACAAAAGATGTTTGTGCAAACTCTGACAAATTAAAATGTAGAACACAAACTAATTGATGTAAATCGCATAGGAAAGATACATAAATTCAATAGCTTTATGATTCAATTTGAGATGATTCATTTTAATTAAAATTTCAGAACTGATTGAAAACAATATTTTAAATTATAAAAAATTCTGATTATCTATGTTGGAGAATTATTAAATAAAATATGATCATGAATAGTAGGTATGAATTAGTGTATATTAGAGATGCAACGGTGATGATAACCGTTCCAACCGATAATCGCTTCATCGGTAACCATTTTATTTATCTACTCATTTACATTGCAAGAATTTTTGCTGAACAAGAAAACATACTCATAACTACTCGTATTCGTATCTCTAGAAGTACATGAACATTTTATTTCACGATCAGATGGAGAACAAACAATGTTGATTAATTTTATGGTTTTCTATTTAACATTTTGGTTTTTTATAATACATATATCCCCATCCACACCCTCAAGATTCTCTCAATCTTTGTCAGAAGAAAATAGTGGATGCAACAAAACGTACTTCTATGCATTCAATAAAGAAGAAATAATTATCTTTTTCACAAGCAGTCGCACATGTCAAGATTCACATTGTGTAGAAAGCCCTATTTCTATTATAAACTTTATTTTTCAGTTAATTTCTTGCCTTACAAACTCAACACAATTCTCATACTAACTGTCACAAGAAGAATAAATTCTATTTGAAAATCACAAATTACTATTCTCAGGATCAATTACCCTTGAAAAATAACTTTACTTTCTTAAAGATTTTCCATTGTATGTATTTTGAAATACTATGCTAAAGTAAAATATCAAATGGTTGGAACTAACAAATGTTTTAGCAGTAACATAAAAGTAGTAGTATTTTATTAACTTAAATGGTAAGCTGGCGTTCTTGTGTGAGAATATCAATAAATTATCTCTTTTTTTCTTGTGACTGTATCCTTTTTATAAGACGTTGGAAGCATTACATGACTAACTCGATAGATAAGTAAAAGTTGGTGTGTGTTAATGTTTTATTCCAAAGAAATAAAGAGTATACATTGCATACGAACAAATGCGAAGCTAAGCAATGACTAAGCAGCATCACAAAGAGAAACTGAAGCAACTAGAAAGATAATGAAATAATAACAATAAGAGATGAGAAAATAAAAGTTGAAAAGTATGAAGATAAAGAAATGCGAATTAAATAGAAAAGATATATGTGTAGAAAAGAGAACGAGAAGATATACGTGAAAGAAATGAAAGAGATGATATGCATCATCCTCTGACATTTCTATCGAAAAAAATATCAGTTTTAATATTTTAACGATACATCGAAGTTTATCATTTGTAATGTGTTTCGCACCAGCGTAAGAACTAATTATGTTTGGATCATTGGCATTATTGTAGCACGTCCACCTTTGCATTTTTTAATATAAAACATAATAAAGTTAACCAAATATGGCATTATCAGTTTCATTACTGTAATCAAACCACCAACTAATCCAATCAGAGTTGTAATAATGTATATTGCATTATTCTTCGTCGTAACAGTATAACTACAGCCTGATAGTTGACATTCACTGTAATAATTATCATAAATACTTGAATTAATCCATTCCTCAACCATCAATTGATCAAGAACATCTGCAATTGTTGAGTTTTCAAAAAACTGAGCCGATAATGATATATTAAGAGCTGTCACATTCATAAATGAAGGTGCTTGAAAATATGATTGTAGTTTATTGATGCAGGTTTGATTATAAAAACATTTAAGATTAGACTGAAGTAATGATTCAATTATATAACATCCTGTATAAACACCCGGAACAGAAAATAATAGCGTGTCGCTCGATAACTGATAAATTGCAGATTGAATAATGCATGTAGCTGAGGAAGGACACGTACAATTACCGTACGACCGCGGACCTCGAATTAGATTACTGCCCTGGTCACCAACGACATAATTGGTTAGTCTGCCACTGAATAAGGTGTTACTTTGAGTAATGTTTCGCATCATAGCGAGTGATAACAAAAATTGATTTGTTGTTGATAATATGAATTGAGATATAAATGCTTCCGTTTGTAGTTGAAATACATTTTCAGGTGTCACAGATGCACTTACATATTGCTTGGAATAGAATTGAATTAAACTATTCGATATTGTTTGATTCACTAGTATACAAAATGTGTCTAAAGTTTGGAATGCAGAAGCACCTGAAGATCGAAAATCATTCTTATATACACTATAGTTTTCAGACGAGTAGTCAAGATAATCGATCCATTGTTGTGTAACAAAATCACTATGACATATTTGATGTAATGTGTATTGAATATGAATAAATTTTTCATAATTGATTGATATTTGTGTGCATTCACATGTTAATGCTTGACTATATGAGTTATAGAGTTGTTTATAATCGTTGATAGAAGGTGTTTTGACATTAACTGTTTGCGTAATATTTATCAGTGACGTATATAAGAGAAGAATAGCCAATGATATAACTAAGAAGAAGATAAATAATCTTGTTGAAATGCGTTGGTTTCGAAGTTGATGTTCATCGGTAGTTGGTGGAATAGATGGAAATAAATTGAGATTTATAATGAAAAGCTTCGTATTTTGGTGAAATGTTCGAGCGCGTTTATTGTTGCTCATCACTTGAAAAGAAATACGAAAATAAAAATTTAACTTATATAGAAGAAAAAAATGATTAGTTTCTGTGAAAAAAGATTTATAAGGGGTGTTGATGTATAGCACTAACAATTTGCTTTTTCCCACTCCGTTCAATAGACTATAACAGATATTAAGTGCATGATAACGATACAGATGATTGGGTAAATATGTGGGGTGCAGGTATTGGTGTGGAATGAGAGAAGACTGATAACCGTTCATCTATACCCACACCTGAGCAGTTAACATAGGGTATTGTACTAATCATAGGATATATATCTCAATCCTTATCCTGGCTCATCTGTTCGTACATCCTGTAATAATGTCTCGGAAGTTCAACAAAAGTACAAACATCGATGGGATTACTGTGTTGTTAGACGAGAAATAAATCTGTATACTTCTCACATTATTCTCTTCTATTATGTACACAAAACTATTTTCAATTTGATCTTACCGGTCTCTGCGCTTCGGACTGCCTTTTTTCTTCTAACCAACTTGACTAAATTTGGTACTACAAATTTCAAAACTGTAATCAAACCACCAACTAATCCAATCAGAGTTGTAATAATGTATATTGCATTATTCTTCGTCGTAACAGTATAACTACAGCCTGATGGTTGACATTCACTGTAATAATTATCATATATGCTTGAATTAATCCATTCTTCAACCATCAATTGATCAAGAACATCTGCAATTGTTGAGTTTTCAAAAAACTGAGCCGATAATGATATATTAAGAGCTGTCACATTCATAAATGAAGATGTTTGAAAATAAGATTGTAGTTTATTGATGCAGGTTTGATTATAAAAACATTTAAGATTAGACTGAAGTAATGATTCAATTATATAACATCCTGTATAAAAACCTGATAAAGAAAATAAGGATGTGTCGTTTAATAATTCATAAATTCCAGATTGAGTGACGCATGCAGCCGAAGAAGAACACGTACAATTGCCGTAGGATCGTGGATAGTAAGCTAAAAGTAATTGCACCTCGTCCATACTAAATCCGAAATTACTCAGTTGTCCAGTAAGTAAAGCATTGCTCTGAGTTGTTTTTCGTATCATGGAGAGTGATAACAAAAATTGATTTGTTGTTGATGATATGAATTGAGATATAAATGCTTCAGTTTGTAGTTGAAATAGATTTGAGGGTGTTACAGATGCACTTACATATTGACTTGAATAGAACTGAATTAAACTATTCGATATTGTTTGATTCACTAGTGTACAGAATGCGCTTACAGCTTGAAATGTAGAGGTGCCTGTCACCCGAAAGTCGGCGTAATTTGGTGTATTGTCTCCATATGAGGTGGCGAGATAATCGATCCATTGTTGTGTAACAAAGTCACTATGGCACACCTCATGTAATATGTATTGAATTTGAATAAATTTTTCATAATTGATTGATATTTTTGTACATTCACATGTTAATGTTTGACTATATGAGTTATAGAGTTGTTTATAATCTTTGATAGAAGGTGATTTAATATTAACTGTTTGCGTAATATTTATCAGTGACGTATATAAGAGAAGAATAAATAATAATATAATTAATAATAAAAGAAATAATCTTGTAGAAATAAGTTGGTCTCGAAGTTTATATTTATCGGTAGTTGGTGGAACAGATGGAAAGATATTGAATGTTGAAAAGTACTCTTTTAATTTGTATAATATACTGCATTTCGATTGTCGCCCCAATGTTTCTTAACAAAGCAAAAGTATTAGTACTTAAATAAAGAATACTGTCAATAAACCATCCAGGAACCTATAACTCTTGCAAATACTCAGATCATCAGCTATGTGTGAATTAGAAGTCGAATTCACCAAAGGATCGAGTACAATAAAAATGAGACAACTCGCGAACATCTCTGACAAGGAGTAAGATTAAAGAGTCATATGTAACATAGAATGGCAGTGTAGCTAATCATGACACTTGATATAGATGTTCACTGAGCTTCACACATTCAGCGTGTCTCTGGTTCAAATATAGCAAAAGTTTATACACAAGACGAAGAGGGAAAGAGATAATACGAAGGAGAAGGAGAGAGAGAAATATAACACTAAAGGTACAATACATCTTTGCGTTCACGAGTAGAAAGTTCTGTCAAATCTTTTACAAATATTTTCATGTCAAAACTAGTTTTCAAATATGACTTTATTAACGAAAAGCACTTCGTGTTTTCTCACGTCTTCTTTATTAGTTCAGGAAAATTGCGTTTCGGCAGACTACAGATCATAGAATGCCGATTGAATCAAGTATATTCATGACAGAGATGTTATGAACTATTGCTATGTTGCCTGTTCAGCTGCTTTATGTGATATCGAATTTCACTTGAAAAATGCTGATTTTGCATTATTTCATTAAACAAATTAGAACGGCATTTACATCCATTTAAACATCACCTCTTCTTTTCTCTGTGTTCTACGAGTTAGATGCGCATGCATTCTATACATAACACTCTTTAAGCTATTTTCATCTCTTACCGGCTTCTGTTTTTACTTCTTTGTGCATGCATTTCCTTGCGAATTTGACTAACATAGGCACCGTAAGTTTCAATACTGTAATCAGACCACCAACTAATCCAATCAGAGTTGTAATAATGTATATTGCATTATTCTTCGTCGTAACAGTATAACTACAGCCTGATGGTTGACATTCACTGTAATAATTATCATAAATACTTGATGAATTCCATTCTTCAACCATCAATTCATCAAGAATATCTGCAATTGTTGAGTTTTCCAAATACTGGATCGACAATGATATATCAAGAGCTGTCACATTTATAAATGTAGACGATCCTAAGTATAGCTGTACGGTATCTATGCAGACTTGATCGTAAAAACATTTAAGATTAGACTGAAGTAATGATTCAATTATATAACATCCTATATAAAGGCCTGGTAAAGGAAATACTTGCGTGAAGTTAGGATAATTAATAACTGTATATTGTTCAATGCAGGTAGCTGAAGAAGTGCACGTACAATCATCGTACCGGACAGATTCTGTAGTTAAACTAGAATCGAGATTATAATAGAATCTGTAATTAGTGAGTTGTCCAGAGAGCAAAGCGTTGCTTTGTGTTGTTTTTCGTATCATGGAGAGTGATAACAAAAATTGATTTGTTGTTGATAATATGAATTGAGATATAAATGCATCAGTTTGTAGTTGAAATACATTTTCAGGTGTTACAAATTCACTTACATATTGACTCGAATAGAACTGAGTTAAGCTATTCGATATTGTTTGATCAACTAGGACACAAAGTGTAGATAAGGCTTGAAATACAAATGTGCCCGTCGTTCGAAAGGTATCATAAAATGTTCCATCGTTTCCATACGAGTTAGCAACATAATCGATCCATTCTTGAGTAACAAAGTCACTACGACACACCTGATGTAGTTTATATTGAATTTGAATAAATTCTTCATAGTTAATTGATATCTGTGTACATTCACATGTTAATGTTTGACTATATGAGTTATAGAGCTGCGAATATTCTTTGATAGAAGGTGCTTTAACATTAATTGTTTCTGTAATATTTATCAATGAATTATATAAGAAAAGGATAGATAATGATATAAATAAGAAGAAGATAAATAATCTTGTTGAAATACGTTGATTTCGAAGTTTATGTTCATCGGTAGTTGGTGGAACAGATGGAAATAAATTGAGCTTGAGAAAAAAAAGCTCTGCTTTTCTGGATAGTTTAGAAGCAGATTTTGTATTGGTTGACACTAGAACAAAATGTTTAAGTAGTTTAATTATTATTTCAAGACAAAGCAGCATTTTTTTCGCACTTATGTGTGAGAGTTTTTTAACTTAAAAAGAATTGAAGTTCACTTCACTGCTAAATCTGATAAATAATATGTTAATGGAATTAGAATATGAATGTTTCTAAATATTTATGAATAATAATGCAATATGGTAGTATGAAAGAACATGTCAGCATCCTAGCTATAGTATCCATACTAATCTAATATGTCATTTCATTCTAATATTTCAAAGAATTGAAAGTAGACTAACGCACGGTTTTTGTAGCTGATAGATTCAGACTGGAATATTTTTTGACTAATATTTGGTAATTTTTCTGTAAATAATCAAATAAATAATGAAAGGGTGTGAGTGTGGGTGTGGGGGTGTATCTGAGTGTGCATTAGAGACAATCACAATACATACACCCACATCCAAGAGAAAGATCTATAGTGAAAGAATAAAGTTGGATTAAGGAAACAGTATTATCTCGGAGAAAAAATCTTATTCGAGATCTTAGTTTAACTGACTTCAGAACAAAATTAAACTTGTGAAAAATGATCCATAGAAACATTTACAAGAAAATCGCCACTTAAAGCAGAAATCAGATGAACTTGCATTTATTCACGAAAAGAAAATATATAAAATACATACTGTTGATTCTAATAAATAATTGCTTCTGCGATGTATAATTGCAGATTGATATGCTTGATAAGTATCACCTCAACGACAGTGGTCGCTACACCTGAAGATAAATAAAGGAAACAAATGAAATATCATTATTTTCATATTAAAAACGTTAATAAGATAAAAATCATTGAACTCATTAACTATTAACAAAAAATTATGAGCAGTAGCAAATGTGTCTATTCTTTTTAATTTTTATAAGAAGAATATAACTGCGGTGCAAAAAATCATAGCAAGAATTTATCGATTATCAATTTAGGATGATGAGAAAAATATCTTTTTTAATTTGTAAATCTAAGTGAACAAAAATATGATTAATAATATTTATTAAATCAGCAACATTGACACACTTACTGAAAACTGAAGTTAAAGTTGTGACTTTTTCGGATTAACACTAGTCGATTGTCTCAAGAAGATTGAAATCAAGTCGAATCATAAGTAACTGACCTGAGCTTTGTTTTACTTTCGTGATTTAATTGCTTATCAACGTATTAGAAAAGACTTAACATCATTTTATTATTACATATTCACACACTTAACATTTTTAATATTATTTTTACTATCTCGATTTTATGTTACTGAAATATAAAAATTATTAGAGGTAAATTCAACCATCTTATCTAATTCATTTTGAATTCTAGATAAAAAATGCAAACTTCTCTAATAAGAGAGATCTCTAAAGTTGAGAAAGAGCAAACTCACTATCATCAGCATTAGTTTAATTCAGCGCACACATCTTCTCAACATCACAATGATGAAATAGCTCAGAATGACTGAACAAAAGAGACAAAATCAGCACATCCTACTTCTTACGTGCACAACTATTTTTATTTACTTTCTTATCTTTCTAGAAAGTGAGTGAGTATACGGCCCTATAAATTTATTCATCACTATATATACAGTGTTCGAGATTATATTTTATCTGTCGGGAATGTCCCTATTATTTCAAACAGCATAAAAAATAAGTTTTATACTAGATAACAGTTCACTTGAAACGAGATTTAGAAGTATTGACTCGTTATCCAAACGATGAATGTATGCTATAGTGTTATAGTAAGTTTTAAGTGATCAGACACTCCATAGTGAGAAAAATATTTTTGAAATTTAACAAATAAATAACGATACTGAGATCAAAATACGGAAAAAATGTCTGAAGTATATCAATGAAAGTCGTTGAAAAACTCTTGTATTCTGACTCCAATCTCGTTATTTTCTCGTCATATTTCAAAAACATTTTCCCTAAAATAAATAGCAAAGAGAACTCTGTAAAGTCTATTAGACAAAAAGAATCTATGATAAATTTATATTTTTGTTGTTAACTAGTCATCAGAGCACCCAACAACATAAAGTCTGCTGTAATTCTATAATATATTCTCATTTTTTGAATGATAAGTCATACTCGTAAACCCATTCTTCCATGGAGTTTCATTTGATATATAATTCATTATTTTTTCTATTTTCAACTATACTGCCATCCTCTTGGAAAAAACATTATTCTCAACCATATATACACTACAGTTTCAGGAGAATGAGTCTTCAAACTATATGCTGACATCTATCCAGTGATAAAAGATTGAAACTCTCAGGCAGATGTTGGCCCAAGCAAGCTGTAATTGATACTTGTAATATAGATATACTCAAAAGTTTTTCGTACAGGACGCATGGATAAAGGTGTCGACGTGGGCGTGAGTGAAACTGTTCTGTATATAACGGCCTCATCATCTCGCAGCGAGAGAAAGTAGAAATACTGATCCTGGTAGTCATTTACAATCTCTGCTAGATCCTAGTCATACTAGATAGTTCATACCAAACACTTCTAACCGCTACTACACTGCACTACGACCTCCTGATTACTACTACCCTCTTGCGATGTGCAGTACTCCTCGTAGTCCTCACTAAATTCTATTAGTGCATACTAGTCACTAGAAAATCCCAGTATCAGTATCTGGTACTTTATACCAGCACCTAATACCGGTACAGAGTACTTCCTATTATGTCTCAGTCTTAGTATCTACTACTTCCTTTAGGTCCTATTATTAGTACCTAGTACTTCCTACTAGGTCCTACTATTAGTATCTGGTACTTCCTTTAGGTTCTAGTATTGGTACATAGTACTTCCTTTAGGTCCTAGTATTAGTGCATGGTACTTCCTACTAGATCCTAGTGTTAGCACCTAGTACTTCCTGTAGGTCCTAGTATTAGTGCCTGGTACTTCCTACTAGGTCCAAGTTATTAGTGCCTGGTACTTCCTACTAGATCCTACTATTAGTATCTAGTACTTCCTACTAGGTCCTAGTGTTAGTCCTCGTACTTCTTACTAGGTCCCAGTATTAGTCCTGGTAATCATTACTGAATCTTAGTACTAGCACCTGGTACTTCCTTTAGGTTATAGCATTGGTACAAAGTACCTCCTTTCGGTCCTAGTCATAGTACCTAGTGCTTCGTACTAGATCCTAGTGTTAGTACCTGGTACCTCTTACTAGGCCAGTTTGTTAGTACATAGTAGTCTATGCTAGATCTTAGTATTAGTACCTGGTACTTCGTACTAGGCCTTACTGTTAGTGCCTGGTACTTCCTACTAGGTCCTAGTGTTAGCACCTGGTACTTCCTTTAGGTCCTAGTCATAGTACCTGGTGCTTCTTACTGGGTCCCAGTATTAATGCCTGGTACTTCTTACTGGATCCTACTATTAGCACCTGGTGCGTCCTATTAGGCCCTAGAGTGAGCACCAAGTACTTCCTAGTTGGTCCTAGTAAAAGTGCCCGGTGTTTCCTGCTGGACCTTAGTGTTTGTCCCTGATACTTCCTACTAGGGCCTTGTAATAGTACGTAGTACTCTGTGCTGGATCGTAGTGGTAGTAACTAGTACTTTGTACTTGTCTCTAGTAATAGTACTTGTTACTGCCTTCTACACCCTATTAGTCGCTTATATATCGTAGCAGTATCGATTAGGTCATGAAAATAGTTTCTGGAAACTTATATTAATTACATAAATAGATATGTACATATACAAATATATATATATATATGTATAAAATGTATTTTTGCATAACACACACAGATCATATATACAATGTATGAAAATTTTCAATTAAGTTTGGACTCATTTCCGGTATGCTCTCGTCTCTTGAACATTCAATCACATTTGTTCGAATTAAGTTGTTTTAGATAGAATACTAATGATATCAATGATACTCTACGCTGGAACTAGAAATGTCTAAACGTGTATTATTGATAGTTATCATTCATGAAACGTCATGTAATGCAAAACAAAACAAAACGATAATATAGTGTGAAATTGCTTCATCACTTCTTTCATTGCGGTTACAAAAACTTCAGTACATTCAAACTAGATTGATTTAGTTTCTTACAAATTAAAGCGGAGGAAAACGTGAGTTTTTCAGCGGTGAACAACCGTCTCCAGATTAGCGAAACGAAAAGGATCGTCAAAATTCGTTCCGAGGAAACTTGACATTTAGTTTTTTTCTTTTTTTTTGGAAATACAGGTAAAGAGTATGTGGTCGTCACTCATATAGATGTTCCAGGCAAAAATAAACAGACGAAGTCTACTTTTCTTTCCGTGTGAAAATTGGTTTTTTTTGTTTTTTTGGTCGGGAAAATTAGTAACAGTTGATAAGATAAATAACGTATCAATTGATTAAGAGAAACTTCTTTTAAAATATTTTTATTGAGTAGACATGATATTCGCACGATCTGAAATAATAAAACTTACCCGATGAGATTAAAATAATCATTCTACCCACCTTATTCATGAGAAAGACTTTATTAATTTCTTTAAAACAGTTTTCGTTATCTATTGTTCTATACATATACTACACTCTACATCTTCTAAAACTTTATTTTATTTTCTAATGAATACTAGTGGCGAACTCTACATCTTTTTAAAATGATATTCAGTTTCTATTGAATACAACTTACGAACACGACAATTTTCTAAAATTTAAAATAATAATAACAAGTAAATTATTTTTTAAATTTTTTTAAAATTTATATGATCATAAAATTATCTTAAAATTAAGTATAATTCTTCCTAAAGCTTAATTCTGCCTGATATATATATATGTAAATTTAATTTATAAAATTTAGAAATTCTAAATTATTTCATAATTCATTTTAGACATACACTCCTAAGAAAAAGAACTGCTCGTTGCACTTATTATTCAATTTAAAATAAAAGGCGAGTGACTATTTTCTGGATAAGTTTTGTTGAATATATAATCTGCATCTGAGATTTTCACCAGTTGAAGGAGAAATATTTGGACCATCGACTTGTATAAGACTTATTGGACCAAACGATACTTTTTTGTAAAAGTTTTTCGATTGATATTTTTGCTTGGTGCATTTTCATTAATTTTCACGACATTTTTTTAATCAAAATGTTACTCGTATCATCCTTTTTTTTGTAGATCCAATTGGAAGAATAGATTGGTGAGATCATCATGTATAGTACAATATTTTTATAATGAAAAAAAGGATGACTTCAGTAACAGTTTAATATAGTTTAATCAAAATATCTCTTGAAAATGAATGAAAATACACCACGGATAAGTATCAATCGAGAAACTTCTGCCCAAAAAGATATTCTATTGCAATGACACTCACACAGATCGATGATTCAAACATCGCTCTTTCGACTGGTGAAAACTATAGGTGTAGATTATATATTCCATAGAAGTTATTTACAAAAAAAATAATCACTCTTCTTTTATGTTGAATCGAATAATATTTACTAAGTGAGTATAGTTCATTAAATTAAATTTGTAAAAAATGATAATTACTAATTGTATTGAGATCCTAAAAGAAGAACTGTTAACTCTATGTAGTATCATCATCTAAATCATTTTCGCTATTCGATTAACGTTTTTCTCCTTCTATGTTTCTACCACTCACAATAATCAAAGTGATGCAAATTGAAGAAAAAAAAACACCGAGGTAATATAATGAAAGTAGTTAACAAATAACTAAAGTAAACAACGTCATTTCTAAATGAAAATCTTTCTTTCTTTCTGTACGATTCTGTTGATGAATCAGTGAAAGAATAGATGCGATTTATCTAACTGAAAAATGAACTAATAATTATTGACAAAATTGTGATAGAAATGTAAGTACAACTATTCTTTGTGTGAAAGAGAGAATCTTTGCATTATCTCTATTGTTAATATTATTGGTTAACAGGTATTTATAGTTAATTAGTTGTTTGTGAAAAAAATATATGGTAATCAATAGTAAACAGATTCGACACTGATCATGTATCTCAAATGATCGTAATAGTATCTGATTATAAATCATGAATATTGACAACATTTAAATGAAGAACATACCCGAGTGAAACATCTTCCTTACTAGATCTTTCACTTAGATAGAGAGAGTAATAAAAAACGTGTGTGAGTTGTAGATGGATATTTCAATTAGATGGGTGGATATTGGAATAGTACAATATTTAAAAAAAAAGATGTAGTACTGAAAATGCTAATAGTTATCTCGTTAAAGCTTTGTTAGAATTAAAATTAGATAGAAAGAAAAGGACTGGATTATAAATATTTTTATTAAATGAATTAAGAATAAAATTTACCTAAGAACTTGATGTATTGAATTTGTTCAGCAAAAAGGAATGTTATTTGAATTTCAGATCAATATAATTATTCTTTTTTAAAAATGACATGTAACAACATAACTGAGTTAGACCTTTTATAGAGCTAAGAAAAAATTGTTTTGTTAAAGAACAAAAAAATACAGATCAGTCTTTTTTTTCTGAGAGAAAACTATTTCTCAATTGGTTGAAATGAATTTTTTTTCAATTATGAATCAGCAACACTATGAAAATGATTCTATCTTTTGTCTCCTAAGAAACATTTTTTTTTGTTCTTGAAAAACAAAAGTCATTTTTATTAAGTAAATTCCTTTCTTATAATTAATATTTTCTTCTTTACTTAAAATCGAAGATGAGAATCTTATCGATTATTATTTGAACTAAAAACATTGAATCTTTCTTTCAATATCTGTTGATTAATTATGGAGAAACCCGATATCTGTAGTTATGAAATAAAATATTGTAGTTTGAGATCTTTGTGATTTAGGTACTTTTGAAGAGAGAAAATTGAAAGTATCAATATTCTCTTGAAATTTACAAATATTAATGGAGACAGTAAAGGTTCATCAACTGATACAAATAGAGATGTTTCTTTTTAATAAAGCATAAATATAAACAGAATCGTTATTTTAGAAAATAAAGACAAATTCCATTCGATAGTAATTGAATAAATGTTCAAGATGTATTATTCATCACAGTTCTCCCTTATCAATGACAATATTTCCAAATGGGATAATGTTAACAGATGAAAACTTCGTATAAAAAGGCTTATAGAAAAAATCGTTTGCTCATTTTGCAGATATGTTATATTGAATAAAGATTTTCGTTATCTTTATTTTACGAATGTAAAAAAATTGTATTTCATTACTTAATAAAGTAAATGTAGGGAAACACTTACATATACAGATCTAATTAGAGCAACAATCAACAAAAATGATTTTAAAAGTGCATTTGTATCATGCGTTTCAAAGATGTTTTGCGTCTCAGAAATACCGTATGGCCCGAAAAAAGCATGCATGTTTTTGTTTTTACACATAACCGGAAATAGGAATAATCTAAAAATTTTCTCTCATAACTAGTTTTGTAGAGCTTTTTTTACTAATCATTTTGGTAAAAAGACTTTTTAATTTTGGTTGAGTAAGGACAATGTTATAGCCAAAATACGAAACACTGTAAAAAAAAGTAGAAAAAACATTTAGCACATTTTTAGTATTTGGCTTATTTTTACGTTATTTTGCAACATCTGAAGGATTTTCTATATACCATTCGATGCAGAATTCGATGGGCTACATTCTGACATAAAGCACTTCTTTTAATATTGGAGTTAATTATTTAATAATTAATCAATAATTAACAATTCGTTAATTAATTTTTTGGGTCATTTTTAAATTCCAAATATACCATTCGAAAGAGCATAAAAAACTGAACAAAAATGTATAACTATTATTTGGAAAGCAACGAGTTTGGTGAGGTTTTAATATGATTTTTAGATTATATCTATTATGTGTAAAAACAAAAACATGCATGCTTTTTTCAGGCCATACGGTATCATGAGTTTCAGGCATGTCATGCGTCTCAGACATGTCCGTAGAAGTGTGCGCTTAGACATTGCCCACACAAAATCAAAAGTATTCATTAATTTAATAACAAAAAAACATTCTTTCTAAATGGAAATGAGATTTTCTACGTTTCTCACTTATCAGCTTATTAAATATGTCCATCTAAAGAGACTAAAACATGTCGCTAAATGTGTTTTCATATGTTCATTTATTCGATTCGAAACTACTGTTTAAAATAAATAAGTAAATAAGACTCTTCATATAAAAATAAAATTTTATTAAAAATCTGATTTTTAAAGAAATATTTATTTTTATATTCATCTTAAATTTAATTTATTTTACATAAATAATAAAGATAAATTTAGGAATCAGTATTTTTAATCACTTGGATATTTTAATATTTTTAACAAATTTATACTGTCAATATACATACGAAAAGATCAACATAAAAATATTAGTTTATTAACTAGAGCAATCGACGAAAAATAAACAATGATTTACTCTTTTTAATTAACGAAGAAGAAAAATATTTTGTAAAATAATCTGAATGAATTTTTTGTTAAATAATAAAATAAATCAGATTCTTGTATATGTCAATCGTTGAATAAAGGATTTGCATATTTTTCAGATAATACTGATAAATTCTACAATAGAAATGTTTCATTTGAAAACAATCATTTCTAGTGAATAAACAAATACGCAGTAATTTCTTTAAATAGAATAATTTTTTTTATTTTCTTAAAACATTTTTTCTTTCAAAGATAAAACTATTTTTAAACTGAAACAGACGTATTTATGGTATATATATATATTAAAAATGCACTTAGTAATACTGACATTTTCTTTTATATACTAATAAGTACAAAACTACAAAAATCATTTCTATCATCAGTGTAAAGTAAGTAGATTTGAAATACCTATTGACATATTTTATTTTATTAATCTATTTTAGTTGAAATTTTTACAAAAGAAACTCGATCTTAAAAAAAAAGAAGTAAAATCTTATTGTAGCTTTTATTCTAGCTTTGATTGTTCTTTATTAGTTTCTAGGTGTTTTTATCGCAAAAAAAATTTCAATGCAAGAACCATCAATTGAAGAAGATCGATCTGAAAAGTAATACTGTTTAGTTAAATTAATATTTCAATCTAAAAAGATTTTTTTTTCAAGAGAAACTATTATATCAACAAAATGTCGATTTCTTCTTTGGAGTTGTGTTATTATTCCAATATCAATTATGATTAGTATTGTTGCAGTAGTTATATTCATTCGTTATCAATCATCATTTTCATCCAACAGTATAAACTTTAACATTGGTAATAACAATTTTCTTTAGATATTAAAGTTAGATATAGAGTAGTTTCACTTTACCCGATAAAGACAAGTAGATAACTGTACTATATTTGCTAAGATGTCATCCTTAGTGAGATAATGATTTATTTGAAATCATCTCTCTATAGATTGAATAATATAAAAAGTGTTTGTAGGAACGACAAGCGTTTCGAAAAGAACGACAAGAGCAACTCAAATGAAAACAAGTTCTACTGAAGGTAATAATAAAATAACGTCATATGTATATGTAAATAAATATATTCATTTAGTGACAACATCAATTTCAAGAAATATTTCAAATATAAATTCTTCATGTAGGTGAACAATTAGTTTTTCTTATAAAAATAAAAATAATCTCTTCTAGATATTCTATGTAATCCATTAAAATTTTCAGATTATACAAGTTATCCAGCTGGAAGTGACCCATGGTCAATAAACAATGGTTATTTAGATGGAGATTCTTTCCTTGATATTGTTGTTGCTAATACATTTGATCCAACTATTAGTATATACTATGGTTTTGGAAATGGAACATTTCAAAGTCAAAAATTATATAACACAACTTACCATGTTTTTTATGTTGCTGTTAGAGATATGAATAATGATAATAAATCTGATATAATTTTAACTTATTCGACATTAAATCAAATTGCCATTTTAATCAATATGGGCAACCAAAATTTTAATTCACCAATAACTTATCCAGTTGGAAATTTTCCATTTTGGATTGATGTTTCAGATTTCAATAAAAATAATTTATTGGATGTTATTGTTGTTAATGACCGTGCCGCTTCTGTTACTATTTTATATGATTATTATAATTTATCATTCAGTTATTCTAAAACCTATCCTTGTGGAGATGATGTTACAGGTGTATCTGTTGCAGATTTTAATAATGATTTATATCCTGATTTTGTTACTACTGATTATAGTGATAATACAATTAGTCTCTATATTAATCCTAAAAATGGAATATTTAATCATAAGAAAAAAATTTATACAAGTATTGGACCATGGGGTATAGCCACTGCTGATTTAAATAATGATAATTTTATAGATATTGTTAATACTAATTTTGTTTCATTTACAATAAGTGTTTTTTTAAATGATGGACATGGAAATTTTAATAAATGGGATACATATTATATTGGCGGAACTACAATGTCAGTTACATTGGCTGATTTAAATAATGATACATTCATTGATATTATTGCTGCAAATTTTGGTGATGATTTTATTTGCATTTTTTTAAATAAACAAAATGGAATATTTGAAGCATGCCAACGATTTATCACCGAATGGAATGTTAATTCTGATACAACTGGAGATTTCAATGTTTCTGCTGTTACAACTGGAGATTTCAATGGAGATAACAAAATAGATATTGCTCTTTGTACGGGACAAAGTACTATGAATGTTCTTTTAAATCTATGTTAACAACATTTCATGGACTATTTTTATTATTGACAAATATTTATTCTAAACAATTTATTTATTCAAATTCTTTTTTTCACAATTTCAGTTCTATAGACACTCTATGCTTTTCTTCTTTATATCACAAAATAAACACATATTTAATCACAAATGTTAATGTTTCGAATAAATTTATCACTCTATCTTGTCATATGGTGGTGACAAAACTAGTGAATTAGGAGTACTCATATTACTCGGACGAGTAGTATTCGTCAAGTTTGATGTGTGTTTTAAATTGTCGTGAAGTCGAATCAGTACTTATATGAGTTGTTTCTCTATGATGTATTCCTTGATAAAAGAAAAGTACTGCATGCAGTACTATAAAAGAACTGAAAATATATTCTTTCGCTAAATCGAATATATGTGTGATATATGGTATTTTCCTTCTTTCCTTTTCACCACCATCTTTCTTATCCTATGGTATATTACTCTAGGAATTGACCAACGTCTCTCTCTCTCTCTTTTCCCCGTGTAAATACGGTTGTGTTTTTCTTGAATATTTTACAAAACATTCATGGATTACTATCTATCAAAATTGAATAAAATTATTTAATACAGAAAAATAGGTAAACTAATAGAAAATACAAAAAAAAATATTTTAATAACTTCTCTATGTTATTCTTCACTCTTTTCTGATGAATCATTCATATGAATGCAATGAAAAGTTACATGAAGAATAGAAAGAGAAACAACGTGTTCATTTTAAGTGGTTCATTTCTGGAGTAAAGTCAGAGATTTTTTTAGACATGAAAAAGATAACACATTGAATTTCATTTAATAAATTTTAGATTAAGAATTCTACTAGACTGACACTTTTTTCTACAAGTCGATCAGAGTTTGATATTATGAAATCGTTCACAACATCTTAAGGACTATTTTTATTATTTTTTATCAACATTATTTGATGAAATATAATTGAATATAAAGATATAACAAGGTAAACGAGCTCATCAATCATTTATTTTTTTTTCAGAAAAAACAATACAGTGAAACTTTCGACACCTTTCATAGGGTCATTTTCAACACTAAGTTTTATAAAAGAAAGTTTTTACATATATATATGAAGTAACAATTCTTTTTCTATTTAAGAAAATACTAGAAAGGAATAGAAAAAGAAAAAGAATTGTTTCTTCATATATATATGTAAAAACATTTTTTTTATAAAACTTAGTGTTGAGAATGACCCTATAAAAGGTGTCGAAAGCTTCACTGTATTGTTTTTGCGGAAAAAAAAATGATTGATGAACTTGTTTACCTTGTTATATCATTATTTTTTATCTACATACAAAAGTAAAATCTAATTGTTGTTTTAAACTAGTTATTTGTACTTTTCCTAATGATCCATATTGTATGTTTTCAATTGCACATCGCAATTTAATAAATAATTTTTTCTTTAGTTGCATTTTTCTCACAATACGTACTTCTTTTTCCTATTTTTCATGAGCTGCTTAATTCAAGTTCGAATATAAATAGAGATCTAATTGTATACTATCAATTCGAAAATAAGCGATGAAGGTTAGAAATATTTTTAGATTTCGTTTTCTTTTAAGATGACTATAATTCATATGTACTGCTGAGGAGGATGTCGGTGTGGCTGTTGCTACTTTATTTTTCTGACATATATACCCACACTCATACCCTCAACCACCGTTAGCCGCACTCACACCTACACCTTAATTAAATAGGACACATTAAATGCGATTATATGACGACAGTAAAGGTATCGACTACATTATAAATAATTAGGCGTTGGAAACGCTTGACATCGAATTGTAGAACTAAGTAATAAAAAATGCGAATAATAATTTACCTAAACGATGGATGAACTAAATAAATCTATACTGAGCGATTCAGTCACAATTTCAAGTCGATTATATCATACACAATTTTATTTTTCAAAATTTTCATATTCATATAAAACTAGATGACATTCAAGTTTCACTCAATTGAGAAATGCGATGTGACTGTAAGACGAAGATAAAAATGATAAGATTGAGATCATGAAAAGAAGTATGAATGAACAATGAAAATATCTGTTTGAGAATATATAATTTGTACTTGCATTTTTGTTTTGATTTATTGATCAAGATCTATTAAACCATTGAATAGAGTACTTAATTCTGTTAGTTTTATTTATTTTGAAAGGTTTATTAAAGATGTACATGATAATTATAATAATTGTATATAATGAACTGACTAAGGACATTGAAGAATATAAAATATAGATAAGGATTTTGCTAATATAAAGAAAACTTATATAATTAATCTGATCGACTGATGAAATTGAATGAACATATAAATTTTTTGAAGTTTCTTATATTAAAACAAAATTTGATTTTCGAAATCTCGGACTGGTATGAGCAGAGATTTTTGAGTATCCTATGTTTAATAGTAATTAATCACTTTTTTAAATGAAAAAGATTTGAATGTGCATGTTATGGCGCCTAGAGAACATACTCAATTGATAGTTCATCTTCTTGAACATGTCTATTGAACATATTGGCAAGTGATATTCTCAGTTATTTATGATACTTTTTTTTATCGATGATATTATAAATAGGAATGGAAAAAGCATTACCTATGTTTGTCTTAGGTATCACTTGTATTTTTATTACTGCTGTTGTCTTTGGTATTTTGTGTGGAAATATGATTCGAGCACGACGTATAATTTCATATTTTGTTTTATTAATCTTTTTTTATGAAAAAAATTATTGTTAGGTCAAATTGAAAAAAGTCAACATGAAAATGAAGAAAAAAAAGATGAATATCCAATTTATATTATTCATTCACAAAGTCAAAAATCACTCGAATTTCCAATTAGTACAATCAATAATAAAATTAAGTAAGATTAATTCTTATTTAATATAAAACACACTTCTGTGTTCTTAGTAATACCAATCAAAGTGCTGCAATTCATTCATCAACAACAAATATACATGAACATCAATCATTGTCACATATGGCAATTGATCTTGATTCAACATTCAAAATTCATCCTAATCATATATTTTCTAACAAACGTATTGTTGAACTTTAAGATAAAACTATCTTTCTTTAATAACATCATCATTCCAAATCTGTGTATAACTAACAAACAATTAAACACATCGATTTGGAATAGATGAGAAAAAAAAACAAAAACCAAACGATAAAAAAAAGTATAAGAAAAACAAACATCACTGTTCGAGATCACATGCTGATAAAACACGATCCGATGGCATACGTGGATAAGCTTTTGTATATATAGAACTACCAAACCAATTTTCTAATGATTGACTTTGTAATACTGTCGAAAAAAGTGATAATGAACTATCATGTTGTTGAGTAGCAGCTAAATAAGTAAAAAATGATTTCACTTTGTTTTTTAAACTTATATTGTATATTGTTGACATACGTGATGGTGGAGCCGAATAAAAATTTTGTGCATCATCATCTTCTTTATTCATTTGAGCAGCCTTATTCAGTCGATGAATATCAAAACTTGGTGTACCAGGTGTTTCCATTGTTGTTGAACATTTAAGTAGTTGAGCCAATACATTCTTTTAATTATAAGATAAAAAATAAGTTTTAGAAAAATAAAAGAAATACTTTTTGATTTTGATCAGGTGTACAAAGCCATTCAAATGTTTTATTTGAATTTGGTTTTGCCGGTGTTGCTGGAGTACAAAATGCAGATAAACCACCTTGTTGATGAGCAGACTAAATATAAAACTAAGTATGATATAAATAAAGAGAAAGCTTTATACAATATCAGATATGTGAAATGGATCAATTTTACGTTGTTCATTTCTAAATAAAACATATTTTTTTTAATAATAAAAACTAAAAACAAATTTCTTTACTGTTGTATATGTTGAGCCTGAAATAAACGTTGTAAAATTGGAATTGTATTTGTTTCATCCGTTTTTTCTTCTGGAATTGTTTGATAGGTTGGTAAAAGAGATTTGATTTGATTTGTGTATATTTCACATTGATTAGGATTTTGTCTTTGATAAGGCATTGAAGGTTGTGGTGGAAAATGATGTCGAGATGAATTTAATTGTACTTGTTGATGACTATAATCATCAATCCAAACATGTGATGGCTGTGTTTGATAAGGAAATAATAATGTTGATGACTGATGACGTGTTGCAACTGATGTTAGAGCAGCGACTTGTTGAGGTGTTAATGGATCTTTTGGACGACGATTTTTTACTTTCTAAAAACAATTTAATATATTTGTACAGAAAAACAAATCTATAAGATAATTTACTTCGATAGCAGTTATATTGATCTTTGGTTATTAATTCTAAATTTTATTGTCATTCATCAACAGTAATTAATTTCATTGGTAAAAATATTTTATTAGATTTATATAATTTTAAGTTTTTATTTCATCTAAATACTTTATGGAGTCGATATATTAAGCAAGTGAAATTGATTTGAAAACAAATAAAAATTCACAAAACTTTACTTAATGATCAATTAACGTAGAAATATCCGAATCAAGAAGAAAACATCATTTCGTCGGAATTATACTAATGTCTAAAAAATCCTTATTGAATGTTGAAAAGAACTAAGAATTTTAGTTTGTTAAAGAGTTAACAAAAATATTCTTTTTTAAATATACTAAGATGAAGTAAGAATTGAGAAGAAATTCTTAATTTACATAACTTCGTAGTTATAGTTAATAGAAACGTATTAATCTATATAGTGAAGATAAATAAAGCAAGAGACACTCTTAGAAAATATTTCTAATTTAAGACAAATTTTATCAACTAAGATCAGATATAAAAAAAATTAAATATTAACATGTATTTTTTGAAAAAGTTTGTTTTTTTCTTTCCTTTAAGGAAAAACAGTCATTTCCAAGGAAATAGAAAAAAAGTACAAAATTTGTTTCAATATTATTAATAATTACTAGCAACAACATTTCTCTGGAAAAAAAGAGTGGGCATGTATTGTTTTTAAAGAAAAATTTCCAAGAACAACTAATTAAAGAATTGGCCTTTTTCTCTCACGACTTAATACTCATTTTAAAAAAAAAGATGTGTTGATATAACACTTACAGAAAATAATATCGTATGTATGTTTTATTTTATACAAATATTTTGATTTATAAGAAAATAACTGTTGCTTATTGAATGAATTCATAGGGATTTTCTTTTATTCATTGTAGATCATCTCAATCTTATTTTAATTTTAAAAAGGTAAAGTTTCGATTGATATTTTTTTAGTGAAAATAATTATGAATCAGTTTGAAGTTATGAACAAGTTTATTTTCCAATGAAATATTAAATCTTTCTAGATATATTTTAATAAATAGTATATAAAGATAATTTCAATTTATTAAGATTTACTCAGTATTTCATCTGTTTGCTTCTTTTTCGAAAGGATAATGAAATTCAATTCTAATACTATTTATCGTTTAGTTGAAACTAAGAGAAAGAATATGATTTCTAATTACTAATTACTGCGATTACCTGGTTACATGGGTGGCACGAGTCAGCCAACATTAGGGGGGGGGGGGTAGTGTAGCAAACGTTTTTGGAGTGAAAAGATGAGTTTCGCGATTTTTAGAGGGTGTAGCATTATCTTTGATAAAAAACCTATGATTTGCCAATTTTGTTAAGCAAAAAATAGAAATTTGCGAAGAATGGGGGGGGGGGGGTTTGATGTTACACCCCCGACACGCACTCGATCGCGCCACTCCTACCTGCTTATATATTTTTTTTAAATCTTTCTATTATTTTGATTACTTTTTCTATTTCACTTGTTGTGAATAAGAAAGATACAACAAAGAGATTTTAATTACATAAAAATGGTTACATAGAAACTGAATATACAATACAATAGTACTTTATTTGACTATTTTAACTTTTTATTTATGATAAATCTACTTAGTGACTATTAGATCCACATAATGATTTATATAACTTTCTATCCGAATATAATTAATATTCATTTCACATTGAAAAAATCTAATATATAAGACAATTATAAAAGAGAAAACTGTATTGACTATTGATTTATACCCAATGAGATACAAGAAATCGTTACGTCTATTTTTGAAATAAAACAAAAAACTTTCTTCTCCTTCTTTTTCTTTTTTTTGTTAATTACATTTTGTTTTCTGATGAATAACTAAATAAAAGAAATATCTTCAATAATAGTCATATACTGCCTTATTCTGTAAAATTTTATTTGTTCTAATAAATATTTTTATAGTATTAAATGTGAATATAATTAAATTACATATTTTCATTTGATTAAGATTGATAAGATCAAAGTTGGATTGTTTGAAAATGTGTAAGATTGTACTCGAGTAAAGTAAGAATGTTATCACAGTGTTAATGTTAGAATTAGTATTGAACAAGAGATTCATATATTTATATTAATTGAAAACCTGAATTACATATAGCGTTGTTTACTTTTATAAAATAATAAATTACTAAAAGAAGATTTAATTTTTGGATTATTTTTAGTACATAACTGTTGTAATTGTTCATCATATATATAAAATTCGTATTGCTGTTAGTTAATCGATCAAAAATATAATATATATAATATTTTATTTAGATATTAATCGTCATGGCTGATGGACATTTGAAATATCTTTCAATAAAATCAATTATTATTATTAATATTGTGTAAGCAACATTGTATTTATTTTATTAGATTATAGAATAAGAATACTTTTCGTTAGATTTTTACTTGATAAAGTGTCGGCTCTCTCTCATAATTGTTCAACGACTGTTTGGGCATTGAATGCAACAACAATTGCTGGTTCACCTACAGGTATACAAGGTTTCACTTCAACATTGTTAAGTTTTCCAAGAGCAATCACGGTTGGCACAAATGATTCGATTTATGTCATAGATTTTAGTAGTCCATACTATCGTATGCAACTTTTTTATCCAGGTAGTCAATTAGGAACAACAATTATTTATACCACCAAAGGCGCAGGTCTCAATCAGCTCTCTGGCGGTAAATAATCTAACATAATTGATATATAACCAATGTTTTCTTTAATTTAGTCAATAGTCTTACCATAGATGCGAATGGTAATGTCTATATACTTGAAGCGAGCAACACTCGTGTTACAAAATGGGCCCCAGGAGCATCAACGGGTATAGTTGTAGCCGGTAATAATGGACAGAGCGATTCTCTCAACACACTAAATACTCCCTGGGACATGTTCGTTGAGCCAAATACATCCTATATTTGGATAGCTGATACATATAATAGTCGAATTGTAAAATGGGTAAATACATCGACTGCCATACTTATTGCCGGGGGGGCCTAATCATGGTTTACAAGCTAATCAATTATATAAACCACAAGGATTATTCGTTGACACATCTGATTCGAATACACTTTATGTAGCAGACACATATAATCATAGAATTCAAAAATGGCTTTATGGAGCAAGCAATGGAACAACGGTGGCTGGACAATCAGGTGTATCTGGTGCTGATCTTGATCAACTTTTCTATCCAAGGTCTTTGGCTGTGGACTCGAAGAAATCGTTGTACATTGTGGACTATCAAAATAATCGAGTCGTTTTGTGGTTATTAGGAGCTACAACGGGCATAGTCCTTGCTGGTTCACTTGCTGCTGGAGTATTACCATCTCAACTAAATACGCCTTTTAATGTCAGACTTGATTCAACTGGAGCATTTATTGTCAATGATTACGGTAACTATCGGATTCAAAGATTTCCTGTTCTTTGCTGTAAGTTTAATAAATAAATATTCAATTTAATTCGTTTTTATAAAAATATATTTGAAGAGTATAAATACACCTGACGGGAGAACGCTGTCAACTGCCCAATCGAATTTTTTAATATAAACTATCGGATTAGAGCTTATTCACTATGTAGATTCTGAATAGGAGTATGAAAAGTCCTCTTAGACGTTCCTGGGATGGTTTTCTAGAAAACCATTTTCAAAAATAATAAAATTTTTACTAACTATTGTTTTTATCCGTTCGTATTGTGCAGCGTATTGAATTGTCTATAAAACAACTGTTTCTGTTTTAAATTGAATCCTCGAGAAAATGCAGTCATGTAAATCCATATAACAGATGCACACTAGAATAATTTAATATAAACAATATTTAGTTAAAATTCTGTTATTATTGAAAATCATCCTATAAAGATCTAAGGAAATTTTTCATGTCCAAGTTCGAAATCAGCATACACCTGTGATATATATAATTTTAATTAGAATATATAACTAATATCTTTTGTTTTTGTCTCCAAATATTTTTATTTAATAATATAGTGGAAAAAAAAGTAGAAATTAGAAAAAAATTCGTTGTAAGTATTTTCAGATGTTAATTGGAATGAAGAAAAATTTTAAATTTTTTTTTAATTTTAATTTTAAATGTTTGATAAAGAAAAGAAGATTTTACTCACAATTTATTTTGCTTAATCATATTTTTTATTTCATATCTTCTAGCGCCAAATATAACGTCCTCATCGTCATCATCAACTACATCAGTTGCTACTACATTACAAAGTAAGATGAAATACATTGATTCAAAAAAATATATATCTAAATTATATGATTATGTATTTTTGTTATAGACACAACAATAGTTGTTCCACTTACAACCAATAATCTAACAACATCAGCAAGTAAGTAGAAAATTATTTAAAAAGAATAAGTAACGAGAAATAAACTTTACAAACATCAGATGTGTTAATTATGTCGCATATAGAATATAGATTTTAAACATGACTTCAGTTTATTTATTATACTACGGTATATCCAATAGTTGATTTTGTAATATTTATTTTAATTAAAGACTAACTGCCAAATAGTTTAGAAAAATAAAATTGTTTTAATATGTAAAGTATTGTATAAAACTATAGTAAAAGGGTGCAGTTAAGCGTTTATAGCAACGCACTTTTACAATGTGAAATGAATAGAAAATAATATAATAAAGTACATATTCATTTGAGAAGTTATAAAAAAATTCCGGTATATAATATTTAGTTGACGTTTTTTTATAATTTGAAACATCTATTTAAGATTAACAAGATTCTATGATAAGAAAATTTATATTTCAAATTACAATTGATGTATAGACATATCTTTTATAAGATGATTGTGTTATAATGTTACATCTCACTTAAAAATTGAATACTTTTGTTTATATGATATGAATATAATCTATTAAATAGAATGATGAGTTTAGCGCCGATATCTTTAAAACGTATAGGAATTTATAAAGATAAATATGTTTGTAGGATATTTTGAGTAATGAATATTAAAATTGAATTTTATATAAGATAAATAAGATTGATGTAAGTGTTATTTTTTAAAGAAAACTATTTAAAGAGATAATATCACGATATATTCGAATATATTTATCAGTTGTTTTTCATACTATTGACAAGATACATTCATTTTTAGTAAATTGATGTTTCTGTATTTCTTCTAATTGACTGAACAGATGGAATTCAGAAAGTTTGTTTTGCAGAGATTTAATAGGGGTGCTTTATTATCATTATTTTATTACTTTTTCTTTTGTCACTTCACTGTGGATTACAAGACGTACGAATCGCTATCTACAACTATTATGCATCCTTAGTGACTTGTATGTCTTATGATTCACAGTAAAGTGAAGAAAAAATCAAAAAACGTAATAAAGTAATGATAATGAGGCACTCCTAATACTTAATTAAATATTCTTTTCTTTCTGTGTCGAAAATTTTTCTTTAATATTCTTATAATAAAAAAATGTATTTTAATAAGAAGTTTTTAGTTTCTTCTATTCTATTTAATATTATTATACTCGACAATGCAATGTCAGTCAGTACGAGAAAACATAAGAATTAGATTATCAGTTCAAATAAAAATTCGATTTAGGATCTTTTAGATAAGACTGAATTATATGAAAAATCTTTATTAGAAAATTTTTATTCTTCATTCTAATATTAGATTTTATTAATAACTCGACTAAAAAGAAAATTGAAATTTATTAGTACTAAAGAGTAAAGAGAAGTAAAATTGTAATCGACATGAAACACAAACGAAATTGTCTATATTCTCGTGCCCAACAATATTTCGTGTATTTACTATCATATTGAAAAACGTAAAGTATTTTTAGAGATAAATAAATCATAATTAAACAGTTAATTAGAAATCTTAGAATACTGCTAATGAAATATCTATCAAACACAACATATTGTTATTTGTTCTTTCTAATGTATAAACTATTTTTTAAATAAATAAGTGTATTCTATCTTTTTTCACTATTAGATAACTCAACAACTAAACTATCAACTTCAACATCACAAAACAATAGTTTAACAAATGCAATAACAAATTTATCATCAAATCATTCATTTGCAACTCGTAATTCGAATTCAAAATTATTAGTATTTTTATTTTGTTTCATTATGATTTTTATAAGCAATTAATTTTACATTTTATTCATTCATTAATCTCTTTCTCATGCTTTCATTGTATTTATAATTCATTTGCTTTTTGTCTGGTCAATGAACTAAACCTGCTACAAATTTTATAATCATTTTATTTATTCATCTGACGATATTAAGTCTGCATTGCCTATTTTATTTTATTTGGACAACAAGCAAAACAATCAGTTAATTCGTAACAATTTCACAGACAAATCTTTTTTCTTCTTAAGTTCATAATATATTTTGAATTTTTATGAAAAATTATTTTATTCTCGTATAATTGAATTCACTGATGTTTTATTGTTTTTAATATTAAATATTTGATGTTGTGTATGTTAAGAGTGATTTTCCTAATAAACTATCTGCTTTCTATGTATACGTGACTATTAGAATATATCGAATTATTTCCAAAAATTGTTAGAAACTGACTAGATATAAAAGGAATAGATTTGTAGAAGAACTGTTTCCATATGCATGTTATCAAGTATATTGCTTTCATTAATTTGTAACTAAAATCTTTATTTAAAATATGTGTAGATATGATAAAAATGTAATAAAGATCAATGAAAATAGATTTTACTTATGAATTTCTATTATACTACGGTGAACTATGATCTTATAGATATATATATATGGAAGGAAAACATGTGAGAAGATGATGCGTCTTTAATTATTTATTTCTAGTCGGTTAGAATATTTCAAATTAGCAAATATCGATGGCCGGACAGTCATCAATAATGAACTTCTCATGATACATTATCTTGCCTCTTATTTAAAATGATATACTACTATGTAAACTTGAATTTTTCATTGACAAGACTTGGTTACACTATCTTTTCAAAACATAAGTGCTGTTCTTTTTTTAAAAAAATGTAATCTTCTATACATACACAGGACAAAATTTTGCACTTGAAGATAATACTAGATTTGTATTATTCAGTAACAAAAAAGTTTGTTTTTTATTATGCGTAATATCTAAACTAAAATAGTTGGTAATTTAAAAATCAATAATCTTTCGCATTGATAATTTCTCATTGTATATATATTTTCTTCCTTTCTTTTTCATCATTTTATAGATGAACACAACAACTCTCCCTGTTTCTCTATTAAAAGATTCTAATACTTCAATCATAATTAACCAATCATGGTTTATTCTTGTCGATATCCTAGTACTTATATGTATTATTCTAGCCATTTTAATATCATTAATATTTTTATTTATTGTTTTAACCGATAGAACATGTCATACTATTGCTATGATACTTGTTACTAATTCATATTTTGCTGATTTTATATTTACACTTACTTTATTTTGGTTGATAATGTTTACACTTTATAATGATCTTCAACAAATTTATTATAAAGATTTATTTCGTAATTTTCGAGGTTATATGTGTTATGTTATTTGTTTTGTCTTAATGTATTCTTATTTTTTACAGGCGATTCATAGTTATATAACCATGATTTATCCAACTTATCTATTTTGGCGATCAGCAAAATTTCAATTTTTTCTCATGATGTTAACGTGGATGGCTGCTTTTATATTTGCATGTCCACACATAGCTACTAATGCGATCAAATATGTCAACTGCCAATTCATCTTTCTTTCTTATCAGTTTATAATCCATTTTGTATATATGTAATACCAATAAATGGTATTGAATTTATTTATTTGAAATTAATTCGATATGTTAGAGAAATGAATAAACGTGTTATATTAGTAAATATTTTATTACGTGGTAAGAAAGAACTAAAAATGGTTTTCCGACTTGTTATACTTATATCAATTTTCTTAATATTTGTGTTTATGAGAATTTTTACTTCACCACCAAAATATCATTTTCGTATTGCTTTGACATTTATTGAAATATCAACAGTATTTGTAATGATTATTTTATTTAAATTTACTGATCCAGTTCGAACATCAATAATGAAAAGAATAAACAGACAATCAAATATAGTCGTAGCAATAATGAAATAAATAATTCAATTTTTTTATTGATATTATCCCTAATTTCTATTATTTAATTATACCAATAGTTCAACTTGAATTCTTTTTATTACATTCGGCGAAGAATAGTCTGTTTATATGAACAGATTAATTTCAGGTTACTCATTTGAGTATTTCATTTGCATTATTTAGACATGAATTCTTTACTTGATTTACAAATCAACAAATTCATCACTTCTCTTTAATTATTCAACTGAAAGAATGACGTGTAATATATGGAGATGCTTAGATTTCAGAAAGTATTTATATGGTAATCCATATATCACAGAGCCGATCATGTGGCGACGCGACTGTGGTTGAATATTTTGAGAGTTTTATTTTTGTCTCAAACATTATAGTTAGATTACTAATTTAGTGTAATTTATAAGAATGAATATTTTTATTCAAATATCTATAATAAAACAAACTTAAATTGAGAATATTTCAGGATTTATCTTTACTGTTTATGTAAAATAAATAAAAAAAAAATCTCTGAAATCAGATTTTTGATAAAATTTTATTTTTATAAGAAGAGTTTTATTTATTTATTTTAAATACTGATTTCGAATAAAACAAATGAACATATGAAAACATATTTGGTTGCATTTATTTCCCCGTTTATGTAAACATATTTGAAAAAGAGAAATAACAAGTGAGAAACGTGGAAAATCTCATTTACATTTAGAAAGGATTTTTTTATTCTTAAACTACTGAGTACGTTTATCTTTGTGTAGGCAATATCTGAGCACACACTTCTGCGGACATATCCGAGACGCATGATATCTCTGAAACGCACAACATCTCTGAAACGCATGATATCCCTGAAACGCATGACATCTCTGAAACGCACAACATCTCTAAAACGTATAACATCTCTGAAACGCATGACATCTCTAAAACGCATGATAGAAATGCATTTTTAAAATAGTTTTTGTCGATTGTTATTCTAATTAGATCTGCATATGTGAGTGTTACTGTGGATTTACTTTATTAATTAATAGTAAACAATTTTTTTTTATATTCGTAAAATAAAGATAAAGAAAATCTTTACTCAACAAAACATATGTGCAAAAGTGTGAACAAACGATTGTTTTTTCATAGATCTTTTTATCTATAGTCTTCATCCTTTAGCATTATCCATTTGAAAGTGTTGTTGATAATAAAAAAGAATTATGATGGATATATCCTATTCTTCCATTTACTTACTACTGCATGGAATTTATCTTTATTTTTTTTATTTATCTATATTTTTTAGAATAACCATTTTCTTTATATTTGTGCTTTATTATAAAATCAGATAAAAAATTAAGAAACACTCATATTTGTGGCAATTAATCAACGCGTACTGTTCTTCTAATATTTGTAAGTTTCAAGAGAATATTCATAATAGTTTCAATTCTCTATCATTAAAAGTATCTAAATCACAAAGATCTCAAACTACAATGTTTTATCTTATAATTACATATGTCAGATTATTCAATAAATATTGAAGGAAGATTCAATATTTTTAGTTCAAATAATAATCAATAAGATTTTCATCTTCGATTTTAAGTAAAGAAAAAAATATTAATCATAATAAATGAATTTACTTTCTAAAAATGACTTTTTTTCAAGAACAAAGAAAAATATTTCTAAGGAGACAAAAGTTTGAGTCATTTCCATAGTGTTGTTGATTCATAAATGAAAAAAATCTCATGTCCACCAATGGAGGAAATTTTCCCTCAGAAAAAAAGATTCACCTGTATTTTTTTGTTTTTTAACAAACAATTTTTTCTGAGCTGTATAAAAGGTCTAGTATAGTTATGCTGTTACATGTCATTTTTAAAAAAGAATAATTATATTGATTTCAAACGATAATAACATTTCTTTTGCTGAACAATTCAATACATTAACTTCTTAGGTAAAGTTTATTCTTAATTCATTTAATAAAAACATTTACAATCTATTCCTTTCAATTCGATCTTAACTCTAACAAAACTTTAACGAGATAACTATTAGCATTTCCATTAATACATCTTTTTTTTGTTATTCTCTCTATCCAAGTGAATGATCTAGTAAGCAAGATGTTTCACTAGGGTATGTTCTTCATTTAAATGTTGTCAATATTCATGATTTATAATCAAATACTATTGTGATCTTGAGGGTGTGAGTGTTTTTTTAGCTAATTTGCATAATAATTTGTATTTGTTTGATTGATTGAGAATAATGAATCTATTTGAATTGTCATCACTTGCATTATCATTGATATAGTCAGTAGTTTCTTTTTTAATAAATGCAAAATTATCAAACTTTTATTTTTTCATATTTTTAAATTGAATATTCGGAAAAAGACTTTTTCCTTTTCTTTTTCTTGTTAGTTGTGTTGGTGTTGTTGACGATGAGGATATTGATATTGTTGTGGATTGATCATCATCTACTACAATGATTTCAGTTCTAGATGTTGAAAAATCGTTATATTGATATAAAACACAAGCCTAACTTGACCTGTTTTTTTCATCAGCCACAAGTCAAGTCAAGTCATAACCGATTCAAAAATTTATATATGAAATCAAGTCGAGTCGGAAGTCAATTAGAAATTTCCAACTCAAACCAATCAAGTCAAAAAGTGGCTTGACTTGACTTGAGCTTTAGTTCTTTGAACACTTTTCTTATATTTAACTAATTATAAACGTTTATTAAGATATATAGATATTTCTAATTTATGAATTTTTCTAGAATATTAATAAAGCTAACATGAGTGATGTAGAAACAATGAAACTTCCATTGGATAATCAATATCAAACTGTATTAATTCCTAATGATCACTGGGTTCCTGTGGCACATAATCGATTGTAAGTATTATATTTCTTTCACTAACAAATGATTTTCAAAAAAATTAATTAACTATTTGTTTTTAAAAGGAGTAAGCGCTGTAGAATTTTACTTGGAGTCTCTGCAGTGTTTGGTATAACTATGTTACTTCTCGCGCTACTTTTACACACACTTCTTATCAATGGCAAATCAACATCCTCTACAATTACCACAACTACTACAATCACAACCACTGAAACTACATCAACCTCTACAAAACCACCCTCGACAACACCCAGTGAGTTACTAAAATAGTTTAATAATGACATAAACTGTCTTGATGATGCAAGTGTAAATAATATATCAATCTTCCATCTATACCTTCATCCGAGTCTGTAATTTCTTCAGTTGCTCCGTTCGCTAACACTGATTTCGTCATTGGCGAAATTCGTCAATTATACATATTAGACTTATCAATCAACTAATTTAGTAGTATAGATCTAAGTTTTCTTCCATTTCCTTTTATTTTGAGTAATAGAAAAAATAATTTAATGTTATCGGTTATTTCATCAGCATAATAATTTTGATTGGGCTTGTTATCGACCTTGGAGAAAGTTGACTTTAAATATTCCTTGACATTAATCCGGCTTGAATCAAATAAGTGCAAGGATGTAATTGGGTGGGGTAGATACTCATTAATTATGAAACCCTCAACCACGCCACACTCTTACTCACACCCACACCCACCCACACCCACCCACACCCACACCCACACCCACACCCACACCCACACCCACACCCACACCCACCCACCCAAACCCACACCCACCCACACCCACCCACACCCACCCACACCCACCCACACCCAAAAATCAGTTTTAACCTGTTTTCAGTCTTCTTTTTTTACACGAGTGATATGATTATTGAAGTATGATAAATCTGACTTTTTTAGCTCGGTTTAGTTTGAAAATTTTAAAAAGTTAATTAGTTTGACTCTACTTAGGATTTTATTAGTTTAGTTTGAAAAGAATACGAATCACTTTCATATCTAATATATAATTTAGAGAAATTTCTTATCATGTGTTTATCATTTATTTGATGATTAGTGTGTCATAGTTGTTATGATAACCACACAACGCAATGCTGTAATACATGCGAAGCCATCATAAGGTACTATATGGCAATGGGTTGGGGTTACAATACAGCAAACTTTGATTTGTGTAATCAATGACAGAAAAACGGGTTTTCTGCAATTTTACAACTTGTTCATATGGAATGGTAATAACAAAAATACTTGACAGAAACATTTTTAATAGAATTAAACATTTTTTCCTTTTATTTTAGATAGTTCTGATCCTGTTATGAGTAAAATCTTTGTATGTCTTTTGCTTCTTTTTGCCTTTCTATCTTTTTAATCGTGATCGAGGGACCAAGTACTAAATATGACTTTATTCATGTTCATTTTATTTGATTAGTCTTTTATTCTTATTTATTGTTACATTATTTGCTTTTGTTTCTTGTGTTTTCTGTGCAATCTCAGTTGAAAACTTTTGTTTTCTGTAGTTTTATTTTTCTTCTTGGATTTTAACAAACGTTGCTTCAGAATGGATGGAAAAAGAAAGAAAAGAAAAATGTCGAAGAGAAAATATCGAAAATTAAAATTTCTCAATAAGAAGGAATGCTGATGAATTTGTTAAGAATTTTATTGAATAAACATAAAATAAGTATAAACTATAACTAATATTTTAGTTGAATATCATTCCACTGAAGGTAATCATTTTTCACTTCTTTTTCTATTTGGTGGTATCTTCAGCTAGAACAAAGAATAATCTCTCAAAAAGTTCATTACGTTTAACATCACTATTATTATAAGGAACATATAATGTACCAATTCTTTGTTGTATACCTAGCGTTTTTTTCGATTTTAAGGTGCGGGGTGGGTGTGGTATGAGTATTATATCCCTTACATATTCGCCCTCACTCATACCCACACTCACCCCA